GCATCAGTTCAGTAGTTTTGAAAATTTATTGATTTAAAGCTTAAAGTAGACTTTAATAGGTACATCAGATTAGTTTCTACTACTTTCAAAAGAAATTTGACTAAAAGAATTTACTTAATAAGTAAATGCTTTTCTTCACTACGCCCATGGTTTGCTTATCATTTTGTTGTTGAAAATAGCTATTGGAGTGTTTTTTGTGGCAAAAAAGTTATTTCTTGAAGACAGATAAGGAAATATCTCGTTCTTATTTTAAATAGGAATTTAGTACATAGTTTGTGATTGATTTGACCAAACTTTGTTGCTAAAATAACTTGTAACGCTTTATTACATAAATTAACCATGGTATATTCCACAGCAGAAAGAGTTGAAATTATCGAAATATTTTTCGGAAATAATCAGTGCGCTAATAGAACAACAACTTGTAACTAAATTTCGGGAAACTGGGTCAGCCGCCAATAAAAAACGCAACATTGAAAATCCCATAAGGAACGAAGCAATAGCAGTGGGGGTTTTAGGGCAAGTTTATGTAGATCCTACGTTAAGTACCCGCAAATTGGAGACTGTGTGTGGTGTTAGTCGACGTACTGTCCTACGGATTCTAAAGGCCCATAGTTTTCATCCGTATAAAATTCACCTGGTACAAGAACTTAATGAAGACGATTTTGATGGGCGATTACAATTTTGTGAAGATATGAGTGAACGAATTATAAACGATGAACATTTTCTATTCAACACTTGCTTTTCCGACGAATGTTCCTTTTTCTTAAATGGCGTAGTAAATCGTCATAACTGCCGATATTGGTCCGATTCTAATCCCAGAATTTATCATGAAGTTCATACACAGCTGCCACAAAAATTAAATGTTTGGGCTGGTATTTTTGGCGATCATTTAGTTTGTCCTTTTTTCTTACCTGGAAATTTGACCGATGAAATGTATTTGGAATTACTGGCCATAATTGAAAATCAGAATGATGGGCGGTACATTGTGAATATGTTGATGTTCCAACAGGATGGTGCCCCACCACATTACGCATTACGTGTTCGACAATATTTAGATCAGACGTTTCCAGATCGATGGATTGGTAGAAGAGGTGCCATTGAAGGCCCCCAAGATCGCCAGATTTATCACCTTTGGATTTCTTTATGTGGGGTCATTTAAAAAGCAAAATCTATGCTACTCAGCCAACATCATTAGAAGACCTGCGACAAAGAATTGTGAATGAGTGCCTTCAAATTACTCCTCAAATATTGCAAAATGAGCGGCAACGTTTTAAGCAAAATCTTTATTATTGCATGGAGAGTCATGGTGGCCATTTTCTACATTTACTTGCCTAACGGGTCAGTTCATTCTTCATTTTTAAATTACTTTGCTGCCAAATGTATTGATCTCCACTAATGATGATGTATTAGTTTTATTTAAGCTTTAAATCCATAAATCTCCAAAACTACTGAACTGAAGTACATTAATTTTATATTATTATAAAGGGAATTGAAAGACGTTTAAAATAAGGTATTACTCGACCCCCCTTTCTATTTAAGATTTTGGGGGTGGTGTCACCCCCGCTTAGGGGGCTGCACATGCTAACGTGATTTTTTGCCAAACTTGTGTCACCCTCGAAAACAAAATCGACGGGTCTGAGCGTTTTTCCAAAAAAAAAAACTGAGCTGCCAGTAAATGCGTCTGTTTCTTTTTGCGATGCGCCACCCTGTATACATGAACTGTGTTCAGAAGCCCGCGTAAAACCCAAAAATTAAACAATATATTTAAAATGAGCAAGCTAGTATCTACTTCTGATACAACCAGAAGTGGCACCATTTTGGAAATATTTTAACGAATTGATCACATCAGTTATACAGGATGGACCAGAAAGTAGTACGAATTTCAAAAGCAAATGATTATTATGGAAATTCTGAATGGCATTTCAAGAAAAATTAGCTTCCGGATTTTGTGTAATTTTTTGAAGATACCACTGACAAAAGGTCACACGCCTTGAAAAATCAATGGGAAGTAATGCCTGTACTCTTAAAATATGGCAAGGATATAACAAAAAGTCCATTAAAATTCTCCAAACAATTTGATGGCAAATATTTAAGTGTCTAGCGATCTTTCAGGATGTTCTTCGACTTCGTGCAGAACTGCTTCCTCAATTTCAGGTGTTCTCACACTTAGAGGTCTACTTTCGGATGTTCCTTTTCGGACAGAACCAGTTTCAACAAGGCGACGATGAATATTAGAAACGGTTCAACTATCTGGCAAAGCACGATCGGGATATCTCTGGTGATAAATCATTGCCGTCGGTAAGGCCATATACGTAATGCATTTCCGCCATTTCTGCATTTGAATAATTCACCACTGTTAACAAGATTGTAAAAACGAAATAATGAAAAAGATGACACAGCGAACAGATCTGAACAACAGAGACTTGTCAGATGTCAAAAGCCAGTGACATATCCCAGAGCAACTATACAGGGTGACTTCGAAGTTGAGTCATTTATTTTAACAGTGAGTAGATCTGATCAAAAGAAATGTTTTTTTCCTTTACCATTTTTCTGGTAAAATTAAAGTAACAAAGTTATAGCCCTTTGGAAGTTTGAGTACCGCCCTGTCTCAATAATAATATTATGTGCTCGTGTTTGGCAACAACGGATATAATCCGCCTTATCGGTTCATCGCATCGGAAACAAAAAAGCGAAAGAATTTGGAACGATGTTTTTACAATTATTTTATTCAGTTGTATACAGTCAGTGTCAGTCGGTAACGCGTGAGTGTCTGTTGCGTGGCTCAAACGAAATAAAAAATGGCACATGTTTATGCGGATCGGTTTCCCAATCGAGTGCAACCAACCCCTCATGCCTTTGTTAATGTAGTACAACGGGCTTGTGAATCAGGTGACTTAAGACCTCACAGGGGACGGCATGCCGGTGCTCCAAGACCTCACGATCAAATACAGGTTGCACTGAAATACTTGTCGGGAGGATACTTTATAAAACAAGGAAAAATTTTTTTTTTTAATTTTTTTTTTTTCACACATATTTTGGTTTATCTTCCTTCTACAATCATTATCTGAAAATTAATGACTCAACTTCAAAGTATATTTATTGCTAAATTGCATTCTTCAATTATTATATTAATTTTCTCGGACAATAGAACGGTTTTTATTTTTTTACTCAAAAATGGCGCATAAAAGGAAAACAATTCAAGAGAGATCATTTGTTTTGAATTGAACGAGGAATTCAAAAATAATATTTATTTGGCAAAAAACCATTGGCGTACCATTTTTGTCTTACAAAATATCGAAGTCAATACCCGTACGCACGCCACTGTTGAAGCTAAAAATTATTTTTGCATTGAAAAATATGCAGCTTTATTAGCATTCACTACGTACTAAATATCAGTGAAATATCTGAAGCGGTTCTGAAAATATTAATTCAAACTTCAACACCCCGAGTTTTTGTAAGGAAACATTTTTGGACCATAGTTTATAAAGCAAACTGACATTAATTTTTCACGTAGATTCACACCCTTCAATATTCGCATATCATTAAGGAACATCCTGTATATACAGGGTGACTTTGAAGTTGAGTCATTAATTTTCAGATAATGATTGTAGAAGGAAGATAAACCAAAATATGTGTGTAAAAATTAAAAAAAAAATAAAAAAAAATGTTACCTTGTTTAATAAAGTATCCTCCCGACAAGTATTTCAGTGCGGACCTGTATTTGATCGTGCGGTCTTGGAGCAGCATGCCCTCACCTGTGAGGTCTTAAGTCACCTGATTCACGAGCCCTTTGTACTACATTAACGAAGGCACGAGGGGTTGGTTGCACTCGATTGGGAAACCGATTCGCATAAATCCGTGATGCATCCGGGAGCATTTTGTAAAGACTGCCCCCCCGTAAATAAGAATCATGTCCACAAGTTCAGCATTTTCGTAAACATGTGCCATTTTTGATTTCGTTTGAGCCACGCAACACACTACTATTCACTAACGCGTTATCGACTGACGAAAAACATCGTGATAAACGTTTCAAATTCTTTCGCTTTTTTGTTTCCGATGCGATGAACCGGTCAGGCGGATTATATCCGTTGTCGCCAAACACGAGCATATAATAGGCAGGGCGGTACTCAAACTTCCAAAGGGCTATACCTTTGTTACTTTAATTTTACCAGAAAAATGGTAAAGGAAAAAAACATTTCTTTTGATCAGATCTACTCACTGTTAAAATAAATGACTCAACTTCGGAGTCACCCTGTATAACAATATATTAATGTTACATCGTATTGCTTTTCCTTCTTTTTTCTTTTCTCCTTCTCCTGCTGCATGATTTTTATTTTTATTTTTTTCCTCTCACCTTGACTCATATCAAATCAATTTTTTCTTCTATAATTTTCTTTTGCTTGAATTCAACCTAGTTAGCTTTGTTCTTAGCGCCCTGCGGATACTAACTCGTGCGACTTTCACAATTTCTGACACAGATGTCAGAGAATATATTGGCCAAAATGGCCAAAAACCACTCTGCGGCTCCAGAGTATACCACCAACAGTTGCTTTAAAATATCTTCAAGCCTTGTGCGAGTTATTCAGGTATTTGTAGCGATCTAAATAACTGATGTGATCTATACTTATAGAGTATTAGCTTACTTTACATGATCTAAATCAATATCCTAGTGAAAGTGTGATCAGCACGTGGGTCAGAAAGTTCGAGTCTACCGGTTCGACACTGAATCAGACCCCGCGGGGCGTCCAACTGAAATTCCCATGTGACTACTTTATTAAAAATATAAATTATCTTCCCTACGCTTAGTAGCTCTTTTTCTATGATTTTTTGAAAATCCGCTCAACCTAATGGCCCACCCTGTTCTATAAAACTAAATTTTCATTGATGTCTTACGTCAACTTTTTCAATCACAGTCCGATGCAGAATTATGTGGGATACCCTGTATAACACTCATTGAGCTTAAAATGAGGGGATGATCAGATATATGAACTAAAACGCTGTTTTAATTCGATAGTCAATTTTTTATTTGTCTAATCAAAAATATAAAAAGTAAATAACATTAATTACAATAAGTTAGAAACTCTCAAAATATAAAAATATCCCTGTGATGTGTCGTAATGCAATTTTGCAATCAGTACGTATTTCCTATTATTTTGCAACCCTATGAAGAGAGACGTCCGCTCAAGGTATATATAACAGCGGTCAGAAGCAGTAAATTACCTGAAAGAAAAAACATTATTTAGGATCACATCTACACTAAAACCAGATCCTATAACTGCCGGTACACACGGGCATTAGACTTCCGAAACAGTATATTATACACATCTGCGAACCAATAGAATAAGATTTGTCAGACAAGAGAATTTAATATATCAGACCATAGCAAACCGATTATTTACATACCAGAATTTTAATCCAAACCATACTTTTTGTATAATAATTTAAAGAGTAAGGCCCTGCACTTTTCAAACTTAAAATCAGTTTGTACCAAAGACGTTCAGAAAAAAACTTTTCCGGCTCTGATCAATATTTCCATAAATGTTGATTTCAAATCTAAATAAACTCATAGGAAGAAAGGACTTGTGAAAAATATTTGAAAAAATAAGGCGCAGTTCAAATAAATGTTTCATTCAACTCCATCTAACTATTCATTTTTTAGTCTAATATTAAAATTAACTGTGACGTACAGTTGTTTTCTTTTTGGTCATGACAGTTAAATTAAAAAAAATACATTAATTCCAAGCTTAACGTTTGGACCCTATACATGCCTGCACTGCATACTTTTTTATCGTGTCGTAGAACCACAAATCATTTATTCTTAGTACGGCCCTGTAACGTGCTCGGCGTTCTGGAGCGCGATCACGTGGAGTATACAGTAATGCACAAAAGTATACTAAGTGACAATCCCATTTAAGCAACTTTGTATCTCTTACCGTTCCCTAGATCTCAATGGTAGGGTTCAAATAGAAACACCTGGAATCACCAAAGGCGTCCCTCAGGGCTCTATTCTAGGACTTGTGCTATTTATTCTATATTTAAATGACCTTGAGTACGGTAACTCTGAAGGTAGATTCATTCAATATGCAGACGAAACTTCAGTGGTAATATCGAATAAGTGTAAGAGTAGAGAGAGATTGTGGAGTTTTACTGCAGAATAAAAACATCTCTAAAACGTACATGAAGCCTGTTTTAAAGACTAAACCCAGAATATGTAGGGTGATAAAAAGCAAAGTATCTGATGAAAACAGGTAATATAACTATATACTTTTGTCCATGACTGTACGTGAATCTGTTTAGGTTTGGTCTCTTTCTTCGATCATACATAATAGTTGTGGTAAATATTGAACAATGACTTATCCAATTTAAGAAAGGGTAGAAATAACAAAACTGTTTTACCAATGGGAGCATTGCAAGAGCTACTGCCCGGTTGTTTAATGCGTTACATCCAGGCTAAAAATAATAATGTGGCTAAGTTTATGAGAAAATTTGAAGAAACTGGATCTGTGTCTAATATTCGCCGTAATCGCCATCGAGAAAACCGACCGGTTAGAAATGAAGCCACATAAATAGCAGTTTTTGAGACACGTAGCACTTGACAACACTCAAAGCACTCGTGGATCTACAGGATCTACACGCTCAACAGTACAAAAAAAGTTGAAAGACAATCAATTTCAGCCGTGTAAGATAAAACTTGTCCATGAGCTTAATGAAGACGATTTTGATAGAAGGTTGGAGTTTTGCGAAGTAATGTCCCAACGTTTAATCAACAATGTAAATTTGTTATATAATATTGGTTTCTTGGATGAGTGTACGTTCTATTTACACATAATCGTCGATATCAACGTGTCTCGAATCCATATTTGTTTCGAGAGGTACACTCGCAATATCCTGACAAAATAAATGTGTGGGCCGGCATTTTCGGAAATCATATTGTAGGACTTTTCTTTATTCCTGAAAACTAGACGATCGAGACGTACTTGGACGTGTTAGAAAATACAACAGTTCCATGAATTACCGAAATAATAGAAAATGACGTTAATTATAATAAAAATTACATTCATTTCCAACAAGAAGGTGCACCGCAGTATGTGGTTCTAGTACGAGTTTTTGGATACCCATTTCTCGGAACAGTGGATCGGCAGACGAGGCCCCATCGAGTGGCTGCTGAGATCTCCGGTTACTTTCTTTGGGGCCATTGGAAAAGTAAAGTTTTGAGTAAGAAGGAGTATGGCTGAATGACGATATGATTAAAAATACGAGAAATAGATTTGAACAAAATCTTTATTATTGCATGGAGGTAAAGCGACACCACTTTCAGCACTTATTACAACATTTACCTACCTCTTTATAGCAAATTAATTTTTACTTTAATGTGCGTGTAAACTGTAAGTTGTTTTTTGTTTTTTAATACTCGGAGACTTGTTCTCAATTTGAAAGTAAAGTCTTGTTACTATGGGAACTATATTGATTAATTTTTACCATATAGTCCCTTATCACAATTTCTAGAATTTTATTATAAACTCAAATAGCTTCACAACGACTGCAGATACGTATAAACTTTATTATACAAAAGTCACTAAATACTTCATGGAAAATCTAATAAGTAAAAAAATCGGAATTTCCATTTCCAAATGTAAAGTGTAACACAATATCTTATTTTTTGGATCACCCTGAATTGTACGGCTATAGATGAAAAGACGTTCCCTTGAAAACAAAATTGACCTGTGCGAGCATTTTTTCCAAAAATATACCAGGAGAGTCACAAATGGGGGTGCGATCTTTTCGTTGGGCCACCCTGTATGTTACTCACTTTAAGGCCCGTATCGTCAATCGTCCCTACAATTGTAGGGCGCCTTTATGGCCTCCTTGATTGTCATAGTTTTCTACTTCTCCGTGTCAGAACTCTATTTTGAGGTTATGTCACAAACATCTATTTGCATCAAATTGTGCTTGCTTTTGAGTTATATCATGTTTTTTCAGCCTGAAATTTCCTACAATTTAAAAAGAAAACATATCTTCACTATAGGAGAGCGCTGACGCTGACACGGAACAAGTGTAATCTAGAAATTTTTGAAGGAGAGAAAGAAGTATGACAATCAAGGAGGCCATAAACACGCCCTACAATTGTAGGGATGACTGACGATACGGGCCTTACGCATAACACAATATCTTATTTTTTGATCACCCTGAATTGTATGGCTATAGATGAAAAGACGTTCCCTTGAAAAAAAAAATTGACCTGTGCGAGCGTTTTTCCCAAAATATACCAGGAGAGTCACAAATGGGGGTGCGACCTTTTCGTTGGGCCACCCTGCATGTTACTCACCTATGTTAATACTGATGTGCTTAGAGGTAAATGCAGCATTCGTGATCGCCAAGGCATCTTTGTTGCTCCCCAAGTATTTGATATTCCTCTTGTCATACATGTTTATTAGATATTTGTACACTTCCTTTTCCTCCCATTGGCCATTCGGATTTCGGCATTCTGGACAGTTCTGTCGGTATGGAAACGGGTTTTTCGGAAACTCTGGATCTTCTGTTAAGTCTCCCTGCAACCTGATATAACACAACATAATAATTTGCTTTTTTAATTCCGTCGTCCAATCTAAACGAAAAAGGTTTCTTCAAAAGTCATCGTTTCCAGGTAATGAAATTAGGTTTCAAGAAATGCAAAATTATCTATTATGAGAGCTCCAAAACATGAACGACGATGATTATATAGATATAATCATATCTCTATTTAGCGCTAAAATTTTATGAAATTATACCGAAAGACTTAAAAGATTTACGTTTCGGAAATTGTTTCAAAAGAAATTTAAAAAAGTGGCTACATTCTATATCGAGGACTGAAATTCATAAACCCATAAATACGAACATGAAGTAAATACATAATCTACTGTAGCTAATTTTTCTCCTTTTTTGTCATTTGCATTCTACAGTTGCAACTTAAAACTATTGGTCCATGTACAGGCGATGCCTTCTATTGGGCCTGTTTTGATTTTATAGAACTGTTCCCAGGTGGATATGCAAATTGGAGATTATATCATCAACGACAACAGATAGTGCAGATCTTGTTAGTACAAGTAGACTCTAAAATTTGTTTGTAGATTATTTTCTCTAATACTTTAGAAAGAACTGGTAAAAAGCTGATAGGTCTTAAGTCACCAACTTGTTCTAGATTGTTGGTTTTGGGGAGCGGCATAACTATAATCGCGACACTTTCCATAGTTGGGAAAAACATCCTGTCTCTATGCAGCAATTTAGAATGTGAACCAAGAAACTACAGATGGGTGGGATTCATAGTTTTATCATTTGAACAGATACGCCGTCCACGCCTTAAGCATTAGATAATTTACTAATAGCATCAAAAACATCGTGTGTATCGATGGTTCTTAACTCAAATGAAGCATGTGAAGACTATGCAACATCAAAACCCTCTAATCAAACAGGATTTAGTTTAAAAACAGATGCAAAATAATCGTTGATAAGATTCACATCAGTTATCCCACCAGTTATCTTCCTTATATTGGAAGATTGAATCCTCATTGATTTTAAAGCTTTATAAACATGTTTTGGGTTATTTTGGTTACTTAGAGTTTGAAGATAAGACTTTTTTTGTATGGTTTGATTTACATTGGTTTCTTAAATTTCTAAAGCTTTTCCAGTTTGCATTGTTACTACATTGCTTGAATTTCGATAGAGTTTTGTCTTGCTTTTTTATCAATGAACGCAAATTTCGTGTTAACCACGGTGATTTAGGCTCTTAGTTGAAGTAGCATGATTATCAAATAGTGTTCAACTATTATCGGAGCCCTAAAAATTATGATTATAGTATATTTTACTGTTATTAATTTATATTATTTATTTGACCTAAAAACGATAAACTTCAAGATGTGAAGCGCACTTGTGGCTCAGAATCCACAAGACAATTTACCGGAGCAAAAAAAGTGGTTTTAATTAGTTTTTCAGAAATCACTTCGCTGATGGAATGTTGATTATCGTCCTCCGATCGCAATAATATTTATTTTTTGAGTTGTTAGAATCAAATGTAAAAAATAGAGTATATGCGTATCTAAATTCCTCATAGGCTGAGACACCCTTTATGACCATACGTTAAATTAAAATCGTTGGAGGAATATTTGGGTGTCAATTTAGGCAACTGGTAATATCAAATATAATAATTTCTGAGAAAAATTTATCACCTTTTTATCATCATTTAATATTATAGTATATTTTGACTAAAAGATAAGTTGCCTTTGAAAAAATCTTATACCTCTTTTTTGAAATCAGGCTATAGTAATTTAAAAAATAACTATAACAAAAAAAAACAATTGAAATGCAGTGTTTAAAAAGAAATTGAAAAAATATTTTTGTCTGGGAGATAAGTCATGCTGATCCTTAATCTAGGTGATTAAGATGATTACAAAAAAGTCAATTAATAATATGTTTTCTGTCTATACTTTGCAATCTCATAGGGTGATTCAACAAACAACCATTGCAGCTTACCTATTGTTCACCTCGTTATGAGCTTTCCACAGCCAAAGCACAGAATCCTCCTTCGTCGACACGTTGAAAATATTTGTTCTGCTTGACATCTCTTGGAAATGATTACTGCACTCCCTGCATCCAAAGAAGTTTTTGACGTAGCCATGCATAGCTCTCAGTGCTATATTCCCATGTGGAAACTTGAATTCACTGTCTAACGCTGCATTTACTGTGAGAAAGTGAAACATCTTCCATAAGCTGCATGGGTATCCTCTGTATTCTGGAGTGCTTCCAAGACATCCAATCCATTTTTTCGATGTACTAAATACTTTCTTTTCTGGCTTACCAGCATCCAGAACCTTTTTTCTAACTTCTAAACCGATTACAGGATCATTTTCATGTACTACTGCTTTTATTTCCTTTAATAAGGCTTTTCCATTGTTTCCAAAGGGAAAATACTTCTCTAATATATCAATGTATAGCCTCAAAGCATCCAGCTGTTCACCTGTTATTTCTTTTTTTGCTCCAACTTCTCTCGTAAGACTGTATCGTAATGCTGATTCTAAATCACCTTGAAATACCGCATCTCCAATCCTTTTAACTTCCTCAAGTAATTCTTTGTCATCATGTCCAAGCTTATCTCCAACAGCAGCAACAGTCTGCTTTTTGACCGCAACCTTCGGTACACTGATGTTTGCAGATTTCAAAAATCTTTCAATCGCTGTTCGAAATCCATCAGTGTCAGGAGAGTACACGGTCAGTACCTGGGAAGGTCCACTTTTTTGTACTGAAAGTAAGGTGGGTGTAGCTCTTACGTCTAACAAATTCATGAGCATTGTATTATTGTCATAAGAATATCTGATCACGATATCAGGTACATTGTGATAGTACATGGTCAATTCAGCACCTACAGTACTTTTTGGTGGAATCACAACCAACAAGGCATATTTTGCATGAGGAGAGTCTTCAAATAATTTAGATAAATCAGTGTAATTATAAGGTAAAAGATTCGGGTATATAGCACCTCTACCTTCAAGCTGTTCCTTTATCAGTACATCAGCTAATTTTATTCTATTTTCCTTATAGTCGTCGAACCTGCCTTTATCATGTGGAGGTAGCTTGAGACCAGTACCGTTCGTATAATTGTCATGGAAATAAATGAGTGTAGGAAAACTATACACCTCAAATTCGGTGCAAACAGGGATATTAGCATCACGGTTGCAGTCCAGTACCCCAACTTTCACTAGGTCTTGCCAGCTTACAATATCACTGGTGAATTCTTTCCAGACTGGGGCGAATCTTCTACAGAAGCCACAATAACTATTATAGAACTCAACGAGCCATGCGTTCTTGCTATGAAACACATTCTCTTTGAAATTCTCAACTGTCAGTATTTCAACATTGTCATCCGGCGTGTAAAGCCCCTCTGTCTCTGTATTATCAGTTTGGATGACAGCAGAATAAGAAAAGTGTAACAGCAGAAGAAATACCGACAAGGTGATGATTCTCAATTCTAGACTGATGCTTCTGAATATGGACATCTTAATCCAGTGATGACTGCAACACAGCTGCAATTGAACCTGCGTTTATCGCCTCCAGACATTCATTTACTTTAAATGCTGATATCATTAGCTACTTACATGTATGACGATCAGATGCGGAATACAAAACGACGTACCATTTCGTGAAGGCTATTTGATATTCAGATTCACCGCAACCTTGACATTGTTCAGACCTGCATTTTTTGTATACAAACTGATCTCTGATGATTCTTCTTTTAAAGACCTGAAGAACCAGTCACAAAATTGATATCAACACTAGAAACCCGTCACATTTAATAAGCCTGCATAACTGAATATTAGAATCGATACCTAGAACGTTCTAGAGACGATCATTTATTTAAAAAACGGGAATTTATCAATAAAAAATAGAAATACCTTTGTTTTTGTTTTATAACCTATATTTTTCATAACGTTTACTGACAGCTGATTGTCGCTGGCCTGCAGGGTTGCCAGGTCTTCAGTCCCGGCTGTCGCCAACTTTTAATGAGAAAATCGCCAGATTCGCCAGCCCTTAAAAGTGAGAATGAACAAGGTTGATTATGGGGGTAGTGACTGTCCTAAGCAGCTTGTTGACGATAACTGAAGCGTTGGTGAAGGAGTCAATACTTAAAAAGCGGGGGTGGGTGGGACGGTTCTTGTTGAGACGTGCATACTGAAAGAAACCGCAAGTTCATTCATAGAGGACGGATACGTAGGGACATTTTACGGTGTGAAGAGCGAATGTTAACTTAGTACTAGCTGATAGACACGTTGTGAACTCGTTTTCTAGTTGTACGTGTTGCCTATACGTCATGAGGCTTCAATTATCAATGTTTGGCTCTGATGAGATGTAAAATCTGCTTCAGAGATGGCATTAGTGAAGGTCTAAACTGTAAGTTGTATGTGTAGATGATAATTCCATTGAATTCTTGTCTCAAATACAATTTTTCTTATCTATTCTGGAAATTATATATGTAAATTTGATTAATTTAAAAAACAGATAGAGATACGAAATAATTATATTCACTGTACACTGTCGAATTACAAGTCATATATTATGTGCTAACAGTAATTACACACAATGCGGGCGCGGTAATGATTTCTCGTAATTTTCCTCAAAGTTTTTTGTAATTTATAACTTTAAACATAACCTGTCTTCAGAAAAGACAACATATAAATAACCCGTCATGCACAGCTAATAGATATACTTCATTGGCAGCATATTCAGTAATGATTTTCTCACACAACAAATATCTCTGATTTCATACGTGTGCAAGGCCGATACACAAAATCATCCAGATGCGATGTTGCTATTCAACCAACTTTCTACTCAGAGATGAAAACTATAGACTAACCGGCTTCGCAAAACATATGCAACGAACAATGCGTGTAGTTGAGCTATTCCTCCATAGATGGACGCTCACAACGATCCTAGTGAGCAAATGTTGAATGACTGTTTGCACTCTAAAAACTACCTAGTCTGCAAGATGACATTTTATCCGAGCATATTAACGGCATGGGTATTATGTAAAAAAACCTATAAAAAGACAAAAAACCTATAAAATGTCATCTTGCAGGCTAGGTAGGTTTTAGGGTCATTCCACGACGGCTCACTAGGATTGTTGTGAGCGTTCATCTATGGAGCAATAGCTCAACTGCACCACTACACTCATTGTTAGCTGCGTATGTTTTGTGAAGCCGAGTAGTCTATAGTTTTCATCTCTGAGAAGAGTTGTTTGAATAGCAAGATCACATCTGGATGATTATTTGTATTGGTGTGTATTAAATCAGTGATATTTGCTGTGTGAGAAAATCATTACTGAATATGCTGCCAATGAAGTATGTATATCTATTTGCCATGCCCGATGGGTTATGTATATGTTGTCCTTTCTGAGTAGGTACAGAGGTTATGTTCAAAGTTATAAATTACGATTTTTTACATTTTTTGTGTTTTCAAAAACTGGGGAGAATCACGGGAAATCACCACTGCGCCCGTATTGTGTGTAATTACTGTTAACATGTATATGACTTGTAATTCGATAGTTTACAGTGAATATAATTATTTATCTCTCTCTTTTTTTAAATTCAGCAAATTTGCATATGTAATTTCCATAAAAGTGGATGCGCAACTAATTTCTAGCTTTGAATCTCAAGTAAATGTATTTGATACAAGAATCCAATGGAACTATCATCAACACATATTATTAGCACACAAATCCTCTCTATTCACTTATGAATTGCCGTTACCTCCAGTAATACCATCTCTGAAGCAGATTTCACTTCACATCAGTGCCAAACATTGATAACTGAAGCCTCATGACGCTTAGGCAACACGTACAACTACAAAATGAGTTCACAACATGTCCATCAGCTAGTGCTGAGTTAATATCTTGTAAAAAAAACCTACATAATGACACAAAAAACGATGTAATGTTAAAAAAAATCGAAATAATGTCAAGACACGTAATACTCGTGACGAACACGACACCTGACATGATATTTGACCATAAACGCCATTTTGCTTGTGGCACAGAACTTCCGCTGGTCCTCGGTTAATGTTTGATTAATCTATACACATATGTCAGTAAGGATTTATTACAAATATTAGAAATGTTAAAAATCGTCAGATATCGCCATTTTGCTATATACTGGGCACCACTAAAATAGCCAATCGGCAAGCTATTCATTAGTCGTCAAATCGCCACTTTGGCGAAAAATCGCCACGCCTGGCAACCCTGCCCACTCCCTTGAAAAGACAGACTGCTAAGGTAGCCCGCACACTGCAAATTTGTTGCAGGGCATTCATGAACTATCGACTTTGAAAAAGACCAAACACTATTTTGAATGTTTCTGTTCGTGAGTCAAAACTACAAGTCCATGACCTGGCTTGACGGGGCACTTTTTCCAGCTATTCCTGACCCTGCAAAGTATTGAACCTCACAGTATAAGATTACTACCAAACAAAAGATGTCAAGAATGACCTCCAGCCCTATAAAGATTTTTGGGTTTCGGCAACATTCTGGAAATGTTCCTGGAACCCTCATAGTGACATTTACAGACCTTCTATAGGACTTTAGTGGCCTTTGAGGAAAGATCTCTCCTTGAAAGCAATCCAACAATGAACTTCCTTGAGGAGCATTGAAGGGGAATTGGACATTTCCCAGTGCACATGATGACGCCAAAATGACGTCATTATTCGGTCATTTTTGATCCGAAACGTCGTTGACTAAAAAATGACGTAGCCAAGCCTATTAATACATGACGACGCTACCAAACCAACGCTTCGTCAGGGAAGGCCATGACAGAACAAAAGAATGCTAGTACAGTTACAATTCGCTGAATCTAACAAGTGATTGAATGGATCACATTATTAATATTATCTTTTAAAATTTTGTTGATATTATAATTGTCAGCTGGTTGTTCTTATATGTGATGTATATATTGCCCTACAAACTATAGTATTGCACTTAATGAATCGTTTTATTTACAGTAGCTACAAATCAGGGGTGGAAAAACCCCAACCCTTTGGAGTATTATTTTTGTGTTCTATTATTTACTCGTGTTTTGTATTATGTATTAATATTCCAATAAACATCATTATTATTGTCAGCTTATTCCGTGACGCTAGAAGGCATTTATCTAAAATCCTGCAGGTAATGATTTGACAGTTAATAGTGATTGTGCAAGAAATACGAATATAGTGCGTTATTTCAGTGACATGGGTGAAAAATTTATCAAACGGCTATCAAATGTAGGTTCAATCTGAGCGATTACCATGCTTTAGGGTTATTGTCAAAAAACCGGACACAAGCGTCGATCGATGAGACAGCGCATTATCGTGCAACAAGCGCCAGCTTTCTTCGCGATATTCTGGCCGTATACGACGAATACGTGTCAGCAAACGCCTGATAACAAGATAAAACACAGCATTAACCATTTGGCCCGGTGGAACAAATTCTTTGTTAATAATTCCCCTCCAATCGTAGAAACAAATCAACATTGTCTTCACTCTGAACTTTTCCAAACGGCTTTTTTTCGGATTTATAAGACACCCTGGGGAAAGCTAGCGGGTGGTACCGCCTCGATCGACTGGTCATTGTCTACCACCTTCTTTTTGCGTGTTAATGATATTAAATTGACCTAAAGTGGCCCGTTGGCGTACTTGTACCTCCACTCGGCAATCGGTACTGACACGTGTACAATAACTTGAACGGGAAGAAGTTGTATATCGGATACAACAACTTCCGGAACAAGCATTTTCCACGGCCCCGCTCAGTAGAGGTTGGGGTTTTTGAAATTCAATATAGATATTACAGTCATTTTTCAGACTTTCGTTGTCGAACTTAGATTTACGGCATAGTTGTTGGTCTCAGTTTTCGAACCGGTGTTGATCGCATGTAAAAATGTTGGAAATCCTTGGAAAAAACTATATCTGTTAGATCGTAATTATTTTGATAACGTATGTACGAAACAAGTACAGGAATATAGGGCTGTACATATTCACAGCAGCTCTGCGATTTAAACGAATTCAATATAGCAACAAAAATAACATACGCGAGAAGAGATGCGGGACGTGTGATATTGACTTTGATGATCGGTCGACGCAGGTTCTCGACAGGCCACAGGCGCACCGCTTAACAAATCTCATAAATGTATATTTCCAATTCAGGCGTTCATCTAACGCTGCAACACCAATCCCGAACAAAATCAGTCAAGCTTTACACACTTTTCAAATTACTATTGAGCAATAAACAGAACATAAATCACCTTATAAGTGCAATCTGTATAGCTAATATATTAGGTACCCACACGTCACAATACTCGTATATAAATTGTGCTGTAAAGAGGGTCAGCATTTGGCATACCAAAAAATCCCAATGATCAGTTCCTATAGCTATAATAACTTATAGTTATTAGTATGTTTCTGTCGCCATGATGTGTCAGGAAGTAACACAATGGTGTTAGATTACAAAAGCTCAAGTGTCAGCCGTCTAGGGGTGCGGGGGTCGACCCCGTCTAAATCCGCCACTGGTTCTGTAATGGAAATACTTTAGCGGCTTCTCGGGAGTATCAACATAGATTTCCTAACAGACGCCAACCTACCCCAATCATTTCTGAGACTTCGGCAATACGGAATTGCCAAGCTTCCCGGAGTTAGAGGCCATGCTGTCTGGCATACTGTTCAACAAGAACAGGAAGTGATTAATTTGGCATTGTATGATCCTAGTACAAGTACTAGGCGGATTGCACCCCAATTATCATGTTCCCACACTCTTGTGGAGAATTTTAAATCGGGAAGTTTTACATCGTTACCAAAATCTTATATTTTACATATGTACGTACAAAACTAGAATATGAGAGTGTTGTATGGAATCCGTATTACCAGACTTATATAAATGATTGAGAGGGTCCAAAGAAAATTTCTAAAGTTTCTATACTGCAAATCTGATGGAGTTTACCCTGAGCAAGGCATTAGCAATATGGAACTATGTGAGCGTTTTGAAATTCATAGTTTAGAATGCAGAAGGAAAGTTTCATCTGCCATATTCCTTTTTAAACTGCTAAATAGCATTATTGACTCCCCAGTCATTTTGGCACAGATTAATTTCAATGTTCCTTCGTTCTCTTCACGCAACTATGTAACTTTTAAGCTATCAAGGGCTAGGACCAATGTGTTAGTCAAATCTCCTACATATGTTATGTGTAAACATCTAAATTGTATTAGCTGTCATTGTGATATATTTACTTGTTCGCTTAACTCAGTAGTTAGAATGGCTTATTTGTATTTGAAATAACTTTTTTTTTAACACCACTGAATATTATTTAATTGTGCTTATGTAATTGTCCTATAAATGGGGTAACTGTTGGACAATAAACGCTATTATTATTATTATTATAAAATGCAATGTATGCCACCCGGTGACGAAGTGCAACGGCGAAATATTTGTGAGTGGTTACTGCAAATGCATAATCAAAATGCAGATTTTATTGATTTGGTTTTGTGGTCAGACGAATCGCTTTTCACGAGGAGTGGAACCTTTAATTCTCATAATGAACATATTGGGTGGTTAGAAAATCCCCGTTCTGTAAGAATCCTCTCGTTTCAACACAGATTTTCTAGAAATGTCTGGTGCGGCATTTTCAATGGACCACTTTTTATGCACGTATTGCCACAACGTTTAAATGCAAATTCATACTTAGCTTTTCTAGAGAATTACATAGAAAATGTGTTAACAACGAGAGTACGAATGTGGTATCAGCACGACGGTGCCCCAGCGCATGTTCGTCATGACATAACCGCATGGTTAAATAATCATTTTAGACAACGATGGATTGGCAGAAACGCACAGGTGCATTGGCCTGCGAGGTCTCCTGATTTGAACCCCCTGGATTTCTTTTTGCGGGGCGCTTGTAAACAGCTAGTATATGCTGGACAAGTTCATATTGTTGGTCACTTACAAGAAAGAATAGATACTGCGTTTCATCGAATTCATGCCACAACTTTATTAAAAAGATGCCGCACCGGTATCCGTCAGAATGATGGTCTTTTTGAACATTTATGAAGCTTTGATTTCTGATTTGTTTTTTTATTTTTACGAAAATATTGCGGCCTAGGAAAAAACCAAAGTAAATATTTGTAGCAAATTAAAGGTAAAACTGGAAAAAATGAGCGAAAAAAAAAATAGCGTCGTACTATTTTTATTTGGAAAAATAATGCCACTAATCCCCTGTATCTCCGCCACTTGTGCACGTTAATTTTAAGTAAAGACTTTTGAATGTGGACAAACTCAATTTTTTTATTTTCAAACTTCAACACCTCGTATCTTCTTGATGCAGCCCTCGAGGGGAAAATGTTACATGGAAGACCCCTCTTAAAATGCGATCGTGTGTATGATGTTCCATTTTTGGTCACGACTTGTGAATAACCCTGTTATTATCTTAAAGTGATCATTGTGCTTTTCTATGTTTGTATCAGATACTTCAAATCGCAAATAAAACGCTCAAACATTTTGTCAAGTATTTATAAAATTACAAATAAATAGTATCACTGATTAGCAACAGCATAGTGAGGTAGAATTTTTATACAGGGTGTCCAATAAGTATCACGACAAACTTAAGGAGAAAGTAGGCTTTGGACTGATCTCCCAAATAACAAAAACCTATATAAAAGTGTCACCGTTTTAGAGATATTGAATTTTTTCTTAAATTTTATAAAAACGAACCTTTTCATCTGTGGTCTTCAGCTGCATGTTATATTTTGTTCATTTTTCCTATAAAATACTTCTAGATAGTTGCTTTATCATATACAAACCCGTTTATTGCGAACTTCCGTTTATGACGAACCGACTGAAATTATATTAAAGGTGTGCTATGTTTCTCGCATATAACGAACCTGATAAAACGAACCTAAATGTTTGATATATTTGTAAAAATTTTCGGTTATAACGACCGTAAAACTGGATTTTACCAGAATTAGGTAACCGATATCTTCCGACCGGGTGGTGGGGTATGAGCAATCGTCAGCATCTGCCATTTAGTCTGTTACCTTCTTTATTCGTTGTATTCAGTGTCCTGCACTCTTAAAATCATGGGTGACGCAATTTCTAAGAAAACACGTAAAGCTCTTACTTTAAATAGTAAATACGATATCGTCGAAAGATTGCAATGAGGTGTGAAGCAAAGTGAAGTTTGTTCTGAAATGGGATTAAGTAAATCAACGGTGAGTACTGCAAATAGCATGTCCTAAACATACATAAATAAGCACTCTGAGATATGAATTTGATTTCCAATTTTTCATTTTAATTACAGGTGGTACAATTTGGAAAAATAAAGACAAAATACTGAGAAAGTCCAAAACATAAATGTGAAGAAAATTAAAAAGCCCACGAATTATAAAGTTGATCAGGGACTTCTAAAATGGTTTTCTCAACAGAGAAATGAAAAAGTAACCTTAAGTGGTGCTATAACGCAATCGAAGGCTGAAGCCCTTGGAACGAGGTTATTGAAATATGCAGAACTGAGTGAAGAACCTAAATTTAGTTGAAGCTGGTTAGAACGATTCAAAAGACGACATAACATTACCAACGTTCGTTTTTTTAAATTTAAGAAAAATTTCAATATCTCAAAAACGGTGCCACCTTTTTGTTTTTGGGAGGTCAGCCCAAAGCCTACCTTCTCCTTAAGTTTGTCGTGGTACTTATTGGATACCCAGTATACTGCACGACGACAAGTGAAATGCGCCATTTGTTCCAAATCTCTTTATGTTTTCCAACGAATTAGTAAAAATATTCATACCTCAAATATCTGTAAAATAAACATATATACAATGTACAACAGATCTAAAATTTATAATTATTAACATTGCAAGCTCATATTAATTGCTTTTTTTAGTAATGATTCTTCGTCGTCCTCTTCGGGACTACTGTTAAAATTTTCCATGCTCAACCTCATCGCTTTCTGCAAATCGTCCTCTTCTGAAGAAGGTGGGAAAGATGTTGATGGACCGTCAGCTTTCAAGCTCATCTGTAGAGCTGCCTGGATGTCAGGATCACTCTCATTAGATATTGTTGAACGATATGCTGGCCTTGATGTAACCTACAAATGTTCTCATTGGTATTCGGTTGGTATTTGTCAAGGTGGTTATAAGCAAAAAACATTCCCAACCTACTCTACAGGATACCCTGACACTAGAAAAAAAATGGTACTAATTTGGGACCCCACCATACGAGGGTGGTCCCAGAAGTACCCGGCCTGACCTAAAGGTGGCGATAGTTGTTTGAAAAATATCGTTGTATTAGAAAGTATGTAACCTATAAAGCATATGTGTCAAGTTTTAAGACGCCACGTTGCTTAGTATTTGTTTGGCAGCCATCAATACTAAACGTTTTCAGTGAATTTGTGAAAATGGAGAATATTGGTCATCGTTATGTGGTACAATACTTTTATTTCAAAAGCCTCAGCCCAACCAATATAAAAGCTGAACTGGATTCTACTCTGGGTGACTCTGCCCCTTCATTTACAACAGCAAAGATTGGGTAGCACAGTTTAAACGAGACCGTATGAGCTGCCAAGACGAGCATCGCCGTTTTCGACCAAATGAGGTGACGACTCCAGAAATAGTGAAGAAAATGCACAAAGCGGTACTGAATGATCGTCGACTGAAAGTGCGAGCGTCCCCCTTCTACGACGATCCTGAGTACCTAGACAGAATCGCGATTCGTCGCTGAAGGTGACATTATGCCATTCTGCCTCCCAATGTTCCTGTTCCCTGCTCCAGTTCAAACGTCGACGACAGTGGTCCGCAGTCAGAGGAAGCACTAACCGTGGACGGTATGAAAAAAGTTTAATGGCTCGAATGCCCATTGGTCAGCGATCTAACGCGTAGATGGCCGTATTCGTGTTCCTATACCTTCTTCTATCCACACGCGACATACACGCATTACCGTCATTGCAATACAATTAACCGGCGGCCAATTTCGCGATAGAACAAACCAACATCTCGATAGGCAATAACTCTACCCCTGTCAAAGTCGCTAACATGGTGATAATTTAGACGTCTTCGAAGTCGAGGCATTTTGTTATGCCTAACACTTGTAAATGAAAGGGCAATAACTAAAAAAATCAGTACTACTCAGCTCTCAGAAACTGCTTTCTTCACAAAAAGAGATAACACTTTATCAAAGGTAAACAAAAGCAAAGATAAAACGTTGACATTGTTGCCACAACATAGTTTAAATATAAATATCTTTATTGCCATTTGACTTGAAAAAGTATCAGCAAATTGTCAATTATGAATGAGAAAAAAAAATACCTAAAAAGTTGTGATCGAGTCAACACTAGTAAATTAAATAATACAATCATAATGTACTCAAAATAACAACATAAACAAACAAATTAAAAAGATGTGAATAAATAACAAATGAAACAAAAATAGAATGACGAACAGATTGAAAACAGATTAAAAATTAATTGTTAGCAATAATACAATTCAGAAGTTTTTTTTTTTTTTTTTTTTTTTTTTTTATATATCGAAACAGCCGCGCAGGCAGAAGCCTAAATGCCGGAACACCGCGGCTGCTATGATCATCCCAAAGAAATTTTGTTAATACGATTTTTGAACTGCTTAAGGTTAGTAGAAGAACTGGGAAAAGCTTCCTCCCGTAGTTTGTTCCACAATCTAGACACCCTCGGGACAAAGGAGCGGTCGTATCGGCCAGTTCTGGATGTACGAAGTTTGACACGGTTAGGATGGGACGCCGAAGTCAGGCGGGTCTGTCTGGCAGGCACATCGCGCGGCGGCATCATGGAAGAGAGCTCTGAGGAGCAAAGCCCGTTGGTGTAGCGATAGAAAAGAGCTAGATCGCCGACGGCCCGCCGGTGCGAAAGAGTCCCGAGACTGTCTGTTAGAGAAGAGTCATCGATCAGTCGGACCGCCCTCCTCTGGACAGCATCGAGCATGGACAATGTAGTCGGGGCGGCAGCACCCCAAATGTGTGAGCAATACTCGAGGCTAGGCCTTATCTGGGCCTTGTATAGAGTGAGAAGGTCATGCGGAGAAAAGTACTTCTTAGCCCTAAACAAATAGCCTAGCTTTTTCCCAGCAGCTGCAGCTATTGAAGAGATGTGTTCGTGCCAGATCAAGTCCTCGGTGATCTGGACTCCGACCAGCCGAAATGAATGGCTCTTTGGTAGGACTCGACCGTCCATCGAAACTGTATGAGCGCTAGGACGCTTTTTGTTCGTCAAAGTACAGTACTGTGTTTTGGAAGCATTGAACTGTACAAGATTGTTGCGTCCCCAAGCAGTGACAGCCTCCAGGTCTCTTGTCAGAGAAGAAGTCGTCGCTAGTCTTCTTTTTTCCAGCTCAGCGGCAGAGATCGGCTTGTCACTCTGAATTCCTGCATGTAGAGTGCTGTCATCAGCGAAGCTGTGGATCGGGTTGATCGTGCAGGAAAGGAGGTCGTTGATATGCAAGAGAAACAGTGTTGGAGCCAAGACCGATCCCTGGGGAACACCCGCGTTGACGTTGTGGGATGAAGAGGAGAATCCGTCAATTACGACGGATATCTTGCGGCCAGAGATAAAGTCAGCCACCCATCTGCAAAGCTTTTCTGGGAGGCCGTAGGATGGAAGTTTGCTTAAGAGGGCAGCGTGCTACAGCTGATCGAACGCTTTCGTGATGTCAAGAGCAACGACATGAGCCTCACCATGAGACTGGATGAGTTTACTCCACAGTTGCGTGACGTAAGCTAGGAGATCCCCTGTGGATCGTTGGTGCCGGAAACCGTACTGCCTGTCGCTAATCAAGCTGTGACGTTCGAGGTAGTCCAGAAGCTCGCGATTTATGCACCTCTCCATCACTTTACTTATAACAGAAAGCAGAGCTATAGGCCTGTAGTTGTAAGGGTCGGTTTTAGATCCTTTTTTTGGGATGGGCTGTACATGAGCAAATTTCCAGCCCTCTGGGAAGGTGCCGGATTCATAAGATATCTGGAAGAGACGCGAAAGAACTGGAGCAAGCTCAGCTGCACATCTCTTCAGTACAATGGCAGGAATCAAGTCCGGACCAGAAGCTTTGTTGATGTCGAGCGACAAGAGCACTCGTCTTACGGTCTTATGCCTGAATGTTACCTCCCGCATAGTGTGGGGAACCCTTTGAATTGACGGCACTTGGGCGTTGGTGGGGACGTCCATGGTGGAGTTGGCAGCAAAGATCTTGGCTAGCACTTCCGCCTTGGCCTTTGAGTCGAATACAATAGTTCCATCCTGACACGTAAGTGGTGGAAGGCTACTGTGTGAGAAGTTCTTTTCAATCTGCTTGGCCAGCGTCCAGAAAGACCGACTGCCATTGCGCTGCGACATTACCCTGTGCCTAACTTTTATATCATGCTGGGTTTTGGCATTGCGAACCGCTTCGTTATATTTGTTTCTGGACTCGACGTCGGCTTGTCTGTTCTCTACAGTGGGGTTTTGTAAGTAGGTTCTGTGGGCCTTGATCTTCTGCTGGCGAGCAGTGTCACACGATTTGTTGAACCAGCCGTTGGACCCTGGTTTAGGAACTTTCACTGTGTGAGGGATGTATTCCTCCATTCCGACGTGGATAATTTCGGTTATTGAAGAACAGACAGTCGACGCATCCGCGTCAGTGAAACAGACATCTCTCCAAGGAAAGCTAGAGAAGAAGTCTCTGAGCCCCTCCCAGTCGGCATGTCCGTAATGCCAAGTTTTGCGGCCTGTGCGAGTTTCTGCGGCCACAGCGGCTTCTGACCGAAACCTAACCTCCACAACACCGTGATCTGAGTTACCCAGGGGGGACAGGACGGCAGTGCTGTAAGGGGCAGGATGCGTGGTCAGAAAGAGATCCAGCAGGCTACTAGCGTGTGACGAGACGCGGGGGAAAAAAGTAGGGCTCGTCACCAGCTGGGTCAGCCCTTGAGTAAGAGCGAACGCTTCGACTGCACGACCTGCTGCATCGGTCTTATTTGAGCCCAACCAAAGCTCATTATGGGCATTGAAATCACCGAGAAGAACTACCTCTGAAGCGGGGTGATTGATGTTCAGGAAGTCGATCTGGACGGCGAGGTATTCGAGTAGGTCATCCCAGTTATGGTTCGAGGGAGAGCGATAAAGGCAGCAAATAAATTTGGGTGATGTTTTGGAGTTGAGGCGAAGCCACAGAATGTCCTTCCGGTCTGATTCCAAAGAAAGATCCCTGGAGCAGGAAAGACCGCTGCGGACAAAAGCCACAACTCCCCCGTTCTTTCTCAGATTGGAGTGCACCTCATAGTTTGGGAAGTTGAGATGGTTAATCGGTGCAGCCTCTGAGATTTTTGTCTCCGCCAAGAAAAGCACGGCGGGACGATTGGATTGCAGGTAGTGATGAACAGCATCAATGTTGCTGTTGATCCCGCAGATGTTCGAAAAACAAATTTTATCTTCGATGTTGTTCCCTCGAGCCCACCCTCCACCCGGACATTCCGAGAGTGGAGTGAGTTTACGTCCGGAGTTTTTAGTGCTCGAGGGATCCATCATCATTAATTTCTTTGTTTGGGTAGATAACCGACTGCATAGCTTAGGTGTGGAAACATGCGGACAGAAGTCTTATGTTAAGTATTCTTCAATGCTGTAAAAAGGCTTTTCCATAAATAGACTTTTAACTCGGCGTTGGAAAGCATTGAAATTGGTGACAGCTTTGATAACAATTGGCAACCTGTTTAACAATTTGATAGGCATTATGTGGGGACCATTTGCTGATAAAGCAAGGCTATGTTGAGGGGTACGCAGACAGTATGTATTCCTTAGATTATAACCACTCTCCACATTGCCTAAACAGTCAATATGATCCTTCCAAGTAAGTCTTAAATCGATCATAACACCAAGGAATTTAGTGACCTGGCCTTGTTCACTCTGGTTCCGTTAATTTTCAGGTCAATATCACAATCTGTATCTCGCAAGCAAAACTGCATCAGTTGCGTCTTCTGTTCATTAAGTACAAGGCCATTCCTTAGACAGTACCTCTCCATGTGATATGATGCAACTGACAACTCAGTAATGAGCTGAGTTGGATCTTTAGTTTTAACCCCCACTGTGGTATCGTCAGCAAATAATGTAACAAAATGCTGTTTCATGAAAGTAGGCGCATCGTTGACGAACAACAAGAACAATAGAGGCCCTAATATGCTTCCTTGCGGACCACCAGTTAAAACAACCTTGGTGCTAGAACATAATTTACATCTACCATTATTAATGACAACTCGTTGTTCCCTATCGGATAGATAACTTTTTATCCAATTTAAAGCGGTTCCTCTGACTCCGTAGTTATTAAGCTTTTCGAGTAAAAGAGCATGGTTGACAGTATCGAAAACGCGGCTTAAATCTATAAAGAGACAACACGTTTTATCTTTCTTTTCAAGGCATCTTAAGACAAAGTCACACATAGACAATACTGCATCTTTTGTAGATAGGTTTTTCTGAAATCCATATTGGTAACTGTTGATGATATTGAATTTGTCAGCAAATTTTATCACTTTATTATAATAAGCCTTTTCGAAGAATTTTGCGAATACGGATAACAAAGAAATGCCCCTATAATTAGCCATGTTAGTAATATCGTCTTTTTTATAGATTGGTATAACAAGTATTTCAGCTTATAAGGAAATATGCCTTCTGCAAAAGACAGATTTAACAGTGCTCTTAGAGGTTTTGCAACTAAGTCTATGACATTCAATAGGAATGAGCAAGGCACTTCATCAAAGCCCACTGACTTCTTTTTTGCGACATGTTTTAACAGCTCAACAGCTTCATCTTCAGTAACTGGGCTTAAAAACATGGAATTTGTATTAACGGGATGTATAGTTGGTACATGCTGCCCACCGAAAGTCATAGACTTAGTCAGTTCCGATACAGAATTTATAAAGAAATTATTAAACGCGTCAGCAGCTTCCTTGGATGACGTAGAGAAAACATTTCCATCGTTATCAGAAATAATCTCAGGAACTTGTCTTTTTGTATTTTTTGAATTGGCACTGATGATTTCCCAAGCAGTCTACTCTTATTACTAGACTTAGCAATTTTATTATCATAGTAGTCTTGTTTTGTTTCCAATAATTCTCTTTTATGTTCTTTAATCAGTAGTTTATAGCAGGCAGTCATTTTTGTAGCAAAACGTAACTCTCTTAAACACTTACTTTCGTAAATAATTACTTTGGTTATCCAGCAATTCTTACACTTTCGAGGAGTTTCATGCTTACTTTTGACTAACAGTACAGGAAAACATCTATCAAAGGTTTGCATGAATATATCATGGAGCATATTAAACTTTGAATCAAAGCCAAGCCCTTCATCGGACAAAAAATATCAGTCTGTTTCTTGAAATACCATTTTGAACATTTCAAAATCTTGAGGTTTATCGAAATAGCGTTTGCTGTGATAAGCAATTTGTGTTTGAGGGCTACTACTTCCTAAATTATAGCCTAGGATCTGCATATTATGGTCTGATAAGTTACAGTACGGAAAAGGTGGAGGGTATATTGGAGAAAATATTGTCGATGATCGATCTGCAGTTATTAGTAATTCTAGTGTAATCCCACACCTGTTGTCCGATATTCGATCGATTTCAGAATTGTAACAAGTTTCCTTGTTGATGAATGTATATTCAGTGGGTCAAAGTTCATGTTGAATTCCCCACAAACAACCATCGTGTTGCTCTTCAAATGCCTTTGCAATATATTATCAAAGTTGTAAATGATTAAATCAGAACTTGGGGACCGATAAAAACAGCCAATCGTCAAAAGAATATCATGGACATTTATGTCTATCATTGAAAACTCAAAAGCATATTCAAGTTGAGGAATACTACAACTAACAACCTTGTGCTGAATTCCAGAACGGATAAAAATCGCAACGCCTCCTACTTTCGCATCACATCTACAGTAAAAGCCAGCAAGAGAGTAGTTTGACACGGTAATCGTCTCAACGAGATTGTAACCAGCATACATACAACTTATGCGTAATCCAGGCTTAAAAGTAGTAACTCAAATTCCTCTATTTTATTTCGTAGGCTGCATATATTTAAATGACAAATACGTATTTGTATGTTACTACTGTTGTTATCTCTCACTAGCTATAGCCGTTATGTTACAAAAAAAAACAAGTTGAGGAAATTATTTTTTAGGGGTGCACCACTTCTAATGTCACTGAGTATATTCCATAACCTGGTAGTACAACCACCAGTGTATGACTAGCACCAGAATCAAGTAAACCCAACATGGAAAAACCCATTATATCGATTTTAAGGTAAGGACTAAATTGAATGCATAATTCAATAATGTTCTTGACGCTTTGCTCGACTTCGTACTCAGTGTACTTTTATGTCTATGATGCTGTATTTTTTCAATACTGACATGTCTACGAATACTTGTGAATTTTTTCTATGATCAATAAATATTATTATCCCCCCGGGAATGTGGAACAACATAATCGAGAATTTTGTTTTGAAAATCAAGCGTATCGGTCGTTAAAGGAGGTACATAATTCTCAGCTCTATATTTCTTAACCTCAAGCTTAAGACATGCCACCTCAAGTTCTTCCAGATTACGAACAACTGGGAGCTGGGTAGTATGAAATGGTGACAAATTCCTACATAAAATATGTAACTGAACCTCTTCCGTTAGATCGCCATAACGCCTAAATAATGCCTACATACAGGACAAATCATCAACAATACTCTCCGATGTATCTTGTGTCCTCTGTAAGAAGTATTTGAAAAGCAAATGACGCCTTAACAAATCAGCGAAGCTTTCCCAATCAGTCACTCTACTTAACAACTGTTTTTTCAGATATGTTACGAGCTGACCATAGTTCACTTTACTTTACATTGCCGGAAAATTTCAAGTTCCATTTCTGTATGCTTTGAGGCTTTGGTGGAACAGTTTGGACAATGGGAGATCTGGATGAAAATGGGAAAAAACCTGTTTGTTTCAAGAAAAAGCGGAGGTTCTCAGCAAAATCAGCTACAACCGTACAGGTGGCGGTCTTCCTCAATGCCTTCCACGCTGAAGAGGTTAAAATCCCATAAAAATGGATGGAGTAGCACCAAACAATAACAAAAACAGACTGCTAAAGGTAAGGTAGGTAAGAAAAAGGGTACTCGGTAAACTGGTAACTGGGGCCTAATATCCCAAAATTTGGAAACCAAATGAAGGACCAATACACCTTCTCAACCAAGGCTTCAGCAGGAAAAAATGACCTACCCGATTTTCCCGGAAGCGCCAGGTTGCATGCTCTGTTTATAGTCAAAGAATGTTAATATGTTACCTCAACCAAACTAGAAGACTAACTAATAAAGAGAAATGCAATACGATACCATTGTTACTGGGTTGTGCCTCAATAATTCATCTGCTGTACACTCCGGTAATTCCCCAAACACCACGAATATCGAATATCCCTCATTCCTCAGCTGGGCGAGATATAGTACTAGGTAGGTGTTTGATATTAGTTCAGGTCTTGGCAGTAAGGAATTTAAATTGAACCACTGATTTCCGATTTTACGAATAGTAAGCCAGTGGTCTTTGTAGTTACAGATGAACGCTTTCATATTCGAAGGATCGTCCGTTTTTATTCGTTCGTCTTCGCTACCGTAAGGCACCAGTTCTAAGCCCCATACTTGTAGAGCACTGCTTATCACCTGCAACAAATGAGTCAATGTGTAATGACAGTACAGATGTAAAGCTACTGAACGATTGTTGACTGATCACGGGTATCAAGTAAAAAACCTATAAAACGTCAAAAAAAACCTATAAGATGTCAACTTGCAGACTAGGTAGTTTTTAGGGCGCAAACAGTCATTCCACGTTTACTCAATAGGATCGTTGATTAATTTTTGACTTGTGAAGGATCTACATATTTCTGTATTGGAGTAATGAAGCTTGTTTTCCAACATTCCGGAAAAGTTCCACTTTTCAAGGAAAGATTAAAAATATAAAATAGAGGTCTAGAAATCAGACAGCTACAATGTTTACTCAACAACGGAGGTATACCATCAGCTCCAGATCCTTTATAAGCGTCTAATTTCGACAGTTTGTCATAGATGGCTGAGATTGGAATTTCATAGATAGACAAATTGATGACCCCATAAGTAAGATTACTATTCTGAACAGTATTATTCTCTACACTGTAAGTTTTAGAGAACTAGTCTGCAAACAAATTGGTAATTTGAAAACCAGAAGAACTACTGACATTATTATAATGTACTTTCTGAAGGTATGTAATGATAATCCTTACGGCTATTAACAAATCTCCAAAAAATTTTCACGTTTTCTCTAAGAGAAGATTCAGTTGTATTGACATAATCCAGATAATCCTCTTTTTTTAGATTTTTACACTGAGCTCTGAGAATGGAAAACTCATGATAATCATTTAGCAAGTGAGATTTGATGTATTTCTTGTGTAGTTTCTTTTTTTCAATTATCATTTGTTTAGGTTCTGGAGAAAACCAAATGGGAAATTTCTTTGCAGAGTTCTTCCTCAAAGGAACAAAAATATCAATTTTTAAATATATTACATCATAAAACATATTCAGCATATCACCACTTATTATACAAAGCGCTGACAACCACAATTCCATGGACAAAGATTCATTCAAAAAATGGGTATGTGAGAAGCTGATACCAGAATTACAAGAGCCATCTTTAGTAATCATGGATAATGCCTCTTATCATAATGCCTTGACAGAAAAAATGCACAGTTGGAGTAAAATGCAATTGAAGCAATGGCTGCAAGACAAAAAGACACATTTTGATGATGACGCTTTTAAACTCGAGCTTTTAAATATATGTCACTTTAACAAACCATCAGCTTCAAGATATATCATAGACGAAATATTACATGTACATGGACGTCAAGTTTTGCAGCTCCCCCCTTTACACTGTCAATACAACCCTATTGAGTTAGTCTGGGGCATAGCCAAACAGTACTATTATCGTCATATTGGGTAAATTGGCTATGGTGACAAGGAAGTTTTGAAATTTTGGGATGAGACTCTAGCGAAGGTGACTCCTACAGTTTGGGCCAAGTGTGTGAAACATACCAAGGACTTGATAAAAAATGCCTGGGACAAGCATCAATCATTAACTTGGGAGAAAGTTCAGACGACTCTAATGAAGAAATCCAATAATTCATACTTTTATTGAAAATGATTAATTTTATATACATATATAATTTTTAATTTTCTGTGTGCACCTTAATGTAGATTGTTAAATAATTTGATAGATATGGAAGTTTCAAGCTTGAAGTTTATTAAGGCGACATAGATTTTAAAGCTTGAGTCATCAAAATGTATTTTTTTGTCTATCGGTAATTTATTTAGTCGCATTTCACTCCAAGAAGAATTGATCATTTTTATTATTGATGATGGTTCTTCTAAAGCTCTCATAAGCTTGTTATATATCCACATCAAATATTAAATGTTCCATCAAGTTAGCAAATAGATGTGTTATTTTGTATTATATTGTAAATTCCTTATGTATTTTTTATTTCAACTTTAAAAAACATCAAATGGCATGTCATACCCTACCCATGTTTATGTATTAGATTGATTTTTGAAAATTACGATCAGTAAATAATTCTGATTTGGTTTCCCTCATTTAGAAAAATTAAGATCCGCCCATGGTACAGAGACTCAATCTGTTTCCTTATTTCATATGGCGTTGATGTCGTAACCATCAAGAATGGTGACTACAACTATACGCAATTTCCTTGAATTAGAATATTATTATACCTGTACTGAGAAATATCCACTATCATCCATATTTCCAGAAGGTTGCTGTAAAAATTTTTGGTATTCCTCACTTTCTTCGCCAGATTCAGCCATCCTCTGACGTTCTTCATCATCCAACTTCTGAGCTAAGGTACTGAGGTCAACAGCTGTGAAATAAGGACCCTGCAGGAGAGAGTTGAGGCAGTGCTGAGCACAAAGGGATCCCTCTTGCTAAAAATCAATATATTGTTATTTGGATATAAGAATGCCTCACAGTGGTATGCGTTTATGAAAATTATGTCAACCTGTGAAGGTGTGTCAACAAATCAGAAGTATTTGAAAGTAGGATGGAAAATTTTTATCAGCTTGAAAATCCCAAGTATTGTACACAAAACCATAGTCAATATTCAGACAGTATCTTAAGGAATGTCATAGACTTGCCCCCTATGGGTGATATTCATAAAATGGTGCAAGATCAATTAGGGAGAATGTGGCATGAATTTATATGAAAAAATTGCAGTAATATCCATGTGGTCTGGGCACTGCATATCAAACCTGACTACATGTGTTTCAATACATGGGAACAGAAGCTGGAATAAAATGGTTTTATCACCAAGTGGCCCAACTATTAGTATACTAATACTTATTTGCATATATAGTTCATACCACATACTCTTTGGGAACTGTGTAAGTGGAATAGACTGAAAAAATAGGAACCATCTAAATGCCCTCATCTTGAAGCTGTTAAGATACTGTACCTTTTCATGAAAAATAGATTCCATCATTTCATTTGTTCGGTACGAGATCGTTGATGAATCAACTGATAAAAATAGATCAGCTGTGCTTATTTGCTATTTGTTCAGGCTCTGGAAATCTGGAGTTTTTCTCAAACATTTTATTTGTTGATATATCCAACTTCAGAAATTGACACTTTTACATAGTTGATCTCTTGTATATTTGTTCGACAGTTACTAAACTACATCTGAAGCTGATGTGTATCACAAAAACAGGTTTTTGTATTGCTCCTTCTCCAGAGAAAACCCGATTATCCGATTTTCCAATTTCAGCAAAAAAATCATACGCATTTCTCTTCAGACATGACAATTTTTGACAGTTGACTTTTGAAGGATGCTCTGTTGCCGACATGTTCATTTGTGATATAGGTTCATTCCACCAAGCAATTTTGCACCATTTTAAAACGGTTTAAAAATCATTTACAGCTCATGCCCAAGAGCCCGAAGTAGGTACAGTTCAGAACTAGTTTGGAACTATTCTGCTTGAGTAGAGAATTACGTCGCTGGTCATAAGCATTACCTGAGTTGAAGTAACATTCAAAATCATCAAGTTTCGGCATCTTGGACATGGAATTTAATTTAATTCATTTTTTATTGACGCACTGTAAATCTTTAAAACATATGAAAACGAGATGACAGATTTAGCAAGAGATGAGTATCTTAGTGAAATATTTTTAAGGTATAGTATGAAGCTCTGTCTTTTTTAGAGCTGGAAAAATTTGTCACTTTGCCTTTAGATGAAGCATGTTCTGGCACAGAGAGGAGCAAATTAAGTGAAATGTTACTGGAACACTTAGCTATTAATTGACGTGAAACGAAAGGAATATGTATGATCGTTTTTTTATACTCTAACTACCATGAAGGCCTAAGGCCTAAACAGCCTTGGGGAACCATTGAGCTATAGGGGAATACGGGGAAAGGGAGGACACCACACGGAACCTAACGAGGGTTCCAAAGTAATATTCATCGTCACCTATTTTTTTGAATATTGCACGCACGGCACAATTAACCATTTGATATATAAGAAGATTGAAATGTTAGAAAAGGCAAACTAATAGCAGCTACATGCTACAAGATCCAGCTTCCGAGCTATGTACATCCCATCACAGTCATTTATTCGGTTAGAACTAGTTCAGAACCGCGGTTCTGAACTTGCCCGAATAGAGAACTACCAGTGACGAACTTGGTTCCATTTTCTGTTGGAACGGAAATTTCGATCTGCACATGATTTGTTCAGTTCAGAACTAGTACGGTGGTTAGTTGGAACAAAAATTTAGAACTAGTTCCGAACTATTCTGTTGAAACAGAGAGCTACAAGACACGTTGTCGCTCACATAATCTTAATTTAAGAGAAATATTTACATAACATCTAAAAATGTAAAAATTAGATTAATCGCATGATTCAAATAAGTTGATTGAAGCTATCAATGTAATTGTCATTGCTTGTTCTTGTAACGCCTTTAATTAACTCCAGATCTTCATCTTCACTCGAATCTTCTCCAAAGTAATATCCATATCCTTATATGTTCTCTCTCAAAACCAGAAATAATAAAATCAGTTCAGAATTAGTTATGAATCAGTGCGGAATTTGTTGGAACAGATAACCCTTAATTCTTGAATCAGTTCTAACTTCTGTTGGAACGGAAATATCGATCTGCACATGCTGTTTAAGTCAGGATTAGTTTAATAGTTTGTTGGAACAAACCTCATTACAGCCTAGTTACATGGACGAGGCAGTTGTCAGGAAACGACCAAATATTTTTGTTTTTTTTTGAATTTTTTCCCGATAACCATGACTTCTATCATAGAACAAGAACTGAAACATCAAGTTTGAATTTGAAATTCATCAATTAATAGATTTATAATGCGTATTTAAAAAATATACGAATTTGTATCTCTTCTAATGGTTTCTTTTTATTTTAATTTTTGTAGGTACTTTCCGATTGATTTTTGAATTCTTCATTTTATTTTCCGTTTGAATGTTCAAGATCTTTTAACTTTCCTTTTATCCACCAATCAGGAGGCATCTTTTTTGTTTTTCTCATGCGTGTTGACATTCAACATGGCGGCATGTCGTCAGTGCTGTGCTGTGTCGTGGTGAGTTGAAAAAAATCAAATTTTCGTTGAAAACCCTTGAAATTCTCATTCAAACGTACGTACATTGAAATATAATAAGCCGATACTCAATTTAGGCTCTCATTTTTGGACGCATGACGGGTATTTTTAACATTCCGCACACATTTTTTTGTGATATACATACGTTTAACCCCTCCGATGGCTTCTTTTGTGCCGCATATCTACGCAGTACGAAGGAAGGGCTTTGAAAAACTAGGAAAAAATCATTACTAGGGTCTTTCGATGCCAGAGTGAACAATTATACATATTTCAGGAGAATATAAAAAATCCGACTTCAATAAATCGATATAAAATGTCGGTTCTACTGGTGCATCCTTTAGGTTCAGTTAATGTGTACATAAAGGATATCAATTATTAATGCTTTCCATTTACTTCTCTTGATTTCGCATTTTCGTTCATTAAAAGTACTGGAAGTATCAGCAGCTTTATCTTGGCCTATTTAAATGTAGTCCAACATTACCTCCATTGTAAATCAGGTTTTTATACTGCATTCCAGAAAGTGTTTATTCAATTCACACTTCCTCATTTTTTGTGATATTAAGATTATTTGTGCATGTAGAAGCTTCTTGTTCTTTATGAAAGACATAACAGCAACAATATTAAAATAGTTAAAATGTAACCATGTTTTAAGATATGTATTCTTTTTGATCTATTATTATTCATTGTAAGAAATAAAAAATATGCTTCCTCTTTTTATGGGTTCTCCTATTCCATTTACACAACTTGGAGAAACAAGTATATTAGCCAACTTTACATTCTTTCAATTTGAACTTCATCTAAAAGAATCAATTATCCCCTAATCAATTGGTATTAACCATCTAATGTGAAATGCTGATTTTTACAATAATTATGGTTGTATGCATGATGTACTAACTAGTCATGATATAGTTAAGTACCACAAAAATGTTATTCCAGAAAATAACACAGTTTTCAATATATCAAAATCTAGGTACTGAACATTTTGTGAATTGTTTTTTTATTACATGCATTTTTGTTACTTGCAATGCAAAGGATTGTTGCTTTGTTGCTAATGGTTGCACTTTTATTTCATTTAGTTTTTATTTACATAAATTGGAATGCTTTATCATTATGATTCTTGTAAAATAACTGATCAACAGCTGACACCGTGATTATATTTTTCTTTAATCTGTATTTGGGATTTCAATGTTCCACCAAAAAATTTTACGCAATACAACAAATCGTAGAAATAAACCATCTAAGTAGTTTAAAACATCAAGGTTTGTAATAATAATAATAATAACAATGAACCTCTATTCCACCCATTCACAGGAACATTAACACTAATAATAAGCATCAAGTTCCTTGTGTATAAAAGTTCAATTTACAAAATGCATTGAAACAGTGAATGAAAAGCATTTACAGGAAATAAAAACATAAACAAACAGTAAAATTTACTCAAAAAAAATATACAGTGAAATCTCCTTTGGATGCACACCAAAGAGACAATGAAGGTGTCCATTCAAGAGCTGCTGTGTCTGTATAAACTGAATATATTAAAGAAATGGAGACATTTAAAATGTATATGTACAGTAATGGACAAAAGTATATAGACAAATTAATATTGTGCTGTATTTCTTTTTTAACTTGTTTTATTAATACACCAACCTGTAAACATAATTCGTTATAGCATAATACTTATACATAAATAAATTCATTAGAATCCCTTCAATAAAAAATTAATTGAAAAAACTGGAACTATGAAGGACAAAAATATATAGACAAAGCAAAACAATTATAGAAAAAAGAAGCAAAGTTCATTGAATTATAGAAAACCAACCATGTTAGTGTTAATATTTTGTAGCATAACCATTATTATTAATCAACGCCTGGCATCGACTCGCATAGATTGTAGAAGTTTCTTGATATAAGATTCATCAATCTGTCTCCACTTTTGCTCTAAAGTGGCAAAAAGTTCATCCTTGTTTGAATAATGTTTATCTTGTATTTGCTTATCTAAGTATTCTCATAGATTTTCAATGGGGTTTATATCGGGAGACTGTGAAGGCCATTTGGGAACTGGTATTTTTTCATCCAGAAAGAATTTCTTTGCAAGATTTGAAGTGTGCTTCGGGTCATTATCTTGCTGGAAGATTGATCTTAAGGGCATATTGTCTTCCATATAGGGTAACATGACATGCTTTAGTATGTCTGTGTATACAAACTTAACCATAATGCCATCTATTCTATGTAAAGGTCCCATCCCAAACCCCGAAAAGCACCCCCAAACCATAACACAGACCCGCCTCCATGTTTTTGACAGTGGGCAAATGTACTGGGGGTTCAATCTTTGTCCACTAGGACGTCTAACGTAATGAACTCCATCTAATCCAAACATATTGAACTTGGATTCGTCACTGAAACATACCCTCTTCCAGTCGCAGATGCTCCAATCAAGATGCAACCATGCAAATTGTAATCGGTCCTTATGGTTCTTCCTCGAGATTAGCGGCTTCTTACTCAGGCGACGAGCAAATAACTTCAAATCATTTAATCTTCTACCTATAGTATTTGTAGGAACACTGACAATTCCTTTTGTCTCGATTTCGGATTTTATTTGTCTTGGGGTTTTAAACGGATCTTTAGACGAAATTACTTTTATTAATCTAACTGATCTAGCATTTAGTTTTCAAGGCTGATCACTTCTCTTAGAGGCTTCCAAGATAGCTTTTTGTTTATATTTGTTCAATATTGCCCAAACTGCTTTACGCTTCAGCTTCAAATTTTTGGCAATGTCGACTTGATGTTGACCATCATTGTATAACTCAATGATCTTAGTTTTCATATCGAAAGAAATTTCTGGACCACGCAGCATGGTCTTAAAATCACTCAACTTATTCCACAATACTTGATGAACACAAACTAATGCTCTGCGGTCACGAAACTGTACTAAACTGATGATGAAAAGAATTTGTCTACATATGTTTGTCCCTCATAAAAAAGTGCTTATATTCAGACTTGTATTGTGTTCATTGAAGATAATGTAAAAACAAGGAATGTAGTTTTTCTACTAATAACGCATTTGTTTATGAATTCGTTTTCTAAAGATATTCAGGTAAATATTCATATTTGTCTATACACTTTTGTCCATTACTATATATAAATGTTTTTAAAATAAAAATAAGGAAAAAAAATCCGTATATTGTCAGTTCTCATTTTTTTTTTTTAAATGGCATCGAGAAATCGTATTTCTTCTTCAGAAAGAAGGTCGAAACTCATTATCTCCTGATTTTTGACATAACTTTTGAGCTGCTTGGTCAGGGTAACAGCTTTACCATAATTTGAAATAGCTTCTTTTACTAGTGGAGCCTCATCAACATCAAAATCATCGGAAAGTTCTTGTATTTCAACTGGATTTTCAATTTCATGGCCTGAATCTAGATCTTCAACATACAAACTTTCATCCACGTTAAAAAAATCGTAAAGTTTTTCAGTGTCAGACAATTTTGCACTGTTTCTTTGGTTACTTAGTTCCAAGCAGTTTTTGACAAATAAATTGCGACCAATGACATAATTTTCTTTATTAACTCAAAAGCTGTACCAGCAGTTTCAATGTTTACTAACAGGTGTTTGAGTATTAGACTTTGGTAATAAGTTTTAAAACCCTTTATAATCCCTTGGTCGAGAGGTTGACAAGTTGATTTACAATTATGGGGCAAAAATAAGATTTTTATATTATTTAAGCGGATGTCTTTTGGATGAGATTCTGTATTATCTAAAAATAAAATGTTTCTTTTTTCTTTAGACATTTTCTAATCTAGGTCTTTGTCATAATTTGTCTTGTCATCCAAGCTTTCTTATTGCATTTTCAAGTTACAGGTATACATTTTGATGTTTTTAAAAGCTCTGGACTTAGCTGCCTTACCAATGATTAGGAGTTTATTTACACCGTGCGAAATTCTAAACCTTTCTTTGGGATCCTTACCCCAACACATTTTTCCGTCTTTAATGGGTAGAGCCCTTGAAAAAGGAAATTTTGCCAAAAATGATGTCAAATTTTCAGCATTAACCGAACTCCCGAAATCGCTTTAAAACTTATATTGTGCCAAATTCTAAATTTATTGAGCTAACCAGAAGAAGCACTGAATGTAGAATGACCCAGAGAATCGGATACTTATTAGCTGACATAAAAAAGGTTTTTTGCGTTTTTGCCACGACAAACATATTGATAATCTCACTCTTTTTATCTATTTTAGAATTGATATGTAAAGAAAATCAATACATTAATACAAAAAACCTTCTAAAAAATAGTATGCATACATACCTTTCAAAGGAATCCCCTTATGACGAGCTGCTATAAATCAGTCATATCACAATTTCTAAATTTTGGTACCATCACCCGCCAAAAAGCTTCTTTTTTTTACATTCAAATTCCTGTTTGACATCCATTAACTCGGAAGGATTTCTTTATTTTTAATTATATCAGCAGCTGGTGTTTTTCCAATATTAAAAGCTTGGATAAGTTCCTTACACTTCGCTTTATTGTCTACTTCAACAATCTCAACTTTTTGCTTAAGCATCAGAACTTTTCTAATTGGAGTACAATGAATGTGTCGCCCACTGTGTCTTTTCCGCATAGACGTCAGACTAATACTGAATGGAAATTTAATCGAGAGCGTGTACCCAAAGAACAAGAACGGTAAATCCCCGACCAACTCTGATTCACACCGGGCAGCAATGCACCACATAGGCTGCGTTTGTATCGAAAGATTAAAGTCGGTGAATCCCAGGTTTACTCGAGAAAATCCCAACGAAAATGGCGCGCGGCGCGATTGAGAAATGCAATAGCGATACTCTCTAATAAGACGTTTCTTTTTATTTTGTTTTTTGTCCGGTTAGGCGAACATTTTCTCGTGCCCGCGTCCGTCCAAGAGAGAGTTTATACAATGCAAATTATATGAGAGTCGCTTGGGACCATGAGAAATTGTCCGTTGTAAGAGGGGTGTTCGCTAAGGGGAATTTCTCTGTATATCCGATTTTATGGACAACAATTTTAGGATCTGTTTTAATGTATTGTATTTTTCATGAATGATTCTTTGTCCTAATATTTTATGTGTATTTTAAATCGACTTGTTTTCTCTTTTTGACTTGTGTAAATGCATATACAACACCAGTAAATATTATTATTATATGGGGTTGTCCAAAAAGGACGCAGGAAAGTAAACGCATATTAAAACAAGAAAGATTGATATTCAAATAAGTTGGGTACTTTATTTTGAAGGTTCATTTATACCATTTATGTATGAAAAATAGTATCGCTCAAATGTTCACCTCGACTGGATTTACAGACGTCCACGCGATGGTCGAAATTTTCAATGACATTTTGCAACATGGTCGGTTCTATGGCATTTATTTCGGCAATGATGTTGTTTTTGATTTCTTGGAGGGTGGCTGGTTTGTGTGTTGCTTTTCAAATATCCCCATAAAAAGAAGTCCAAGGGAGTCAAATCGCACGATCTTGGTGGCCATGGCACATTTCCTCTGCGCGAAATCACGCTATCACCGAAGAAGGACTGCAGTCGATGGATATTGACGTTGGTTGTGTGGTATGTTGCACCGTCTTGTTGGAAATAAACATCGTCCATATCCATTCCTTCAAGTTGCGGCCAAAAATAATCCTCTATCACCACGTGATATCGCTCAGAATTTACGGTAACGGCGTCCCCGGCCGCATTTTCGAAAAAGTAAGGTCCGATGATGCCTTTTGACTACAATGCACACCACACAGTCACTTTTTGAGGATGCATCGGCTGCTCTTAATACTCACGGGGATTTTCGTTCGCCCAAATGCGGCAGTTTTGCTAGTTTACCGTCCCATTCAAAGTGAAATGCGCTTCGTCGCTGAACATGATTTTTGATGAAAAATTGGCATCAATTTGGCGGTGTTCAAGGAGCCAATCTGAGAACGTTCGGTGCGAAAAATGGCAGCTCTTGCGTCAATTGGATCTTGTAGGCGTGTACATTAAAATCCTTGTGGAGAATGCGGAGCAAACTGGTTCTCGAAATGCCCAATTCTTGGGATCGACGCGTTGTTGATTGTTTCGGATCGTCTCTCACACTCTCCTTCACAACAGCAATATTTTCCTGTGTGCGAACGCTCCTTGGCCGGCCAGAGCCTGGCAGATTTGCCACAGAACCTGTTGCCTCGAATTTACGCACCAGACGACCGACGGTTGTTTCGTTTGGCCGGTTGTTGCGACCGAAATGTTCACGAAGCGCGCGAAACGTGTTTTTTATTTTTACACGATTTTTGTAGTGCTCTTGAATAACTTTAATGCGGTCTTCAATCGAATACGACTCCATAGCGATCAATGGTAAACATTCAACTAACAAAATGACATGTCGGTGACAGAAAACAAAGATGGCGTCTATGTCAAATTGACGTTTACTTTCCTGCGTCCCTGTTGGACAACCCTTTATCTCTGTTTGTGTAACATATCCAACTCTATTCAAAATGTTCTCTATGATAGAGGTATCATTTTTCTCTTGTCATATTACATGAAGTTTTGTTGCTTTTGTCATATTACTAATATGTGTTTCTTTTTATTACAGCTTGTGTAACTAAGAACTCCAAAATTTAGCATACTATAGAAAATTTGAAGTATTCAGCGCAACTGACTGGCCTTATATACAAATGAGTAAGAAAATTATGAGCATCATACGGCACAATACGCACCCAGCACGCATTGAAGACATCTGAGGATATTTTATTTAATTTTTCATATATACGTTTCATATAAATTTTGAGTGACTGTGGATTGTAATTGTTTTTATATGTTATACCTTCTCCTGATTGTTTTTCCTCTGCCTTCCGTACAAAGAAAATATTGTGAACTTGTTGGTTGATGCACCTATTATTATATATACTGTATATTGTGAGAGTCACTTTTGAGTAAAGTGTACGGTTGCCATTCATAAACGTACAAGCAAACAGACCGTCTGTTGTGCTTGGGGGGAAGTTGACTAGAAAGAAGCAAAACTGAAAAGGATACCTTTACACATACACACAATACTACGACAAACCATTCTGTGATATTCACTACACTTAAAAGAAGCAAATAAAGAGAAGCAAGAAAGAAAGAGTAGAGACCAAAAGCACACGCAAACGGACTATGTCGACAAATCCTCAGTGGAAGAGAGTCCAGCCGCCACCTGACAACATCACTCAAGATGCCAGTATCATGGATTTCAAGTCATTGACCAGTAATGGTAAGTTGATATAATGATTATACACTGAGAATAAAATTTGTCTGAATGCCTGAGCTCAATGTGTATGAGAGACAAGTGTGTTTAGACATACAGGGTGGTCCAACGAAAGGTCCCACCCTCCATTTGTGATTCACCTGATATAACTTGTAAAAAACGCTCGGACACGTCACTGTAGTGGAAAAAAGTATATAGACAAATTAATATTGTGCTGTATTTGTTTTTTAACTTGTTTTATTAATACACCAACCTGTATACATAATTTGTTATACCATATAATACTCACTTATACATAAATAAATTCATTAGACTCCCTTCAATAAAAAATTAATTGAAAAAAACTGGAGCTATGAAGGACAAAAATATATAGACAAAGCAAAACAATTATAGAAAAAAGAAGCAAAGTTCATTGAATTATAGAAAACCAACCATGTTAGTGTTAATATTTTGTAGCATAACCATTATTATTAATCAACGCCTGGCATCGTCTCGGCATAGATTGTAGAAGTTTCTTGATATAAGATTCATCAATCTGTCTCCACTTTTGCTCTAAAGCGGCAAAAAGTTCAACCTTGTTTGAATAACTTTTATCTTGTATTTGCTTATCTAAGTATTCCCATAAATTTTCAATGGGGCTTATATCGGGAGACTGTGAAGGCCATTTGGGAACTGGTATTTGTTTATCCAGAAAGAATTTCTTTGCAAGATTTGAAGTGTGCTTCGGGTCATTATCTTGCTGGAAGATTGATCTTAAGGGCATATTGTCTTCCATATAGGGTAACATGACATGCTTTAGTATGTCTGTGTATACAAACTTAACCATAATGCCATCTATTCTATGTAAAGGTCCCATCCCAAACCCCGAAAAGCACCCCCAAACCATAACACAGACCCGCCTCCATGTTTGACAGTGGGCAAAGTGTACTTGGGGTTCAATCTTTGTCCACTAGGACGTCTAACGTAATGAACACCATCTGATCCAAAAATATTGAACTTGGATTCGTCACTGAAACATACCCTCTTCCAGTCACAGATGCTCCAATCAAGATGCAACCGTGTAAATTGTAATCGGCCCTTACGGTTTCTCCTCGAGATTAGCGGCTTCTCACTAGGGCGACGTGCAAATAACTTCAAATCATTTAATCTCCTTCTTATAGTTTTCGTAGAAACACTGACAATCCCTTTAGTCTCTATTTCGGCTTTTATTTGACTGGGAGTTTTAAACGGAACTTTGGACGAAATTACTTTTATTAATCTAACTGATTTTTGTTTATATTTGTTCAATATTGCCCAAACTGCTTTACGCTTCAGCTTCAAATTTTTGGCAATGTCGACTTGACGTTGACCATCTTTGTATAACTCAATGATCTTAGTTTTCACATCGAAATAAATTTCTGGACCACACGGCACTCAACTTATTCTACAATACTTGATGAACACAAACTAATCCTCTTCTGATACGAAACTGTACTAAACTAATGTTAAAAAGAATTTATCTACATTTTTTGTCCCTCATAAAAAAGTGCTTATATTCAGACTTGTATTGTGTTCATTGCAGATAATGTAAAAACAAATAAGTTAGTTTTTCTACTAATAACACATTTGTTTATGGAGCAATGAAGGATGAATTCGTTTTCTAAAGGTATTTAGGTAAATATTCATATTTGTCTATATAATTTTGTCCATTACTCTATGTATTGCGTTACATTTTGAATTCTTAGATGGAAACTCCCAGTTTTTTTAATTTTTATATTTTCCATGAAGTTTTCAGTAAGCTATTTAAGTTTATAATAAAATTCTAGAAATTGTGATAAGGGATTCTATCAATAACAATAATCGTTATTTGCAAATACAAATGCTATACAATAGCTGTAAACCACTTGTGATACAAATAGTGTCAACCAAACAAAATTAAGGATAAAATCTTGCTTTAAAGCATATTATTCAAATCTGTCTTGAAAAATTCATAGATTGTATGTGGTCCTAAATTTAGTAATATATTATATAATATTTAGTTAAACTTAGTCTTACAATCTTTTACACAACTGCTGGTAAATGGTTTGAAAGTTTTAGACAATTATAAAGAGGTCTTTTTTCAAACAATGTTAATCTATGCTTAGGATAAATATAGTTAAAAACTCTAGTATGGTTACTTGTAGGCTCATTAACTGTGAACATTCGCTTATTTTCAAATAGATATATAAGACACTCTTGAATAAACACTCCAAAAACTGTTAACATACCGAATTGCTTGAATTTGCCTCTACATGATTTATTCAACTTCAAACCTAAAATATTTCTCAATATTCTCTTTTGTATTACAAAAATTCCATGAAACAGCTTCCGAATAACATATTTCCATACCTTAATCTAGATTCAAAATTTGAGTAAAAATAATCAATATAGTAGTAGTAGTAACAAGGCTTTACAATTAAAAACAAGTCTTCAAGTATTAAAAAACAAAAAGCAATTGACAGTTTACAGTACATTAAAGTTAAAGTAAAAATTAACTTGCTAATAAGAGGCAGGTTAATGTGATAATGAGTTCTGAAAGTGGCGTCCATTTACCTCCATACAATTCTGTTCGAATCTATTCCTCACATTTTCAAGCATGTCTTGAATTATTTGTCTACATCCAGGCGTAATCCGCTGACGAAGATCTTCATTGGAATCTGGCTTCGTACTAAAAACTATTTTTAAATGCCCCAATTATATCCAAAGGTTAACATGGAAGGGTCTAGCAAGTCGAAAAACGTGAAACTTATTTTGAAGCTTGGATAAGCAAGTAGACATTTTTTGTAACGATTCTTCAACGTGATTGAGAAAAAACGCTTCTGTTTTGTTATTCTTACAAGATTCTGTTAAATTCTATTCTTCGGATCAACGCCTCCCTTGTTCCAACTTCTGTCGCGTAAACGAGTTATTTTGCACGCCCCCGGATGTAAAAATCCAATAGAGTTAGGTCTGGGAGCGTGCGGAAAACATCATTTAGATGTTCCCGCACAATTAGCCTCCAGTGTGTAGGACAGCCATCATGTTGGAACACAAGTCGTCTGTCGCCATTGAAAATTGGCACCTCATTCACCAATTCGGGCAACTTATTTTGCAGAAAATGCAGATAATTATCTCCGTTAAGACGATCTGGCAAATAATGTGGCCCAATCACATGATTGCCAATTACTCCTGCCCAAACATTCACACTGAATCTTCTCTGAAAAGAGCTTGGCCTCTTCACTTTTGGGTTCTGATCTTTTGAAACCCTATGGTGCAGATTGGGCAAATTTAGCATCCCTCCCTTGGTAAATTTGGTCTCATCCGTCCACAGAATACTTGTCAAAAAGTCCGGATCGTCCACGTCTGTGTGCAGCAAGAAACTACAAAACTGGACTCGGTTGTCGAAGTCATTGTTTTCAAGACCTGCAATCAAAAAAATACGGATAACATTGCTACATGCTAAATAAAAGCGATAAGAAGTTTCCATTGCAGACAGTTGTAAGTGTGATAAAAAATTACGTACCTTGTACAGGAGTGTAGTGGAAGGCATGTTTATTATTCTGGCGAAGTATTTTTCACACTTTCCAAATTGAAATTCACAGTGATGAAGCTACATTTCGGATGCTTTGAGTAGGATCTCTAGGGAGACAAAAGTTTTTACCTGAGTTACGTTGTACGTGTAAATTACACAACAGAAACAAAAATTCATTGTTATTATATGACCGAAAAAAATTGACCCTGTACACAAAATTTGCAAATTCAAGAAATTGTTTGTGACTTGTGGCATACCGTTAGAATCGGGATAAACTAGAGTAGTTTTTAAAAGAATTCTAAGAACGTGAACGCTTTTAGTTTTTTTTACAAAAATTCAAAATTGAGACTTACATTTTTTTGTTCTTCTTTGTAACCCTTTGTGAGTTTATAAATAAAAACTACATGCTGCTGGCAAGTAATGTTGATTTTGTAAGATTGGTACATCACCCATTAAGATAAATCAATCATTAGGTGGACTTACTCTTTATTTTTTTTTTATTTCACTTTGTGTATTACATTTTGGAGTTTTTACTAAAAAAAATTAAAAAATCTACATAATTAATTCCGTTGGGCTAAAAACTGTTTGAGGGACCTGGGGTGATAGAAAAATACCTCCTCTGTCCGCCATTCCAATTTGGCAAACGATGCACCAAACACCCTGTATATTATAAATGATTACTTTGTTGACGATTAGTAACGAATACTCGAAAGTAACGAGAATCAACATCACACTTCCCGAGTTTCTCTCTCGCACACATTAAACTTGAGCCATCAGACAAATTAGGTTTTCCCTGTATGATGTACTAAAATGTACCGAACGAGTTTTACCATAATTTTTTTGTCTACAACTAGGCAAGACTCCATCCCAGCAGCATTTCTCACAGGTGGCGGCGGCCTACAACACGAGCCGCTCTTTCCCTGCCTTGAATGAGAAAAGTGTTTCTCAAGGATTGTATTCTGGCGTTTCTTCGCAGCAGCCGAACGGCCTTTATGGATCAGCCAGCGCTACACACACATCTACCAGGTAGAGCAAACCAGGCAATTATTGGACAGTTAAGGTTTAGACAACTTTAAAAGAGAGCCAAACATTCAATTATGGCAAAGAGACAATGGAAACTACATATAAAGGAAGTTAGAGGCTTTATTAACTAGACTGCTAGAACATATTTGAAAATAGCTTTGCAGAATTTTCACTAACAATGATAATTTGAACATATGCAAAAAACTATGGTTATTGGACGCATCGTTTAGATATGGGACACTGAAAATCCAGTTATTGGACGGGTCTTATATATGGTATTATCATTTGTAAAATGCTTTTTTCTCTTGATTATATTGGTCGTATAATTCATCGACTTCCTGATCATCAATATCTTTATAATCCTCGACACTATCACTCAATCTGTAGCAGTTATGACATATGTATAAATCGTCATCGCTAGGTATGTTATGTTCGTGACTTTGTGGAACACAGTCTTGATGATAGTATCGTTTACAGTCATCACATTGTAGTTCCCCAGATCTGATGCCCTTTAGGCAGGCAGAGCACTGTGTTGCTGTTCTTACCTTTACCTTGTTTTTGGTTTCGTTTTTCCTGCTTCTTCCTTTTTCTATTTTCTTTCTCTTCTTCCTGATGTTTCTGTAATTCTTTTTTCATGAACATCTGATATCGCTCAGATGTTATAGCAAAAGGAAATCGCTTCATGTTTCGTTTACCCTTTCTTGCTGGTGCAGAAGGTACTAGGAAGCTTCCTATCAACTTGTTTGTAACTACGACTCGGTTGGGGGGAATTATTTGCTTACACATTACATTGACGGTAGCTTTGCTGGTTCTCGGTTGACTAAGGGTTGCGGTTTGTTCAGTTTCTCTAGAATTTGTAGCAAGTGAAGGATTTTTTGTTGGGGACATTATAACTATATTTTGTACAATATTAATTTTATTTTTTTGGCTCTGTGATATCCGTAGGTATTGTATCAGCGTTTTTTTTTCTAAATCCAGCTTGATTTTTTATCAGAATTTTGGTGTCTTCAATGAATTCTATGATTTGTTCGTATATTATCCCTTCGGGCAAGACATTACTCGGCCGCATATTTGTATACAGCTGAGAATTTTGAACTTTTGGCACAGGAATAATGTTGGAACACTTTAATTTTGATGGGAATTCACCATGTACTAAACAATGATTCACCAATAATGATAATTTCTCTCCAATTATATTGAAACAATCATTTAGAATACATACACTTTTTTGGGTATCTTATTATTGGAAACTACCGTTATTATTTATACGAAAACTTTGTAGGTAGACCAATAAACATTATTATTATATGGATTCTGCTTTTTTGACATTAATGGCATCGAGTTGTCCCTGTTTGGTTTGTAGGTTTCCTACTGTGGGCACATTCGCTGTAGATGCAAACAACGCCTACAACAGCGGCGATGGCGGCCAAATGTATTCATGCTCGAACGGCAACGGATCTAGTTATGATTCCTCTAACTCGGCCAATCTCGGCACCAGAGAAACCGGGATCATTGAAAAGCTGCTGGTAAGTAAAAATTCATCACTGATATGACGATGTAACAAATACAGTAAAATCTCCTTTGGACGGACACGGGACCGACTGAAAGTGTCCGTTCAAGAGGGGTGTCCGTATACAGGGTGTTTCAGTTTATTGTTGCATAACTTTAAGATTCGATAGACCTTTTAAAATTAATGCATAAAGTCTATATAAACATGGGTCGAAAAATGCGTGGCTTCCGGAATACATGGTGTTTAAATTTACTTTATAAAATAGTTTTTTTTTAAATATTTCGAACAATATTTGATGTATAACAGTGAAAATTGGTATACAAGGGTTTTTTGGTACGACAAAACGAACCATGGGCATAGTTTTACTGTAGCCGCTAGAGGGCGCTCTACTGTACCTGTAGTGTATTAAAATGACTTAGTGCAATTTTGTGCTTTTTGAATAAAAAAACTGATTCTTCGCACTTTTCAACATAAAAAAGCTCTTCTGTGAGTTTTCGTTATAGTTAGCTGTTTTTGAGATATTTCGATTTTTAAGGTTCGATGCATTTTTGATTATTTATGGAAAAATAATATTTTTTTACATTTTCGATTTGGGCATTACAAGTAATTAAGATGATCGTTTAGATTGTGTTTTTAAACACAGCAATAATTCCTAACTCCAAATAAACACAAAAAACAATATTAATTTGTTTAATTTTCCAATATTATTTTTAACAAATTAAATTAATTATTTACAACTAAAATGCTATTGGATAGTTAGGACAAACTTACAAAATCTAAAGTAGTTGCTCGAAATGTAAACCCAATTGTTCAATACACAATTCACATCTACGAATGATCGAACGTGGTATAGCACTATTCAAATAAGGCCTTATTTCATCACATGCATTCCTGATTCTGACTATTAGCATATCTCTTGTGGTTACGGGAGTCTGTTACACTTTTTCTTTTAGAAATTCCCACACAAAGAAATCTAATGGATTTAGGTCAGGGGATCGTGGAGGCCAGGCGACTGGTCCTCCACGGCCGATCCATCCTTCTGGATAATTTTCGTTCAGCCAGTTTCTAACTATTCTCGAATAATGAGCTGGACAACCATCAAGCCGGAACCAGGCCAATCTTCTTAAATCTAACATAACATCATCCCACATATTTGCATGTTCAGCCTTTAAAAATTCCAAGAAGGTCGTAGCATTTAACCTTGCAGGCAAAAGATAGGGTCCAAATAGTCGATTACGGTAGATACCAATCCACACGTTCACACGAAATTCATGCTGAAAATTTCTTTCCCGAACTGCATGCGGATTTTCATGCGGCCAAATATGTTGATTATGAAAATTTACCACTCCACGTCTAGTGAAGCATGACATAAAACGTTCCCTAAAAACTCCCTATTATTATCAATTCTATCAAGAATCCACTGACAAAATGTGATTCTTCGTTCCCCGTCCCCTGGCTGTAGTCCTTGCACAGGTTGCAAATGGTAAGGACGTCTATGGCCATTTCTAAGAACTCGGTGAACATGGCTTGCTGAAATTCCTAAGACACCAGAAACTCTCCTAACACTTGTGGTCGGATCTCTATCAAACTCACGCAGAATTATACGGGTAAATCTGCGCTGACGAACATTTATGTTTTGATCCCTTTGGAGATTTCCAAAACCATTTTCAATTATTTGGCGATGCATTCTTACAAATACTGAGCGAGTTGGATGTCGTCTGTTTGGAAATCATCGTGCGTATTCTCTGGCTGCTTCTGCTGCGTTTCCATTTACAAAGCCATACACAAAATGAATATCCGCTAACTCTTGATTGGAGAATAAAAATGGCAAAAGAAACTAAATTTCGTGCATTCACAATTGCAAAAAAACGTTTCAGGTTTCAACAGACAACAAAACTAACAGAAACGAATTGACGTTTAACCTTATTCTGCTTTCAATTTCAAAAATATTTGCAGGCACAGCCTGCTTCTAAAAATTATCGAGATACTGACTTTAACGTTATTTTATCATAAATAATTAAAAATGCATCCAACCTTAAAAATCGAAATATTTCTTATATGTTAGCCATTTAACTCTTCCGACCCCGGTTCTTCTTCGGGATCAGAATCCTCCGCTGCTGGTCCTGGAACAAGGTCCTTTGCTTCTTTGGAGGTCGGTAGCGATTTATAGTAATGATATGCTTCAGGAATAACATTATTTTTGCAAAGTTTGAGCAAATCTTGCTTTTCCATTTACAAAGCCATACACAAAATGAATATCCACTAATTCTTGATTGGAGAATAAAAATGGCATTTTTATAAAACTTACAAAAAAAAAAACAGGTAAAAGAAACTAAATTTCGTGCATTCACAATTGCAAAAAAACGTTTCAGGTTTCAACAGACAACAAAACTAACTGTCAACTAATTGACGTTTAACCTTATTCTGCTTTCAATTTTAAAAATATTTGCTGGCACAGCCTACTTCTAAAAATTATCGAGATACTGACTTTTTAACGTTATTTTATCATAAGTAATTAAAAATGGTGTTTAACCTTATTCTGCTTTCAGTTTTAAAAATATTTGCTGGCACAGCCTACTTCTAAAAATTATCGAGATACTGACTTTTTAACGTTATTTTATCATAAGTAATTAAAAATGCATCGAACCTTAAAAATCGAAATATCTCAAAAACGGCTAACTATAACGAAAATTCACAAGAGAGCTTTTTTATGTTGAAAAGTGCGAAGAATCAGTTTTTTTATTCAAAAAGCAAAACATTGCACTAAGAAAAAATTTTCGGTCATTTTAATACACTACAGGTACAGTAGAGAGCACCCTCTAGCGGCTATAGTAAAACTATGCCCATGGTTCGTTTTGTCGTATCAAAAAACCCTTGTATACCAATTTTCACTGTTATACATCAAATTTTGTTCGAAATATTTAAAAAAAACTATTTTAGAATGTAAATTTAAACACCCTGTATTTCGCCGCGCATTTTTCGACCCATGTTTATATAGACTTTATGCATTAATTTTAAAAGTTCTATCGAATCTTAAAGTTAAAGAAACTGGGACATTTAAAACGTATATCTATAAATAATCATAAAACTTGAGAAAACAAAGGTTTGTTACCGTTATATACTATGCACATACAAAGGATACTATAAAGGTTTTGCAATATGTCTGGTCTCTGCATGTTGAGACATGTCCATGAGTGCATAGTAGCCGCCGGCGTCTGTTGATTTAATTGTTTATTCGTATTGACAGCGATGAGGACCTTGTGAGGGCTTGCGACAACGAGTGTGCCGCACTCCCTGGTGAAACTTGGCAGAGCTGGTTCAAGGACCGGTTTTGACGGATGGAGAAGTGTTTTGAATGTGGTGGACATTACTTTGAAGGAAGTCAATAAATAAAGCTGTATTGCAAAACTTTTATCGTACCCATATTATGTATATGTATTTACATATGTATATACAGTACCGAGCAAAAGTGGAGAAACATTTTATTTTTTTAAATATTCTTTTAAACTGTTAAAGTAAACTAAACACTTATGTTTCAACTTAATGTAACATGTAATTCAAAGCCAACATGAAAATAAAATTTCTGCTTTAATAAAACTATGCTAACAATTATTATTAGAAAATACACCGAGTAAAAATAGAGAAACATAATATACAAAGCATTTGTTGTATACAAAAAGCTAACACTTTATTTTTGATAACTGCTAGACATCTTTTTCTCATAGAACCAATTAGGCTATCTATAGTTTCTTTTGGAATAGAATTCCAGGCGACTTCGATTGTTTCAAATAGTTCTTTACTATTTTTGAACTTTTCTGGATGTTCAGTCCGAATTTTTTTATCAACTAAATCCGATAGGTTTTTTTTGCAAAAATTAGATGCTCTTATGATATGACTTATGAAAATACACCATCGGTAATAATTTTATTTCAGCATTCATACGGCTTCATCCAGTGTTGCGAGAGACAGGCTCGTCTGTTCTTTCACTTCAGCCAGTTCAGCGGCAACATCGAGCACTTGAAAATCGGTGATCCCGTTGAGTTCGAGATGACGTACGACCGCAGGACCGGAAAACCCATCGCCAGCGCAGTCACCAAAATCGCACCAGAGGTAGTAAGTAACTACTGCGAGGAAAAACTTGGAAAGCAATCTGTGTTGCATTAGTTGATTTTTGCGATGTTACAATATCTCGAAAACCGTGAATTTAGCGTAGTTAATAGTAGTTTAAAGAAGTATTTGTTTGATTTTTTTAATCCTTCAAATGTAGCTATATTGGTCAGATAAAACATTAGGAATCGAAAAATTATCACACAAGACTGGCGTAACAACTGTGACTGCAAGTTAACGGTGTAAAGTGGGATATTGTAGCAGTATCATTGCCTTCTCTAGCACTGTTAGTTTTTGGTACTTATTGTTTCCAATTTTTTGTTCTATGTAGATAGATCTTAGATATATAGATAGGAATTATCCCACAGCACTGGATACACAGCTTTAGGTTAGTGTAACGTTGTAAAATGGGGTATTATAGCAGTATTTTTAGAAAAGATTTGAGTTTGCCGCAATGTTTGCAGTAAATTGTAGGCAGCCCTGAGAAAACAACAATTTGACAGCTGAGAATTAGGATTAGTAAAAATGGAGCGTTATACGGTACACGTTCTCATTATTGAATATTTCAAAAATAATGAAATCTTAGCGTCCGCAAAATATTTCCGGAATAGTGTTTCACCTCGTCCACTGTGAAAAGATTAATTGAAAAATTCAGGAAGGCTGGATCAGTTGGAGACGCTAAATGCACCGGTCGTCCAAAAACAAGCCGTTCAAATGTGCGTGAGAGTGTTGGTGAAAAGCCAGGAACGTAAATTCGGTGTCGTGGACAAGAATTGCAAAGGAGGTGGGCTGATAAGAACCATTTTTCTCGCATCACCGAATAGGAATGACATATACAGTAATGGACGAAAGTATAATATAGACACATTAATATTGTGCTGTATTTCTTTTTTAACCTGTATTTATTAATACACCGACCTGTAAACATAATTCGTTATAGCATAATACTCACTTATATTTAAATAAATTCATTAGACTCCTTTCAATAAAAAAATAATTGAAAAAAAGTGGAACTATGAAGGACAAAATATATAGACAAGGCAAAACAATTATAGAAAAAAGAAGCAAAGTTCATTGAATTATAGAAAACCAACCATGTTTGTGTTAATATTTTGTAGCATAACCATTATTATCAATCACCGCCTGGCATCGTCTCGGCATAGATTGCAGAAGTTTCTTGATATAAGATTCATCAACCTGTCTCCACTTTTGCTCTTAAGCGACAAAAAGTTCATCCTTGTTTGAATAATTTTTATCTAGTATTCCCATAGATTTTCAATGGGGTTTATATCGGGAGACTGCTGAAAGTAATATTTCCCATATTGAAGAAATATTTTATGAGCATAGACGCATAAAATATCATCAATAAAGGAAATACCTTATTCAGTAGTTTTGCTGGTAACAAATTTTGGGATAATAAAAAATAAATGCGTAATTAATAAAATATTTATTATATAGTTAAATATATAAATAATAATAAGTAATAATTTATCATCACAGTACACTGACAAGACTTCGAAGTTGAGTCATTTATTTTAACAGTGAGTAGATCTGATCGAAAGAAATGTTTTTTTCCTTTACCATTTTTCTGGTAAAATTAAAGTAACAAAGTTATAGCCCTTTGGAAGTTTGAGTACCGCCCTGTCTCAATAATAATTTTATGTGCTCGTGTTTGGCAACAACGGATATAATCCGCCTTATCGGTTCATCGCATCGGAAACAAAAAAGCGAAAGAATTTGGAACGATGTTTTTACAATTATTTTAGTCAGTTGTATACAGTCAGTGTCAGTCGGTAACGCGTGAGTGAATAGTGGTGTCTGTTGCGTGGCTCAAACGAAATAAAAAATGGCACATGTTTATGCGGATCGGTTTCCCAATCGAGTGCAACCAACCCCTCGTGCCTTTGTTAATGTAGTTCAACGGGCTCGTGAATCAGGTGACTTAAGACCTCACAGGGGACGGCATGCCGGTGCTCCAAGACCTCACGATTAAATACAGGTCCGCACTGAAATACTTGTCGGGAGGATACTTTATAAAACAAGGTAACATTTTTTTTTATTTTTACACACATATTTTGGTTTATCTTCCTTCTACAATCATTATCTGAAAATTAATGACTCAACTTCAAAGTCACTTTGTATATAAAGGTATTCTTAGACATATGGAGCTTTCTCTATATTATTAAGTGAATAAGTGATCTTTCAAAAAAAAAAAATACAAATCATACATTAGTAGCATAAAAAAACGATAAAAAGGGACCCTCAATAATCAAAGGAAGTGTTTAGCAAGCACTACCTATTGTTAATCCATCGTGAAATTTGTGAAAATGGACAAAATCGAGTATCGAGCTGTCATTGAATGTTGGTTTTTGAAAGGTAATACGCCTACGCAAATTAAAGATGAGTTGGATTCTGTGTATGGGTACTCTGCGCCATCATTCACCACAGTGAAATTTTGGACAGCCGAATTTAGACGTGGCCGTAAGAGCTTTGGAGACGTCCAAAAACTGCAACTACCGACCAAAAATTTTTTTTTTATACTCCAACTACCACGAAGGCCTAAGGCCTAAGCACCCATTGGGTACCGTGGGGCTATAGGGGGATACATGGGAAAAGGGGGGACGCCACACGGACTCTGGCGAGGGAACACGTGTGCATGCAACATGCACACATTCTGGCTCCGCCTACGAGAACCGCCGGGTGGTACCTCCGCGTTCGACAGTCAGAGACCATCTACCACCTACGGACAATCACAACATCCATAGCCAAGAGAAAAATTTCTCCTGGGACGGGACTCGAACCCGCACAGCGCACGGCGACTGATCAGGAGACCGAAGAGTCTACTACTGCGGCCACCGCTGCTGCCTAAAACAAACACACAACATCCATGGCGAAGGCGAGATTCGAACTCGCGGCCCGGCCGGCCGGCTGATCAGTAGCACAACACTCTAACCCACGCGGCCAACCGACGTCCCAAAATAACGCCACAGTTCACCAAATGGTGCTAGACGACCGCCGAAATGAAGTGGAGAGGTAGCAGAGGTTATGAACATGTCAAAAGAACGTGTTTGTCACATATTATTAAATCAACATTTGGGCATGAGAAGGCTGTTCGCGTTTGGTCACGTTAGACCAAAAACGTGTTCGAATGAACATTTCCAACGCTCTGTTGCCGCAGTTTAGGCGCAATAAATCCGAGCTTTGGCCCCGATTAATTACTGAAGATGAAACTTGGATACACCATTATACGCCCGAAACAAAAATACTGTTTTTTGGGATAGTCATGGAGTTATTTTAATCGATCATCTTCAAAAAGGAAAAACCATTACAGGAGCATACTACGCATCATCACTTGACAAGCTGAAGGCAGAGCTTGCAGAAAAAAGAAAATCCTGTTTCCACCTCAGCGGTCGTCATGGCGAAAATCCACAATTGCCAGATCTAGCCTCAAGCGACTTCTTTTTGTTCCTTCATCTAAAAATTGCGCATATTTTCGTCAAATGCAGAGCCGATCACCTTCGTGAACAATTATTTTTCAGAGAAAAACTTCGAGTACTATTCAATTCAATAGGCTTTATTCAGAAAAAAAAGTTGATATAAAACTAAATGAATGAATAAAGCATGAGCCGATAAGTACAAAATAACACTTGTTTCGGCATAAAAAGAAACCGTATATCTATACTAGAAACACATTGTAATCTTACATACGAGCCCCTTCCCACTTCAGTTGGCCCACTTCCAAGATTCGTACCAAAATATGCCTTTATAAACTAAACATGACGAAACTATTTACTTCTAAAACAATTTATTTTCTCAAAAACATTTTAGATACACTCTAGTCGTACAAAATACATATTTGAAATCACTTAGACATATAACTAATAGAACATCTGAACAAATAAACAATGTGCGAATAAATGCGCGAAGTTAACAAAGCAACAATTGAAAGATTACCATTGGGTAACATCACCTGTATTTTTTATTACGGCTGAAATTCTTTGGTGCATAGTGTTAGCCAAGTTTTGGCAAAATCACGTGATCACCGAAGAAGGATCGATGGATATTGACGTTGGTTGTATGGCATGTTGCACCGTCTTGTTGGAAATAAACATCGTCCATATCCATTCCTTCAAGTTGCGGCAAAAAATAGTCCTCTATCATCACGTGATATCGCTCAGAATTGACGGTAACGGCGTCCCCGGCCGCATTTTCGAAAAAGTAAGGTCCGATGATGCCTTTTGACCACAATGCACACCACACAGTCACTTTTTGAGGATGCATCGGCTGCTCTTGATACTCACCGGGATTTTCGTTCGCCCAGATTCGGCAGTTTTGCTTGTTTACCGTCCCATTCAAAGTGAAATGCGCTTCGTCGCTGAGCATGATTTTTGATGAAAAATTGGCATCAATTTGGCGGTGTTCAAGGAGCCAATCTGAGAACGTTCGGCGCGAAAAATGGTCGACCCGACGCAGCTCTTGCGTCAATTGGATCTTGTAGGCGTGTACATTCAAATCCTTGTGGAGAATGCGGAGCAAACTGGTTCTCGAAATGCCCAATTCTTGGGATCTTGTTGATTGTTTCGGATCGTCTCTCACACTCTCCTTCACAACAGCAATATTTTCCGGTGTGCGAACGCTCCTTGGCCGGCCAGAGCCTGGCAGATTTGCCACAGAACCTGTTGCCTCGAATTTACGCACCAGACGACCGACGGTTATTTCGTTTGGGCGGAAATGTTCACGAAGCGCGCGAAACGTGTTTTTTATTTTTGTACCATTTTTGTAGTGCTCTTGAATAACTTTAATGCGGTCTTCAATCGAATACGACTCCATAGCGATCAATGGTAAACATTCAACTAACAAAATGGCATGTCGGTGACAGAAAACAAAGATGGCGTCTATGTCAAATTGACGTTTATTTTTCTGCGTCCCTTTCGGACAACCCTTTAGGTTGATATGTTGTAATTGCAACATGTGTTATTTTTATGCTGCAAATTTGATTAGGGAGTGACAATGTTGGTGTTTTCTACTAGATATTATCAAAATATTCATTGTTAATATTTTAAACCTATAACACCCTGCTACATTTTTATTATTTCTGTTTGATAAGAAAAAAAATATGATTTCAATAGTTGGACCAACTGAAGTGGGAAGGGGCTCGTACACGATATCGAATAGGCTCATCTAATATCCAAAGACCACACAAAACATTATTCACAAAATCATTTAAGTTCTTAGCAGCTAAATTTAAAAAAACGAAATAAAAATACTTAATTTTGGAAAAAAATTTAGGCGAAAATTGAAAGACTGGGTTTGTACTGTGTAGCGAATGACTATACATAATTATATAGAAAACTAAAACTACACAATTCCAATTATATTAATACTTATTAGAATTAACAATAATTGTTTTACACATATGATTGATCGTTAGTTATTAAGTTATAATCCACACACAGGCGATGCCTTCTTTGGATTTTTCATATTTGTTTGCCCATTTTTTGTATTTTGGCGAATAAATATTATTAGTAATATTGCATATACCTTCACAACGTACTTTTTTCTAGGTGATGAGCGAGGAAAGGGTAACCGGAACGGTGACTACTGAGCTGAAAGTCTCGGAGGGTTCAGGCGGTGATACGACGGGCAGAATCAGCTATGAGAATAGAGGGGAGTGCTTCTTTTTGCCTTACACCAAAGATGACGTCGAGGGTAATGTGACGCTCAGGGCTGGCGATCAAGTCAGCTTTCAGATTGCTACTAATAACCGGTAAGGGTCAAGTTATAGAGCGAAATTTAATTTGCTAAATTTTCATACGGGGCCAAGTGGAAAAATATCGTTAGCTCAACTTCGCCGAAGTTTGTCTGTTTAACATTTACAGGAATGTCCGCTTATAACGAACCTCAAGGGACTGGCGAAACTGGTTCGCTATAAGCGAAGTTCGTAATAAACGATAAATAATGCTAATACCAGAAAATATTTTTCATTAGTTTATTATTTAACCAGGGATATATAAAATATTTGTAATAGTATATAATAATATCTATAATCCACATTTATAAAAGTTTTTCAAAATCTTTCTTAAAAAAATCATTTATTTTAGTTTATTTTTGTGAAATGAATATCATTAATATGTTATTCCACTTCAGCTAGTCGATCTAGCACAAGCTGCGTAGTATTTCGTGACTGAAGGAAATGACGAACGCTGTCAATATGTCGAAGTGCTTCTGATGTGGTTCGAGTTGGTAACAGTTCCAAACCGACAGATTCTTCATCTTTATTTTCCTTTTCTCTGTAACCATCAGTAGCAACTGCCGAAGATATAACAGCTACAATGGCATCAACATCCAGGTATTCGACAGTCACAACTTGGTCATCAATATGAACAAACGCATTGAAATCGTTTTCACTATAAGGAAGATTGGCTCTAATATTGTCTCGAAGATCGTTTTCCTGTTGAATTTTCTTCATCCACTCAACTAATGGCAAGACATTGTCGGGATTAAAATGATCCTCAACCTCCAAGAAACCCCCATGCGTAAAACAATTTAAAATTGTTTTTTTTGATACTTTCTGCCATGCCATATGAATGATGTTTATTGAATCCAAAAGATTGATTGTAAAATTTTCCCCGCCACTATCAATAAAATCTCCCATCCTCAAGAAAAGAACTTGACGGTAATGGCTTTTTAAACTGTGGATTACACTCTGGTCCATAGGCTGTAGTTTAGAACTCGTGTTTGGGGGTATGAACACTAGGTTAATACAGTCCACTAATAATATAATTTTTAGTTTTTCGCGGCGTAACTCAACATCCCAATTAGGCAGTTCAGCATCAAAAATAACTGAGGTCATTGATGCTCTTTTATTGGATTTGTAATTAACTGGCAACTGTGAAACGTTTTTAAAACATCGAGGGTTTCTCGATCTTCCAATTACCAATAGCTTTCTATTAACTGTCCCTGTTAGATTTGCCGCTACAAGCACAGTGATTCTTTCTTTAGATAGCTTCCCACCTTCACACTTCTTGCCTTTGAATCTGAAGGTCTTGAGAGGTGTAAGCTTATAGAATAACCCAGTTTCATCTGCATTAAATATGTCCTCGTCTTTGAAGTTCCTTCTAATGATTGGCCACTTGTTCCGCAACCAGTTATTCACACAGTCCATATCAACTGCATCAGACTCTCCAACAATTTTTCCACTGGTAATGTTATGTCGTCTTTTGAATCTTTAGCTTCTACTAAATTTAGGTTCTTCACTCAGTTCTTCATATTTTAGTAACTTCTTCCCAAGGTATTCAGCCTTCGATTGCAGTATAGCACCACTTATGGTTACTTTTTTATTTCTCTGTTGAGAAAACCATTTCAGAAGTCCCTGATCAACTTTATAATTCGTGAGCTTTTGAATTTTCTTCACATTTATGTCTTGGCCTTTCTCAAACATTTCCAGTAGTTTGTCTTTATTTTTCCAAATTGTACCAACCTGCAATTAAAATGAAAAATTGTAAATCAAATTCATAACTCAGAGTGCTTATTTACAGTAATGGACAAAAGGATATAGACAAATTAATATTGAGCTGTATTTCTTTTTTAACTTGTTTTATCAATACACCAACCTGTATACATAATTCGTTATAACATAATGCTCACTTATACATAAATAAATTCATTAGACTCCCCTCAATAAAAAATTAATTGAAAAAGACTGGAACTTGAAGGTCAAAAATATATAGACAAAGCAAAACAATTATAGAAAAAAGAAGCAAATTTCATTGAATTATAGAAAACCAACCATGTTTGTGTTAATATTTTGTAACATAACCATTATTATCAATCACCGCCTGGCATCGTCTCGGCATAGATTGTAGAAGTTTGTTGATATAAGATCCATCAATCTGTCTCCACTTTTGCTCTAAAGCGGCAAAAAGTTCATCCTTGTTTGAATAATTTTTATCACGTATTTTCTTATCTAAGTATTCCCATAGATTTCCAATGGGGTTGATATCGGGAGACTGTGAAGGCCATTTGAGAACTGGTATTTTTTCATCCAGAAAGAATTTCTTTGCGAGATTTGAAGTGTGCTTTGGGTCATTATCTTGCTGGAAGATTGATCTTAAGGGACGAAATTACTTTTATTAAACTAAGTGATCTAGCATTTAGTTTTCTAGGCCGACCACTTCTCTTAGAGGCTTCCAAGATACCTTTTTGTTTATATTTGTTCAATATTGCCCAAACTGCTTTACGCTTCAGCTTCAAATTTTTGGCAATGTCGACTTGACGTTGACCATCTTTCTATAACTCAATGATCTTAGTTTTCACATCGAAAGAAATTTCTGGACCACGCGGCATGTTCTTAAAATCCCTCAACTTATTCCACAAACTAATCCTCTTCCGACACGAAACTGTACTAAACTAATGTTGAAAAGAATTTGTCTACATATTTTTGTCCCTCATAAAAAAGCGCTTATATTCAGACTTGTATTGTGTTCATTGCAGATAATGTAAAAACAAGGAATTTAGTTTTTCTACTAATAACGCATTTGTTTATGGAGCAATGAAGTATGAATTCGTTTTCTAAAGGTATTTGGGTAAATATTCATATTTGTCTATATATTTTTGTCCATTACTGTATATATTGATAGTAAACTAAAGTTTGTGGATCACTATTGATTACTTTATTTCAAAAATTGCCAATTTACAAATTACTTTTACAGGACTTCTCATAGTCTTAGTACATATTCTAAGAAAATAGTTTATAATACAATTATTCTACCCCATTTACTATATTGTTCGACTATCTTGTTCACCTCCAATGAAGCTGTATTCTCAAAATTATCATATTTTTTTTGTTCTTACTTTTATATTAATAATATCTATTGGTTCTGTATATCGTTTATCATGACAGAATACGTCAATGGTGAAGGTAAAAATAGATGAATAGAAACAAAAACAATATACACATGAAACGTCGGCAGTCACAAAAACAATGAACAAAGAAATACAACACAGTACATATTAAAAGAAGGATTGGCCAAGTTAAAAAATATAAATAAATAAGTAAATAAAATACAAAAACTATAAATAATATACTACATTTAAAAATGTATATGGGACTTAATAATGGCGTTGGCAAGGGTTTAAAAGTGTTTGGCAATTTATTGATCAGCCTAATACCCATTTGATTGGGGCTGACTTCTGTTCTGGACAGCCTGTGCAGGACGAGCGAATTCCTAGTAAAGTACTTATTATTTAAAATAAAAAATCATCTTGTGACACAACATTTAGAACACTAAGGCCGGTATCGTCAGTCGTCCCTACAATTGTAGGGCGCGTTTATGGCCTCCTTGATTGTCATACTCCTTTCTCTCCTTCAAAAATTTCTAGATTACACTTGTCCCGTGTCAGGGTCAGCGCTCTCCTATTGTGAAGATATGTTTTCCTTTTAAATTGTAGGAAATTTCAGGCTGATAAAACATGATATAACTCAAAAGCAAGCACAATTTGATGCAAATAGATGTTTGTGACATAACCTCAAAATAGAGCACTGACATGGAAAAATGGAAAACTATGACAATCAAGGAGGTCATAAAGGCGCCCTACAATTGTAGGGACGACTGGCGATACGGGCCTAAGCACTACCATAATTATTATACAAGAGGAAATACGGATTTTCATTTACAACATTGCAATAGTAATATAACTAGCAAATCAATATTTCAGAAAGGATTACTTGAAGTTAATCAACTGAGTAATGATATAAAGGCTACTTTTATCTTAAAGATGTTTAAAAGAAAATTAAAGTAATATTTCATGGACAGTGAAAATTCTTAGAGATGCAAACGAGATGGGCTGATAAGAGCCATTTTTCGCCCATCAGCGAATATATATGACATATATATATATATATACAGGGTGACTTCGAAGTTGAGTCATTTATTTTAACAGTGAGTAGATCTGATCAAAAGAAATGTTTTTTTCCTTTACCATTTTTCTGGTAAAATTAAAGTAACAAAGTTATAGCCCTTTGGAAGTTTGAGTACCGCCCTGTCTCAATAATAATATCATGTGCTCGTGTTTGGCAACAACGGATATAATCCGCCTTATCGGTTCATCGCATCGGAAACAAAAAAGCGAAAGAATTTGGAACGATGTTTTTACAATTATTTTATTCAGTTGAATACATACAGTCAGTGTCAGTCGGTAACGCGTGTGAATAGTGATGTCTGTTGCGTGGCTCAAACGAAATAAAAAATGGCACATGTTTATGCGGATCGGTTTCCCAATCGAGTGCAACCAACCCCTCGTGCCTTTGTTAATGTAGTACAACGGGCTCGTGAATCAGGTGACTTTAGACCTCACAGGGGACCTCACGATCAAATACAGGTCCGCACTGAAATACTTGTCGGGAGGATACTTTATAAAACAAGGTAAACATTTTTTTTTTATTTTTACACACATATTTTGGTTTATCTTCCTTCTACAATCATTATCTGAAAATTAATGACTCAATTTCAAAGTCACCCTGTATATATATTTATAAAGAGTATACTCCATAACAAATAAGAAAACATACTTATTTCAAATGAAAACTGAAATTCGTGGTATACATAAATTGAATAATTATCGGAGTGTTATATATGTTTATTAAACAATAATAAAAGATAATCAGTTTTCATACACTTAATATATTTTTTACTAATCTTCTTCCTTTACTTCTTCATTCGAATCACTATCAGACCAGAGTTGAGGCGCCAGTAAGCCGGAAACCATAATACAGAAGCAACATGCGCACAACATCCTACGACCCCTGCGCCTACTTTACATTGGCAGTACCATACGGAAATCACTGTTTGTTTTTCGCCACGTTTTACAACAGTCACAATGGCATCCAGGCATTAATAGAGGTTTTTCGCGAGATCCCGTAGTGAACCGGAGCGGGAACAGATGGAATTTCCCATTCCTCTCGAAGTTTTGACAGTTTCAAGTTACACCGGGAGGGGTTAGATGGCGCATGTTGCGCAAATTGTTTGCTTTAAGTTCCTTGATACACTTAGCTGCCTTGTTTGAACCTGAAATAAAAAGACCGATCGTTTTTTGTGCAATGTACATATATACCAATAAAGTCAATCATTTGATATGACAAGTGCGGTTCATATATTCGATGACCTTCTCTCTCGTCATTTAAAATCAGGTGAACGTGTTCCTCCATTTATGATTTAATAATTTAAATTTAATTTTCAGCACTGCGAAGACAAATTTCCAATTGAGATTCCTGTTTTTTAAATGACATTGACATAAGATCTGTCACCCGCTAGTACCTCACACACGTTAGGCGGGTACCCGTACCACGTGATTTTTTGACATTCGGACGACGTCACATCCGCCTTCCCCTATTCCCGTTCTTCGCGAAAATTTGAGTATCCGTGCACTGTGCTACACCGTGGACTCGCGAAAAAATCCTTATTGTTTTATCAGTTTTTTAAAAAAAAGTTGAACGCCACAGCACAGTTTCTATACCTTTACTACGTAAATAATTTTCGAGCGCGAAAAATCATGTCTGAACACGCAGCGCTTGCAGCGTGACTCGCACTTTCTCGCAGCATATATTACGTATTTTTGGATTGATGCGCTCACTGAACCAAAACAAATAAATACCCATATACAAGCTTATAATAAGTAGACTCACTGAGCATTAAAGTTAATGTGGTTCATGGAACGCTTCGTAGGGAAAACATGATTCAAAGATCGAAAAACAACAAAAATGCACAAAAAGCGCTGAATACTCTATTTCTTGGCAATAATTTCTGAGGCATATTACATTATTTATACCGTAAATATTATATAATGAAAAAATACAAAGTTCACAAATAAATTCAATAATATTCTGGAATCGAACTTTTTATTTTTGAGTGTGTTATGGGCGAAAAATGGCCCTTATCAACCCACCTCCTTTTGCCTTTCTAATTATATGTATGTTATGAAATTGTTGTAGTTTTTTAAAAGAATGTATTTGTAGCAGTCATGCTAGATAAATCTTAAACAAACAAACAAAAGGTAGCAGATTTAGCATAAATGATGCTCGTTACATGTTACAAGCCAAATGATCATTTGTCGGCAATTTTTTCTAGTGGTAACCTGGGTGCATGTCATGTTCGACTGGAAAATCCTGCGCATCCAGTGAAATATCAAGGTGTGGTGTGCTCCATGAAGGAGAGTTTCGGCTTCATAGAACGCGCAGATGTTGTCAAGGAGATATTTTTCCATTTCTCTGAAGCCAAGACTAAGGATGAACTGCGGCTTGGAGATGACGTTGAGTACATCATTCAAACAAGAAACGTGAGTGTATTTTCTTCTGATCGAACATTGATTTCTCAGTGTAATATTTAAATAATACATGCGGCCCTAAAGGCTTACTAGTACTTAAAAAATAAGCTATAAGATTATACTGAAATGGGTGTTTGTAGAACAATATTGTAATTATTGATGAACCATCTAGTCTGATCAACTGCTTAAGAAATATAAACGTACAGTACCGAGCAAAAGTGTTTGAGATTTTATTAAACTATTAAAGTAAACTAAATACGTATGTTTTATTATAACTTAATGTAACATGTAATTCAAAGCCAACATGAAAATAAAATTTCTGCTTTAATAAAACTATGCTAACAATTATTATTAGAAAATACAGCGAGCAAAAATAGAGAAACATAATATACAAAGCAATTGTCATATACAAAGAAGCTAATACTTGGTTGCATAACCTTTATTTTTGATAACTGCTAGACATCTTTTTCTCATAGAATCAATTAGGCTATGTGTTGTTTCTTTTGGAATAGAATTCCAGGCGACTTAGATTGTTTCAAATAGTTCGGCACTATTTTTGAACTGTTCTGGATATTCAGTCTGAATTTTTTTATCAACTTAATCCCATAGGTTCTCTGGACTCTGAGCTGACCACTTAATGACATTAATATTGTGATCTACAAAAAATGTTTTTATTATTTTCGCTGTGTTCTTGGGGTCGTTGTCGTGCTGGAACCGCCAGCATAGAGGCATGTTTTCTTCTGCGTAAGGTAGCGTGGTATCAGTTAACATTTCCAAGTATTTGTACCGGTCCATAATTCCTTCAATTTTGACGATGGGTCCCATTTGAAGACGACAGAATACTTCCTTCCCGGGTCCGTGTTTGATTGTGCCTACAGTGAACTTAGGATCAAATCGCTTGTTTTTGTGACGTCTTACCCATAAACTGCCATCCGATGAAAATAAATTAAATTTACTTTTATCAGAAAATAATACAGAATTCCACCTTGTTTCTGACCAGTTCAAATGATCGTAAGCAAATTGAAGACGGGCGGTCAGATTTTTCTTGGAAATACAGGGTTTTTTAGATGGTCTCCTTGGTTTTTCGCGGTCTTCAAGTTTTAGGAGGGCTTACCAACGATTTTCTGAGGCGTAACAGCTTGATAGTTTTGCAAATTACCGATCGGCTTAGATTCAGCTGTTTGGCTATGGTAGCTCGTTTAATGCCTGATCGATATTTTAAAATAATAAATTATTTTATTTGCAAATTCAACGTAATTCCTCTGGCCATGTTTTTGATCTACACTTTACCAAATACACTCAAAAATAACACCTATTCTAATCAACGACTAAATATACTAAGTGACATATAAATCCGAACACCCAGTTTAAATGGTTTTATTTTAATGAAATTTTGTATAAGTACTTAATGAAGCATAATAAGTAAATGATAAAAATTTCAAAATGATTGCACTGCTTTAAAGCCCTTTGACCTTTAATAATGTGTGGAAGCACCCTGATGTGCTACGCATTCTCCAACGCGCCTAGGCATGCTTCTGATCAGGTGGTCAATGTCCTCCTGTGGTATCTCATTCCAGGCAACCACCAATTCCTCTCGAAGTGCTTCTAGAATCTGAGAAGGACGTTGCAAATTGAGCAATCTCCTACCCATCATATCCCACACGTGCTCAATTGGGGATAAGTCGGGAGATCTTGGTGGCCATGGTAACAATGTGATATCATTATGTTGAAAGAAGTCTATTGTGACTCGTGCAACATGTGGTCGGGCATTATCTTGTTGGAAAGTTGGATCTGCCAGGGTGTCAAGATAGGATAAAAGATGGGGTTCTAGAACTCCGTGGATATAACGCTGCGCGTTCATGTTACCTCTGATGAAGATTAAAGGTGACCTGGAACCATAAGCTATAGCACCCCAAACCATAACTCCAACAGTGTGATGAACATGTCTTTCAACAAAAAACTGTGGATTCCTCCTTTCACCACGTCGCCTTCTAACCCTGGCACGACCATCGTGCATGCCTAAACAAAATCGAGACTCGTCACTAAAGACAATACTGTTCCATTCCTGATCCCAGAGTGACCGTTGTCTGCACCACTCAAGGCGATTACGTCGGTGTTCTCGAGTTAAAGGGAGGACCTAGTGTGGCCGGTTTGAAAACAAGCCAAAACTTCTCATTCGTCGGTAAACACTTCGCATGCCAATAGGTCTTCCGTGTTCTGCAAACCATTCATTTGCAATGGACCTGGTAGTGGAGAAACGGTCCCTTAAGGCCAATAATCTTAGGCGGCGATCTTCACGGTCTGTTGTTCTACGGCGGCGTCCAGTGCCCCTTGCTCTTTGCGAACGGCCTTCTCGAAGCCATGCCTGACAACACCTAACCACAGTGTCTACACTTCTTTGCACTCTAACTGCAATTGCCCGAAAAGAAAGTCCAGCTTCCCGAAGTCCCACCATACGGCCCCTATCAAACTCACTAAGTTGACGAAATCGTTCAGGTCTCCGTACTCTAGGCATCGTAACCGATCGTAAAGGATGTCAAGAACCAAAATCCGCCAACGTTGATTCTTTACTGCGGCTGAAATATTCATTTTTAGAGCGTTAGTGAATTAAAGAAAAGCAGTATAAAAACCGGAATGTCCAACTGATAAGGCTGAACATTTTTTCACTTGTTATTTACAGTAAGATAAATACATTCACCAACTTTTATTAAAATAAAACCATTTAAACTGGGTGTTCGGATTTATATGTCATTTAGTATATAAACTAAATATTTACAAAATGTTTCTCTACTTTTGCTCGTTGAACGAAAAACCGACCATATTATATTGAAAAAAAAAGAATGTATACAAAGATAAGCATTTCATTATCTTGAGGTAGTCATACATAAAAAACTTTAGTGTACAGTTTTGGGTTAGAGTAAATCTTTCTGGATTTTTATTTGTAATGTGGTTTGATTCTCTACTTTTGCTCGGTACTGTATGTTGTTTTTCCAACATTTGCACTATTGAAGCATCATCTAACTGTTGTTAGTTCCTATAATGCATCGAAAGTTTTATTGTTTTATCAATGTTTATTCAATGCCTCACCCTTGGCAGCAGCCAACCGACAGTCGAGCACGGTTTTTCGTTAGCCTTAATTTGTGTTAACCTATTTTTGACTGACAGAACTGTCAAATATAGTTTAATTCATTTGTGCTTCAATTACAACTCTGTTTATTGTTCAAAATGTACCGTAAATCAAATCAAACATGTGTTGGGAATAATAAAACATAATAACAACATATAGGGTGTAAACGGTATGATAGTCATTATTTAAATGGGTGATAGAGGAGGTTAAAAGAAGCAAAAAGTTTCATATAACATGGGGGTCAAAACGACATTTTTTTAGAATTAAAAGCGACTTTAAAGTAAAGTGAAAAAGGTGTTTAAAATGTCGTCCTCCACTTTCCACACAACCTTCATTACGACGAACCCAGTTTCTTCTTACTTAAGTCCTCGAAGTTGTCCATTTATTATTTCAGCCGCATTAAATTTTTTTTCGCGAAGTTGTGCTTCAGTTGTCATTGGACCAGCCCCATAAACCATCCCTTTAAGTTCTCCCCAATACCAGAAATCTATCGGATTGAGGTCAGGAGATCTTGCTGGCCAATGTTCATTCAAATACTGAATGACGCCTCTAAAAATGTGTGGTGGTGCCCCGTCATGAAGAAACCACAAATTCTGTCTCCGTTGTAATGGCATGTTGTATAAGGATTGTTCCAAAAGTTCTGGTAGGTTATTGGCTAGAAAGGTATCCTTCTCCTGACAACTTTGGGGATAACTCGAAAGGGCCAATTACCTGATCGTCAAGAATACCCGCCCAAATATGTATTTTATAACGTTGTTGGAAATGACCTTCATGATTGGTATGAGGATTTTCTTGTGCCCACGTGTGAGTATTATGGAAATTTAATATCCCGTCTCGCGTAACAGTACATTTGTCCGTCGCTAAAATGTTTTTAAAAAAAATCCGGATTTTCAATGTTTTTGTGCAAAAACCAGTGACAGAATGTTAGTCTGCGAGGATAGTCTTCTGATAACAAAGCCTGCACTCGTTGTACATGGTAGGGATAAAGCAAATTTACCCGTAGGATTATATGGACTATGGTATATCTGCATTGATTTCCACGATATTTAAAATTTGTTCCTCCTGCTCTACAGTAGCATGTCTTTCACGAGTGCGAATATTAGTGGACTGAACACTTCCTGTATCTCGAAGTCTTTGGCACTCTTGCACAAATGTCTGGGTGTACCCGTTGGCGAAATATGTCGCGGTAAATTTGAGCTGCAAGATTTGAATTCTGAGGAGCTTCACCGTAAACATGTCGGCGAACTCTTGATTCGAGAACATTGTAATTAAACACGACGACGTACGCGAACAAAACAAAACAACACGCCCGATGCTCTGGTCTACAAAACGATAAAGTAATTTATCTATGCAAAACGATAACTAATCACTGTTACCGTTTGCGATCGATTGCCGGTTCGATAAGAGTGATGAAAGACCGACGCGCTATTGTCATGTGTGTTTTAAATATTTAATTTGATGACTACAAATTTTGGCTTAACTTACAAAAACCTGTATTATCCATTTAAATTTGGCATTACAATATTCAATTTCTCAGAAAATTAACTCACTTTTTTAAATATTCATCACTATTTCTCAGTTTTTTCATGCTTTGGGCCGCACTCGTATAAACCAACTGTTAGATCTCGGTGTTGTTTTTCCTTAGGGGAAAGAAGTAGCTTGCAACATCACTCGCCTACCCCCTGGTACCGTCATATTCGAAGATCTGAAGCCGGAAATTTATAAGGGGCAGGTGCAGAAAACCATCGACAGAGGGCCGTCAAGAAATCCAAGCGACCCCCTACCAGGCAGAATTAAGTAAATATACACAATTCAAATTTCTTCTGAACATAACACAAACGATATCTTTTTCAATTGTTTGCGATGATAATTACTCATAATTAGGATTGCTCGCGATATTTTGCATCACCAAATAATCTTATGGGTTTTGACAATGTAGACTTTGAAGAACGTCAAATCTTCATTATGCGATCCGCGCTTATCTGAATAATATTTACAGGTATAGAGATCTTCTCGATCATTCAGAATTGGAAGTACCATTTGGTGAGAAGGATCAAGCTGGTGATTTTACGTTGAGACACGGAGATTGGGTGAGGTTTCAGGTGGCGACTGACAGACGAGACGGCCTTGACAGAGCTACGCATATCATGCTGCTAGACGAGAGCTTTAAGGTCTCTGGTAAGTGTAATGGAATTCGGTACCTGTTGTTCAAAATTTCTCAGAGGTGTTATCCAGTCTATATTTGTAGTTATAATTTGGGGGAAAAATATAATTAACCCTGTGCTCCGTAGATAATGTGACTTCGGAGTGTGGTTCTTTGTACTTTGGTCTTTGATACAGTGGGCGCTCCCAATACAATTTTTTTTTTATTTTGAATCAAATTGTCAATAAATCAAACCAAGCTCGAGCAATCTTCATATATTAAAACAAAAATGCAAAATAATTTAATCTACATAACAATGTCAGACAAAACACCAAAAAAATACATCTTCATTAAAAAAATAACAATAAATATTTTACGACTTCTATAAAGTATAAAACTGAATGTAAATTAAAATAAAATTCTTAATCAGGAGAAAAACAAAAAATATTCATTGCATAATTACATTCTCTTAGCTACAATCAAAAAAACAAAACATATAAACTATGAAACTACATCAGTTCACAGTCTCAAAATGAAACAATCATTACATTAGCTTAGAAAGTGATTTGAACAGAATTTGAACAGACTTTTATATCAATCTGCTGGCCAATAAATAAAACCACATATCTTGATTCGATACTTTGGAAAAGATCATCGTGGTGGTTTAAACGTAAGTAAACGCTTAACCACATCTGCTTTTTATTTATTGGCCATCAGAAGGGAGATGGATTTAAGAGACAACCTTAGACAAAGTTCAGGTGTTATTATATTACAAAATCAAGACGCCTATTCTTTTTGCTGGCAAACCTATCTATGATTGTATTCACGTCTATTTTAATATCGCTATGCATATACAAAAGAGCTAAACCCACTATTCGCTCTTGTAACATAGTGGAGCGCAGCCAAGTTTTTATCCTCTTTAGATAGGAGAAACTTCTTTCAGATGTCGGAACACTTACTGGCAATGAAATCATCTGTAGGCATCTATTAATTGAAGGAAAAATGTTTTCATCACATAAATACTGTGACATTCCACTGTCTATAATATCTTGTGTACGTGACTTAGCATATTAATGAAGTATCTCAACAACGGTTGATTGGAAGAGGACGTCTGTTTCCATGGCCTTCGCGATCACCAGACTTAACATGTCTTGATTTTTATTTATGGAGACTGTTAAAGGACATCGTGTTTCAGACTCAACCTACAACCAGGGAAGATATGAAAAACCGAATTCGTAATGCAATACGTAACATACCGAGAGCCGCAATTGAAGCTGCAGTTTTGTCTACCCATAAGACGCTTCAGGAATGCATAGATCGTGATGGTCAGCATTTCGAGCATTTACGGGAGCATTAAAAACTTTTTTCTTAAATCCTTTTTAGGGCCACAACTTTATAATAAAAAGAAATTCCAGAAAAATCAGTTTAGAAAAATAAAAATCTCTCATCATGCAGCGTTTGTCACACGTTGGTCTTCGACACTTGCACTTGTCTAGCCTAGTCCCTAGTGCTTGTTGAAGGATTCTCGTCTGCGAGATTCAGTACTTCTTCATCAGTTTACACCATTCGGGGTTGTCTAGATCTCCCACTGTGCCCACCTCAACATTCTTTCAAACGACCCGTATCCCCGAGTCTCTCTACAAGGTAAACAAATCTACGGGCCTTGGATGATGACGTCTGGAAAAACGATCTGCGTACACTCGCGAAGCCTCGGCCGCATTTTGGAGACACTCACCGTAAATTATGAACAAAACTTTGTATCGTGACAGACGGCCTTTATACAGTAAAAATGCATTAAAATTTTGACTTGTGGTTTATTGTTACCCGATAGGTGAGAAACGTGAGCAGGGTGTCGTAGCCATGATCCGTGAAGGATACGGCTTTCTGAAATGCGTCGAAAGAGAGGGACGGTTGTTTTTCCACTTCAACGAGATCTGCGACGTGGAAAGAGCGCAGGAGGTGCAAGTGGGCGACGAATTCGAATTCACAGTGATCCAAGACCAGAGCAGTGCGACGATGTTCAATCAAAATAGGCCCAGTGCAATCAGAATGAAGTTGCTGCCGCCGGGCACTGTGCAGTTCGAGAACCGGATTGAAAATGATCTGACTGGTGTTGTTACCAAAGAGGTTAGTGAGAAAATATTACCATTCTCTTTTCTGAAAATACCATAATAGTGCTGTACTGTCCTCTTAGTTGAAACGTCCTAATTAACAGTTTATTAAAATTTGTAATCTATAGATAGGACTTTCTGTGTTTGGAAGCTCGTAATACAGGGTGGACCAGAAATAACTAGCTTGGTGCTCGGAAATTTAGTCGCCATAGAGCGTTTCACCGGTGAGCAGCGTGCGTTCTGTGTTAAGGCTTATTACAAACCTGGAGAGTCGTGCACTATGGCGATTCGTCTGTTTCGCTCTAAGTTTAGTTTTCATGATCTAAATCAACGTCATAGTGAAAGTATGATCAGGTCGTGGGTCAGAAAGTTCGAGACTACCGGTTCGACACTGAATCAGAAACCTGCTGGGCGTCCAAAGTCAATACGAACAGAGGAAACTGTAAGCGGTGCGATCCACAGTTATCATCCCAGCTGAGCTGGCCATATCAAGATCATCCGTAAGGCGTATTTTGGTAAAAGACCTTGAATTGCACCCATATATACTTCAACTAGCGCAGGAATTTAAACCGCAGGACCACCATCTACGCCGTGCGTTTGAACAAAATTCTCTTTTCTGATGAAGCGCATTTTCAATTGAGTGGATTTTCAATAAGCAAAATGACCGGTACTGGGCCGTAGAAGAGCCCAAATTAAAACACCAGCGACCTTTGCATTCGCGTTATGTTCCAATTTGGGCGGTCATGTCGATGAAGGAATCATCAACAGTTAAGGCAATTAATCTTTGAATACTATATATATATATATATATATATATATATATATATATATATATATATATATATATAAGAGGACTCTTTATACTTTTTTTTAGTTCTCTCTAGCTTTCAATGGACTTTGCCATCATCATTAGGAGCTGCAATTACATTGATAACAGTAGCAACAATAGTGTAAAATGAATTTAAATTCACTTAACTTACAGTAGTATGTGAGGATGTTGCTAATTGTTGTTTACGTTCAGGATGAGGGAAACGCCCAGTAACATGGTGAAAGCTGGATAGATGGTACAATGGTCAAAATTATATAAAATACACACAAATGTGTGACAAGAACAAGTTAAAAAATTTTTAGAACATGAAAGCATTACATCGTGAAGCCACTTGATGATTGCACAAAATGGTGGTCATGTAATAATGAGTGAGATGAACCCTTTGACAGAAGGCCGAAGATTGTCAATGTCTGTGTAGAAAGATGGAACGAATTGTGGGCGTGTGCCACGTTGCCAAATCACGTCAGATGATGTGATTTTCAGAATGTTATGTAAGAAATTGTTAAACCGACCAGAGGCAGTTGAATTAACTATATTTTAATTAATGGGAAATTAAATTAACAATTATTATTAAATCGTGAGGAGAAAATTATTAGAATTTGAGTGGAATGAAGTTTATTGGTGGAATCGAATTATGTTCTAAAAATTTTTTTATCTGTTTTTAACTTTGTTCTTGTCACACATTTGTGTGTATTTTATATAATTTTGACCATTGTACCATCTATCCAGCTTTCACCATGTTACTGGGCGTTTCCCTCATCCTGAACGTAAACAACAATTAGCAACATCCTCACATACTACTGTAAGTTAAGTCAATTTAAATTCATTTTACACTATTGTTGCTACTGTTATCAATGTAATTGCAGCTCCTGATGATGATGGCAAAGTCCATTGAAAGCTAGAGAGAATTAAAAAAAGTATAGAGTCCTCTTTGCTTAAATTTTGTCGAAGTACCCAACAAAAGGCGGAAGCTTTAATTTTTCACCTAACTGGTCTAGACGACAATGACCACGTCTCAAAAAAAATAAATATATATATATATATATATATATATATAGCACATAAGCATTTGGAAACTGCTTTAGAACTGTTAAATGGTGATATTTGAAAAAATTACGAATTGGTTAAATGTCAATAAACTTAAATTAAATAAATAAATAATAAAACAAGATGTTTGTCAATAGGGAAACATTTAGGTGACAATACAATGATTAATGATAAAAAATTGAAGTAGTCGAGTCATTTAAATATCTTGGTATATATGTGGATAGTAAGCTACTGTTTCACGAACATTATGAATACATTATTTCAAAAATATCGAAAAAGGATTACTCCTATAGAGTTTCCCATAATCTTAGCATGTATTCCAAAGAAAAAGTGTATAACACTATAATTCTTCCCCATTTTTTTATTGTTCAACCATCTTGTTTACAGCAAATGAAAACATATTTTCAAAATTACAAATTATACAAATTTAAGCTATGAGAATCATTTTAAATAAAAACAAATATGCTAGGATTAAGTCTATGTTAGAAGAACTGCAGTGGTTGGAAAAATTTCATATATTATTTAGTTCTCGTTTTCATATTCAAATTAAAAAATCATTTATTACCACCACATTTAGAGAACTTCAAAAAATTAAATAGAGAAAATAGAGGCAGTGTAGATTTTCATCTGCAAAATTGTAATAGTAGCATAACTAGTAAAACTATATTTCAAAAGGGAGTATTTGAATTTGATAAATTGAATAATGATATTAAACAGAGCTCGAATTTAAAAATGTTTAAGGTGAAATTAAAAAATCACTTTATGAATAATTAAAATACATAGTGATGTAATTTTAATTTTAATAGACAAGAATGTAGCATTACAGAAAATGGATTGAAGAAAAATATGTAACTGAATCATTATACAAAATTGTCATTTTAGCATTAATGCTAAATAAATCTTCAACAACAACAACAAACACAACAATGCTACGAAACTTTTTACAGGCTGTTGATTAAGAATGTGTCATAAATCTAACAGACGATTCTTTGAATAATTTTAAGACAAAAGTTCATATTAACGTAGTTCCGCAGATTCTTGGTTCTCTAAATTCAGTGTTAAAATTAAAAAAAAAAAAGTATTATTCTTAAATTCCCTGAATACTCTTTACCCAATTTTGTTGGTGGTATTTATTGCACTAAGTAGCTAATTTAGCAAAACTTGATTAAATCTATTCCGGTGGTATCTCGAGCGGGATCTGAACATTTGTGACAAAAAAATGTACGCCACTGACTTTCGTGCAATTTTTATTATGTTCTTTGGATTAAGCAAACAGCTTATTTGTCTCTTGATTTTTTTCGCATCTTGCTTAATTTTCAAGAAAAAAGTCCACTTAATTGCATATCTCTGGAACTCATAAGGAACACGAGGAAACGTTTACTTTGGAATTAATTTTTTTTAAATTTCTTATTACTAATTATGTAAAAACTGTAACTGAACAACAAAACGACTGTGCATTGTCCCGCTAACTTTTTCAGGTGGTTCCGCCTAGCTGGAATAGTAACAGAAGTCCCACCAAAGAGAAGAATGGAGAAAATGGTGAACCGGGGTTGATCGGTTACGCGTTGAATGGCGTTAAAAAGAGCATACCATTTTACGTGAAAGACTGTGATGCGAAACATCTGCCAAGGATCGGGGACAAGGTATATTACATATATTGCATAATAATATCAAGTACTTTATTGATCATACAAGGTATGTCGCAAAGTGAACAGGTCTTTTGAAATAAAGGGTGTTCCATCTTTTGCTTCTTTTTCCAATTACCATTTTTTGACATGTTAAATGTGACAACTGCCATGTGTTTAGCACTGTCAAAGGTCTGCCATTTGTTATTATGGATTCTTTAACAACGCAATAACGCATTTTGGTCGTCCAAAAATATTACCAAAAGGGACGATCTTTAAAAAGAACTTTTCGCAAACAATCCAGTTATTGGCCGAGAAATTTCCAGATCGCATTATTTCAAGAAATTCCGACGTTAATTGGCCTCCCAAGATCGTGCGACTTCCGCACGCATGATTTTAGACCTAAAGCGCAATATTCGACCGACCGTGGACCCGCTAATACTGCAAAAAGTCATCGAAAATTTTGAAGTTCGGATGGTGGCATGTCAACGGAGCCGCGGTGGACATATGTGCGATGTTATATTCCATACATAAATGGCAAAGACCGACCTAGAATTTTCAATAAAATGTTCGGTTTCTCACTCATAAAAAGTTTTTTTTTAATTAGAAAAAGAAGAAACGGATAGAACAACCGTATACAGGGTGTAAACGTTATGATAGCCATTATTTAAATGGGTGATAGAGGGGGTTGAAAGAAGCAAAAAGTTTCATATAACATGAGGGTCAAAACGGCTTTTTTTTAGAGAAAAGCGGCTTCAAAGAAAAATAAAATCCGACAACGCCGCAATGCCAGACGCAAATTACGACGGAACACAGTGTAAATAAAGATGGAGTTTGTTATTTTTGGCTCTTAGGTATTATTTCATTAATTGATACTGTACTCATAAAATGCAAACAATAAAAAAAAACGGACTTACCACTATCTCAGCGCTTCACCTGGTGTGTGAAAGTTTATTAAACGTATTAAAAAAATCCACTTATAAATAGGGAACACAATTTTGATACATACATTGTTTTTCTTTTTAAAACACACACTGCACTTTTTGTATTTAAATAAGGTGTTTAAAATGTCATCCTCCACTTTCCACACAAGCTTCATTACTTCTTCTTACCCTAGGTCCTCGAATTTTAACATTTAACATTAATTTTTTTTTCGCGAAGTTGTGCTTCAGTTGTTATTGGACCAGCCCCATAAACCATCCATACCACCAGTACTTAATGAAGCATAATAAGTAAATGATAAAAATTTCAAAATGATTGCACTGCTTTAAAGCCCTTTGACCTTTAATAATGTGTGGATGCACCCTGATGTGCTACGCATTCTCCAACGCGCCTAGGCATGGTTCTGATCAGGTGGTCAATGTCCTCCTGTGGTATCTCATTCCAGGCAACCACCAACTCCTCTCGAAGTGCTTCTAGAGTCTGAGGAGGACGTTGCAAATTGAGCAATCTCCTACCCATCATATCCCACACGTGCTCAATTGGGGATAAGTCGGGAGATCTTGGTGGCCATGGTAACAATGTGACATCATTATGTTGAAAAGTCTATTGTGACTCTTGCAACATGTGGTCGGGCATTATCTTGTTGGAAAGTTGGATCTGCCAGGGTGTCAAGATAGGGTAAAAGATGGGGTTCTAGAACTTCGTGGATATAACGCTGCGCGTTCATGTTACCTCTGATGAAGATTAAAGGTGACCTGGAACCATAAGCTATAGCACCCCAAACCATAACCCCAACAGTGTGATGAACATGTCTTGAACAAAAAACTGTGGATTCCTCCTTTCACCACGTCGTCTTCTAACCCTGGCACGACCATCGTGCATGCCTAAACAAAATCGAGACTCGTCACTAAATACTGTTCCATTCCTGATCCCAGAGTGACCGTTGTCTGCACCACTCAAGGCGATTACGTCGGTGTTCTCGAGTTAAAGGGAGGACCCAGTGTGGCCGGTATGAAAACAAGCCAAAACTTCTCATTCGTCGGTAAACACTTCGCATGCCAAAAGGTCTTCCGTGTTCTGCAAACCATTCATTTGCAATGGACCTGGTAGTGGAGAAACGGTCCCTTGAGGCCAATAATCTTAGGCGGCGATCTTCACGGTCTGTTGTTCTACGGCGGCGTCCAGTGCCCCTTGCTCTTTGCGTACGACCTTCTCGAAGCCATGCCTGACAACACCTAACCACAGTGTCTACACTTCTTTGCACTCTAACTGCAATTGCCCGAAAAGAAAGTCCAGCTTCCCGAAGTCCCACTATACGGCCCCTATCAAACTCACTAAGTTGACGAAATCGTACAGGTCTCCGTACTCTAGGCATCGTAACCGATCGTAAAGGATGTCAAGAACCAAAATCCGCCAACGTTGATTCTTTACTGCGGCTGAAATATTCATTTTTAGAGCGTTAGTGAATTAAAAAAAAGCATTATAAAAACCGGAATGTCCAATTGATAAGGCTGAACATTTTTTCACTTGTAATTTACAGTAAGATAAATACATTCACCAACTTTTATTAAAATAAAACCATTTAAACTGGGTGTTTATATGTCACTTAGTATATTAACTCCGAAGGAGACTATTTTGAATAAAATAATTTCGATTTTGCGAAACAAAAAATGTTTTTTATTTGTCCTGTTTACTTTGCGACGGACCTTGTTTCTAGAAAGTAGCCGCAGTGTGACTCATATTTTTTTATTTTCCGATAGGTTCAATTCAACATAAATCAAGTGAAAAGGAACAAGGAGTTCATAGCCGTCGACATTCAGATAATCCAATCAGCCAATCAGACGAACGGACTCAAGCATAGCATTACCAGAAATAATGGCCAGTTATACCAAGGATTTATAGCCGCACTTAAGGACGGATTTGGTTTTATCGAAACTATACAGCATGACAAGGAAGTGTTTTTCCATTTTAGGTAAATAACTTGATTTCCAATCGTTATATTTAAGACCAATGACTAATGGATGAAAATAGTCCGCTATAAGCCAGGTTCTATTTTAAGCGAGGTTCTATTTTAAGCGAGTCTATAATATCCGATTATTTTACATGCAATTATTTATAGGACCTTAAATTGTGTCCATTATTCACGGGTTTCCATTATAAGCAAGTTCATTATAAGTGGATTCCACTATTTCCATCGTTTGAGACGATCGCAAACTATTCGTACTAATTCTTATTTATAAATCAGCAATTTCGATGGCGATGCAAACACCTTAGAACTAGGCCAGGAGGTAGAATACAACCTGGGCAGCCGAACCGGTGGGAATAGCGGCACTTGTTCGTCCGCAGAGAATGTCAAAGTGGTACCAAGAGGTACTATACAACTGCCTGCAGTTTCTGGGGAGGCGCTGGAAGGTACCGTGGTCCGACCATTGCGATCGGTCAATCCGGATCAGCAGGAATACTCTGGCTTGATTAAAGTGAAGACACCGGTAACAGAGAGTGGGGAAGAGATATCCGGATCGCAACCGCAGGACTATCAATTTGGCATTATGGGGTAAGTCTAGCTATTTGATTTTCAGTGTGGAAGTGAAGCGAGGTTGACATCACTCTTCGCTCATAAAAGCTGCCCTGATAACTCGGATACGCTTCAGCTGCTGTTAGAAGTACATTGCCCGAACGTGTTAACATAAAAATCAGGCATATCTGAGACTGATTATAAGGTCTTTGTACATTATTGTTCGTGTGTTGAAGATTTATTTAGCATTAATGCTACAATGTTAGTTTTGCATAATAATTCGTTTACGCATTTTTGGAATTCATTTTCTGTAATTTTACATTCTTGTCTTAAAATTACATCACTTTGTATTTTGAGTATTAATAAAGTGATTTTTTAATTTCACTGTAAATTTTTTAAATATCATTATTAAATTCAAATATGTACATACTCTCTTTTGAAATACAGATTTGCTAACTAGCATAGTTAGTAACAATAATGATAGCATAGTTATGCTACTATTACAATTTTGCAGATACAAATCTATACTACCTCTAGTTCCGTGTTATGGATAATATTTAATTTTGTAAAGTTTTCTAAATGTGGTGATAATAAATTATTTTTTAAGTTGAATATGAAAATTAGAACTAAATAAAATATGACATTTGTTTACATTCAACCACTGTAGCTCTTCTAACAGACTTAATCCTAGCATATTTGTTTTTATTTAAAATGATTCTCATAGCTTTAATTTGTAGAATTTGTAATTTTGAAAAAATGTTTTACATTTGCTGTAAACAAGATGGTTGAACAATATAAAAATGAGGAAGAATAATAGAAGAATTTTTTTGGAATACATACTAAGATTATGAGAAACTATAGAACTAATTTATCTTTTGTAATATTTTTGAAATAATGTATTCATAATGCTCGTGAACATCCACATTTATATCAAGATATGCATACGATTCGACGGCTTCAATTTTTTCGTCATTAATTGAACCTGATTGTATTGCCACCTAAATGTCTCCCTATTGACATACATTTTGTTTTATTTGTGTTTAAGTTTCTTAACATTTAATCAATTCATAACTTTTTCAGTATCAGTACTTAACAGTTCTAAAGCAGTGTCCAAATGTCTATGTGCTATATACAGGGTGGCCAATATATAACTGACTGATTTAAATTGCGCGTCATTTTTGATACACGCATTTCAGTAGGTGGCGCTGTTTAAAGCATATCTGTCCAATTCATCATGGAGCGCTACACGATCCCACAACGCGTCCATATTGTTGAAACGTTTTACTTAAATAATGAGTCGATTGTTACAAAGATTCGGAAGCTACGGCAAGATTTCGGTCGAAATAATGTGCCCAGTGTCAACACCATTCGTCAGTTGGTGCAGAAATTTCAACAAACATGTGAAGTTAAATATTTGCCAAGGTCGGGCCGTGGTCGAACTGTTCGTACTCCGGAAAATATCGAGAGAGTTCGTGAAAGTGTAGTGAAGCGCCCTGAGACGTCTACCAGACATCGTTCTCAACAACTGGGTATTCGTCGCACGTAATTATGCACTATTTAAAAAAAGACTTGGATTTGCGGCCATACAAAATTCAGTTAACCCAATAACTATAGCCTGGTGACCAGGAATGTCGCTAACAATACAGTCATGCAATAGTGCAGCTTAACACCCAAAATAAAGATTTTTACTGACAAGTGATAATGAGCGATGAAGCCCACTTCGATATGAACCACGATACACATACACTGAAGATAGGATGTTGCGCATGTAGGCGGAGCTTCGTGACGTCACCCAGAGAGTTGTCGGCTCGTGGTTACCAGTGGAGGATTGTCGTAACGTTACTGCAGTGCACGTGTATCGTGGTTAATAATGTATAGTGCGATTTGTTGGTGATTTTTGGTGGGTTTCTGACTTGTTGTATTAGTTACACATACTTTATATACCTTGTGATATTAGTAAATTGATAAAAATGCGGTGTGCTGTTGTGGGATGTAATTCCGACAACCAATCTAAACGGAATCCTTGCAAAGACATGAAGTTCCACAGTTTTTCCCAAGACCCAAACCTTAGCAAAAAATGGCTATATCATACAAAAAGAAAAAGTCAATGTAAAAAGCGCTAGGGTTTGCTCGAAGCACTTTTGTGAAACCCTTTTGGGTCACACCCCTAAAAGATATCGTTCTCTAAAAGATGATGCCATTCCTATGGAAAATTTACCCAAGTATCTATCATCACCTGGACCATCTACATTTGTTGATGGGGAAAAGCGGAAAAGTGCTTACGAAAAAAGGCAAAGGGCTCGATTTATCCCCTAGAGTTTAAGTATAGAATAAGATAGATAGAATATTTTGGGGCGAAACGAAGGCGCATACTCAGAGTATTGCAGCGTAGAGGAAGAGGATACTCCGGACATTCCACTAACCGCATCTTTAACGAATAAACTGAAATCACCTTAAGTATCAGCTGACTATAACGAGGAAGTTTTAGTGGAAGAATCGAGTATGATGGGCTGAAAATTTTGCCCGGCTTTGTTTGCCATAAATTGCAGGATGAGAGGTTGAAAAGTTGCTCAAATGAAACTTATTCCTGGATAAACCATCTTAGTGAGAGTGGATTATCAAAACCTTCCACAGCTTTCATGAATCAAATTGAGAAGCTTAATTTTACTACATCTAATGGGGACTGAATAGTGAAAGAAAAACAAAATTTTATAGGCGAACTTCTGTTGAAGATTGAATATTTTTTTCTAGATCCAGCTTGATTTTTTTTTTAATTTCCCTTTCTTCAATTAAATCAATGATTTTTTCGTATATCATCCCTTCGAACAGCTTCTCAACATCTGGCAAAACATTAATCGGTCGCATATTTGTATATAGCTCAGAATGTTGAACTTTTGGCACAGGAGTAATGGTGGAATACTTTAATTTTGATGGGACTTCACCATGTTCTAAACTAGGCCTCTCCAACTCGGGTGCCACCACTACAGCGCCGATTAGGCAGCGGCATACGCATCGCGAGGAAGGTGTTGTGCTAACCGTAGCACCCTGCGAATAGAAGTGACTCGGGAGCTGGTGGCATTGAGTATACCTTCATCGCGGATTCGACTAAATTTAGTAATAATATGTGGTTTTTAAGTAAATGAACAAGAATAAGAGCTCAGTAAGACGGGCGCATCCTGCCAGAAGTACCTGTCATAGCGACTTAAAGATACAGCGTGATAAGAGAATTTCACCGTCATCACACAAGGTTTGATGAAAATTTTAGGCTCATTTGGAAAAACATGGTATGACAAACTGATTTCCGCCAGAATTTTCTGTCTTACCGACTGAAAGCTATAGCAGGCAATGCAAATAGATCAAAATAATGCATCCTGTTTGTATGCTTCATGCTTGCATTTAAAAGCTCATCTGAGTCTGTCAGTTTGACAACAGGCTTCTAGATGTTTGAAAGTATGTATGTACGTAAAATGAATATGAAACGTCATGACCGTTGATATACGTATAAGTTATGGCAAAATACTACCGTCATGTTGTATCTTCAAGTGATATGACAGGTACTTTCATCGGCACACCAAGCCCTTTTTGTTCATTTAGTTTGAAACTACATATTATTACTAAGGTAACTCGAATCCGCGTAAGGTTTAATTTCACCGGCTCCCAGCCCCAACGGAAAACGAGTGACATTCGTATTGACATTTGAATTGGTCTAATCGAGTCAACACGCGGGTGATAAAATAATAATTTCGACGTAAACACATTTATTCTTAAGATGATCTTTGATAGCGTTTCGATTGAACAAGTTTTCTAAGGTTTGGTACAGTGGCTTGAGTATCGCCTCTAAGGACACATCAGACAAAGACCTGTTTTTAGTTTTGTTCAAATTCATTAAAGAAAACATCTGCTCGCAGAAGTACGTTGTACCGAACATGGAGCAAGTTTCCAAGGCCAGTGCAAGAATTTTGAGAAAATCTTGCTGCTTAACACCTTGATAAAACGAAATTATAAATTGTCTGGTTTCTGGGTTACCAGACCTGACAGACTTACAAACTGACACTGTGACTCAAGAGCTAAGGTCCCACGGACCGCTCTGACAACCAACGATGACTTGACTGAAAACGAAATTAAATTACTATTGTAGTGGTAGTATCTAACCTTAAAGATCGTAGCGCATTGAAGCTTAATCAGCTCCAGTTGGAACTGCGGCGGATCTATTTTGAAAAGCACTGAAGATGGCGTCGTAAAAATCTTTGCATAAACATCTCAACGTCGTCAATGATTTCAAAAAAAAATCTTTAGCACTTTTGCGCAGCTTAACCAGCGCGTAACAATAAAAGGGTATGTCACCGTAAGTTGCTTCCAGGTCATTTAAAAATACTTCAAACTGCCATGGTTGAGACCTTGCTTTCTGCAGAAATTGTCACATATTACTACATCCATAATGGATTTGAAATTACGAAAGGTTTTTGCACATAGTGGTTCCTGATGTAATATGCAGTGTACCGATGATATCGGAGGTAGCCCAGCGTCGCTTACTTTTATTTTCATTCGCCCAGTAAAACCTTGTGCTTCCGACAACATTGCTGGCGCTCCATCAGTAACAACACTTCGCAAACTTTTGAGTAGTATACCCATGTCATTCATTGTGTATTCTACAGCATCAAAAATATCTTCTCTGGCCATTGTATCTTTGAGCGGGATAACGTCTAGTAGTTCGTCGGTGGTAGTAAAGACTATTTCGACACGTCTAATGAAAACAGCTAATTATGCTGCATCAGAAATGTCTTTACTTTCATCGGGAACTATAGAATACTGCACAAAATGGGCACATTTTCCCGCAGTTGTTCTTTTAAATCTGCACCGACGAGAAATTGTTTGCTCTGACATACTAATTGTCCTCAAAGTTGCTACACGAGATCGGCACAATATTTCTGCGCACTCCACTAAGCATTCTTTGACAAGTGCACCGTCAGTAAACGGTCTCCCATTACTAAATAAAGATAAATATACTCCAATTAGGCAAATGCTTAGCAAATTAAAATGGCTCAATGTAAAAAATTTTATCAAATATCTTGTAATGATATTCATTTATAAAGTAAAAAATAATATATTTCCATCAAGTCTAACTAATTTAACATCATCAAATGTCGACCATCATTTACATAATACCAGAAATAAAGATGACTTCCATTTAATGACCAAAAAGTATAACATATGCTACAAATCTGAATTCCATCAAGGGTTGATTGAATATAATAAATTATACTCGGAGATAAAAGACTAGAAAACTTTGACAAAATTTAAAGTAAAATTGAGAAATCACTTGTTAAATCTACAATTATAGGTTGCCCAGCATTTACATCATACACCATATGGCTTGAATTTACTAGTTCTAAGTTGTTTACAATTATTCTGTTTATGTAGCCACATGTGCTAAATAAATCTTTCTACTACTACTACTTTATACCACCTTTTCAAAGACTGCCCGAGTCGTCTGGGGGAGAGGTAATTATCCCCTTCCCCCCACTCCCGTGGGAGCGCCAGTGTACCATACTACAATTTATTGATAACTTGTGATGTCATATAGAACTGCAATTGAAAACATCTGTTAATTCGTGTATTTGGTTGCAGGCTTGCTAACAAACGGGAATTGTTGCAAGTAGGCGACCACGTGCAGTTCCAAGTAGATTCGACAGGGCGCGCGGCGAACATCATCGCCGTGCGCAAAAAATTGAGGGCCACGGTCGACGCCATCAAGGGTCACTTTGGCTTCTTGGCGTACGAGGTGGAAGAGGGCAAGAAACTCTTCTTCCACATGACCGAAGTCAAGGACAACGCCAGCTTGCAAGTCGGTGACACCGTTGAATTCGTACTGGTGACCAACCATAGGAGCGGCAAGTCGTCGGCTTGTAACGTGGTTAAAGTCAGGTGAGTTCTTTTTTATTGGAGATTATCTGTACAGCTGAGCTGATGAAATGCGCAAGGCAGTTCTGGTTTCAAATACAGGGTGTTTTCAAAGTTAACGGCTTGAAGGATTCGTCAGAAGGAGTTGTTACACCAAGAATCACGTATACAGGGTGGCGCATCGAAAACGAAACACGCATTTACTGGCAGCTCAGTTTTTTTTTGGAAAAACGCTCAGACCCGTCGATTTTGTTTTCGAGGGGGACACAAGTTTGGCAAATACCACGTTAACACGTGCAGCCCCCTGGGCGGGGGTGACACCAACCCTAAAATCTTAAATAGAAAGGGGGGTCGAGTGATACCTTATTTTAAAAGTCTTTCAATTCCTTTATAATGATGTAAAATACATTAGCTTCAGTTCAGTAGTTTTGAAGATTTATTGATTTAAAGCTTAAAGTAGACTTTAATAGGTACATCAGATTAGTTTGTACTACTTTCAGAAGAAATTTGTATAAAAAAATTTACTTAATAAGTAAATGCTTTTCTTCACTACGCCCATGGTTTGTTTATGATTTTGTTGTTGAAAATAGCTATTGGAGCGTTTTTTTATGGCAAAAAGTTATTTCTTGAAGAAAGATAAGGAAATATCTCGTACTTGTAACTCTTTATTACATAAATTAACCATGGTATATTCCACAGCAGAAAGAGTTGAAATTATCGAAATATTTTTGGAAATAATCAGTGCGCTTAATAGAACAGCAGAAATATTTAATGAGCGACATAAGAACAGTAACGTGCTTCGAAAATGTGTTCTAGAACTTTTAGCTAAATTTCGGGAAACTGGGTCAGTCGATAATAAAAAACGCAACATTGAAAATCCCATAAGGAACGAAGCAATAGAGGTGGGGATTTTAAGGCAAGTTTATGTAGATCCTACGTTAAGTACCCGCAAATTGGAGACTGTCCAACGGATTCTAAAGGCCCATAGTTTTCATCCGTATAAAATTCACCTGGTACAAGAACGTAATGAAGACGATTTTGATCGGCGATTACAATTTTGTGAAGATATGAGTGAACGAATTATAAACGATGAACATTTTCTATTCAACACTTGCTTTTCCGACAAATGTTCCTTTTTCTTAAATGGCGTAGTAAATCATCATAACTGCCGATATTGGTCCGATTCTAATCCCAGAATTTATCATGAGGTTCATACTCAGCAGCCACAAAAATTAAATGTTTGTGCTGGTATTTTTTTTCGATCATTTAGTTGGTCCTTTTTTCTTACCTGGAAATTTGACCGGTGTTAAAAGTTGCATAATAAAAGAAATAGTAAAAGATTGATATTTTAAAAAGTAAGATGTTATTATACAGATTTTTTGATGATATTCTCGACCACTACCATGTAAAATCTTAGCGTTTTTTGTTCTCTACTCTTATCGTTTATCTAAATTTGGCAAAGATTTTGTGTTATTGTATTGTTTTCAGTACGAGTCTCTGGTTCGATCAGTCTTTTCATAGTGCGTATAATTTCATTTGTCTGATTATTTTGTGCGAAAAAATGGCCTATGTTTAATACTTTCATGCTGAGATTGCCAATAAAATGCAGTCGGAGTATGCAGGTTGTATGCGGAAAGGTTTCCTGCAAGAAATCATCCGGCCCCACGGATGTTTGTAAATTTAGTTATTAGACTTCGTTACCCAGGATATATTTAAAAGAACAAGTCCTGTTCAACCCGAAATGTTATAAATTGAGGTCGACATTTTAGAAATGGTAGCAAACCACCCAACAATGAGTACCAGAGCCATATCAGCTCAAGACAAAATTTCTCATTGTAAAATGTGGAAGGCAATATGACAAGAACAGTATAATCCTTATAATTCTCAATGGGTACTAGCGTGACAGCCTGAAGCTCATCCTACAAGAGTTGCATTTTGCCATTTTTTTTTTTTCAATTTTTATGCATTGCGAAATCGCTAAAATCTCATGTGGTAGTTTGTAGGTAAGATGTGTTTTTGTTTAATTTCCATTCAAGTGAAGTCAGTTGATTAAAATATCAAAAAGGTTTTTATTTTTCACGTGAAAATGGTGCATTGGACAGAAAAAAGTCGAGGTCAAATTTGTTGCAAAATAAATGAGGATTTTTATTTTCGAAAAAAGCAACGACGTACCATGTTTTTTTTTGGAAAATCTCTTCGCCACTAGCAGAAATATTAAAAAATATTCTATATCAAAAAATGCCCATTAGTGCTTAGTAAGTGCGTGTCAAATTTCAAGAAAATAGTATAAAACAGTATTAAAGTTATGATAAAACGATTTTTTTCTTAAAATTTTAACACCCTGTAGCTCGTAAGTTAAGAGGTTTAAGCCATTATATGTTCATGTAAAGTTTTCTTCCTAAAATGAGCTAAGGAATCATATCCTGTATTTTTATAGCCTTCATTGAATTTAATCGTAATAACAGCAAAGATTTTTCAACGACAAAACGTAACTGACTAATGCAGTATATACAGTAATGGACAAAAGTATATAGACAAATATGAATATTTACATAAATTCCTTTAGAAAACGAATTCATACTCCATTGCTCCATAAACAAATGCGTTATTTTAGTAGAAAAAATAAATTCCTTGTTTTTACATTATCTGCAATGAACACAATACAAGTAGACATTGCCAAAAATTTGAAGCTGAAGCGTAAAGCAGTTTGGGCAATATTGAACAAATATACACAAAAAGGTATCTTGGAAGCCTCTAAGAGAAGTGGTCGGCCTAAGATCAGTTAGATTAATAAAAGTAATTTCGTCCAAAGTCCGTTTAAAACCCCAAGACAAATAAAAGCCGAAATCGAGGCAAAAGGAATTGCCAGTGTTTCTACGAAAACTATAAGTAGAAGATTAAATGATTTGAAGTTATTTGCACGTCGCAGCGAATCTCGAGGAAAAACCGTAAGGACCGATTACAATTTGCACGGTTGCATCTTGATTGGAGCATCTGTGACTGGAAGAGGGTATGTTTCAGTAACGAATCCAAGTTCAATATGTTTGGATCAAATGGTGTTCATTACGTTAGAAGTCCTAGTGGACAAAGATTGAACTCCAAGTACACTTTGCCCACTGTCAAACATGGAGGCGGGTCTGTTCTGGTTTGGGGGTGCTTTTCGCGGTTTGGGATAGGACCTTTACGTAGAATAGATGGCATTATGGATAAGTTTGTATACGCGGACATAATAAAGCACGCCATGTTACCTTATATGGAAGATGGAACATCAATCTTCCATCAAGATAATTACCCAAAGCACACTTCAAATCTCGCAAAGAAATTCTTTCTGGATGAAAAAATACCAGTTATCAAATGGGCTTCACAGTCTCCCGACATAAACCCCATTGAAAATCTATGGGAATACTTAGATAAGCAAATACGAGATAAAAATTATTCAAACAAGTATGAACTGTTTGCAAAAGTGGAGACAGATTGATGAATCTTATATCAAGAAACTTCTACAATCTATGCTGAGACGATGCCAAGCGGTGATTGATAATAATGGTTATGCTACAAAATATTAACACAAACATGGTTGGTTTTCTATAATTCAATGAAATTTGCTTCTTTTTTCTATCATTGTTTTGCTTTGTCTATATATTTTTGTCCTCCAAGTTCCAGTTTTTTTTTCAATTAATTTTTTATTGAAGGGAGTCTAATGAATTTATTTACATATAAGTGAGTATTATGCTATAACGAATTATGGATACAGGTTGTTGTATTAATAAAACAAGTTAAAAAAGAAATACAGCACAATATTAATTTGTCTATATACTTTTGTCCATTACTGTATATGCCAAAAATTATTAAAGTCGGATAAACATACGTAGGTGTTTACATTTTTTTCACTCGATAATCATATAAGTGGCAAACTTTTTACATACGTGGTCAATATAATCAGCTGTTTATGTGGGTAGCAAGCTATGATCGAGGTTGCCTTGTATTTGCGTTGAGTAGGAGCCCATTATCTTAGAACCATTACTGGGTTCTTTGTAGCTCTTCACTAGCACCCATCGCCAGATATGTTAAATTCTTGCAATCTACTAATAAAGATGTATCGACCGCGTATATAACAATATTAGTTCTACGGAAGCCATTCACAAAAATTATCTACAGCAATGGTCCCAAGATAAGAGCCCTGCAGAACTCCCACTTGACTCTCACACATTTCAACTGTGATCTGTTGGACAAGTACCACTCAAGTCCCCCTATTCCATAGTATTCAAGTTTTATCATCAACAGCCCATGATTTACAAGGTCGAAAGCTTTGCTCAGATCAGTGAATATCCCAATGCTCTTTTAGACCACATCAATCCTGCTCTAGGGATGGTTCAAGAACTTTATTATTGCTGTAGTAGTTGACAAACCTTGATCTATACTCTAGGCGCTGAAGAAAGAAACTAAACCCAAACAAATACACGCATATTGCTCGTGAGTGAGTGTTTAGGCGCAGGAGACATTACAGGACCGCATCAAGATATTATGGGTAGTCATCAAAAATTTCATACAAGATAATTATTATCTTTTACAGTAAATTTCAGTTAGAGATTCACAAATGAGTTAACTACACTTTTTAGTTATTAGTAAGTAAGCTGCGCGCACTCATTCAGAAGAGGAACTTGAATCTTCTGAATCGTTTAAATGAATTATTAGAGGTTCAATTTGGGTATCGATGACATTGTCCAAATCCCACATTTTGACCTCAACCTTCTCCCGAACGTGGCGGATACAGTTTTTCCATTCCTCTGCCGTAACTCTATTGACTGCGATGTGAAAGGGATTTTTAACATCAGAACATTTATAAGTATTATTATTCGACGCCACGTATTGCTTTATGTTGGCCCAAATCAGCTCAATAGGGTTCAGCTCACAGTGGTAGGGTGGCAGTCTCAAGACAGTTTTATTTTGTTTTTTGGCCATTTCGTCGATCATTTTAAAATCGTATTTGTATTTATGTCTATTGACTATACTTATCAATTCACCCTTGACCATTGTTTCATCAAAATCGATCTGTTTTGAGGCCAGCCATTGTTGTATGTTTGCTTTTTTAGTTGCCATTGTGGGAATTTTTTCTATTTTTCTAGAATGGTACGGGGCATTATCCAGTACAATAACAGCGTTATTCTCCAGCTTTAGTAACATTTTGGAGAACCAATTTTCAAAGGAATTGCCGTCCATCTCCTCATGATAGTCCCCTGTCTTTTTTGATTCAAAGGCCCACAGTGCTTCGGGAACAAAGCCGTCTTCACTACCTACGTGACAAATGATCAGCCGTTTGCCTTTTCCTGGAAATAAATTATTCCTTACACTATGGATTGATTAAATTTGAAGGAATGAGGCAATTGAGTTCATTTAGCTGAATTTAAGAGTCACGGAATGCTGATCAAAAACTGAAAAACGTAGAAAATTGAAGTTTGCAACTTCTCAAAACCCATTCAAAGCAAATTGACTGCACCCAAAAATGATAATAAATTTCAAAATAACGCTTAAAAGAGGGTCGAAGTTTTTTTCCTAATGACTACACTGCGAATGCACCATTTTTGGAGAATATCACACATTATCTGCTATCACAACATATTATTTGCCCGAATTTATCAAAATTAAATTGCCGGATAGATGAAGGAGCTTACCTGCAGGATTTTTCAATCCAGCCGAAAGACCGTCTAGAAAAGCCTGCCTTGATGATGTTACTGATTTGTCGACCCAAACTTTCGCTTGAGTATGTCCAGCATTCACCCACGTTTCGTCCAAATAGTAAATTTTTCTTTTTTCATCGCGAAACTTCCGAATCTTCCTAAGGTATTCCCTTCTCCACACAACAATTTCTTCTTTCTCTATTAACATACTGTTTCTTCCCCGTTTCAAGAATCGAAAATTAAGTTCCTTCAAAAGTTTTCGGAATGTGGTTCTTTTAAATGATGGAAGATCCTCATCAGCATTAACTAATCTTAATATCTTATCTACTGTAGGTATCTCATTTCGGAAGAAAAAATTATGCACTTTCCTCCTGATGGCAGTTCTGTCAAAGTCATCTACTCCGTCCGTTATCCTTTTTCTTGCAGGATACGGTTTTGGCTCAGAAAGTGAGTGAGTGCTCCTATATTCCTTAATGATCCTATAAACACTGGACCGACATACTCCAGAAATATGTGCTACCTTACATATAACTTCGTCCACGACCAAATCGGGTTTTTCTTTAATTTAGTTTTTGTATATATTTAATATTATTTGTTTTTCATTTGCACTTAAATGTAGCTTCTTAGCCCTTTTTTTGGGTGGGGTTGCGCTGATGTCAACCACTTCGTTGGCTGTATCTGTGTCAGACATCGTATCTTAGGCAATATATAAACAAAACGTTCCACTCGCGAAAAACGAGTATACGCTACTGAATGCGTAATGCGTATGCAATGCAATCCTGTGCGTGAATTAACTGTTAGATGCCTGTCGTGTCATCTACAATCACGTTTACAAGTCCAAACCTGTGCAGATTCGTAGAGCGACGACGACTGCTAGTGACCTTGAATTTGTCTGTAGATCGATGTTACTCCAGTCAATTTAGGTTCAAAGTGGATGTTTTCTAAACCAATTTGTTGTTCCTACATCAAAAATATATCGATGATGTTTTGTACTGGGAGCTCATGAAAGATCAAGGTAACTTATTTTAACAGTCATCCTTTTTCTAGTCTCAAGATGACACGAAAAAGGGTCTGTGGATTCACTAGAAATACACTGCCGAGGATGTTTAGACCTAAAGTGACTGGAGTATATCCGTGGATGCTTTCGAGGGATCTGTTCACGTGCTGATCACTGTTTACGTTTAATGTCTTTCTTCAGCGCCCAGAGTTTAGTAGTAGATAGTCTAAGACTCGTATTCGAAGCTTGCCCATTTTTTCAGCATAACAAAGCTGCTATAGGGATTGTTCAAAAACTTTATTGCTATAGTAGTTGACAAACCCAGTGCTAGTAGTACTCGTAGTAAGACGGTGTATTCGAAGCTTGACAGCTGTCCGTTTTTTCAGCGATGTGCAAGCCCGTCCGGAACGTCTAATAAGCCGTCTGCGGACCATCTCCGTGGACGACACCGGCCCCAAACTGATGGTGATACGGCAGCCGAAGGGTCCCGACGGCACGCGAGGCTTCGCCCTCGAGTCCCGCCAGAGGAAGATATCCAATACAGCTCTTGTCGAAGCGGTCTAGAAGTTGCATCCGTCACCCACTTTTTTTTCTCTCTCTATAGATATATACCTTTGTGACTCTTTCAGCGCTGCGTGAAATCGGTAAACACTCCTACTACCTACTCCTCATTCCTCGATTATCCCCCTTACAAAATATACACTGTATGCTATAGTAAATTAAGTCTCACTAAGTAAGAAAGTATTACGTTCGAGCGAGAATAACACTGGAAGGGATATCAAGGTGGGTGATTCACTTTAAATACCACGTGACTCTATGACAAAATGCCTCTAATCGCATGTGTTTACGTGTCAGGTTCCATCGATCTCTTATTCAGTCTGCAGCTGCTGTCGTTGGGTAAATCATTTTTAACATTAGTTCGGATAATCAGACGTGACAAAGCTGTAGCATATATTTTTCGCCATAATACCGTTTAAAAGTATTTGAACACCCAGAAAACAAGGAAACTGATGGAAGTTATTGAAGAAAACATTACAGTATCTGTATGAAACATTTATTTTCTTAATTCTCAACAACATACAACTATTTATAATAATCATACTTTTAATTGCAGCTTAGCAAATGATGGATAAACGCGTAACTAATTTTTGCAAGACTTTCAAAATATTTTGTTCTTCTTTTACTTCCAAAAATTGTTTACAGAGCTTGGATGTGTGTTTGAGGTCATTATCATGCTGAAATACAAACCCCGGACCAATAAGGCGAGTCCCAGAAGGCACAACATGATTTTGTAGTATGGCTTCATAACCTTATTTATTCAGTATTCCACAAAGTCCCCCAGAGCGGAACCACCAAAACAGCCCCAATTCGGTCTCTTTTTTTGTTAGTAGTGGTTTCGATACTGCTATGCATCCCTTAACTCCAGCTTCAAATACCTTCTCTTAACTGTAGGCACACTCGCAGGTTTACTACGGCCCACGTTTAAGTCGGCAGCTATTTCGGGTGCAGTTTTGCATCTATTGCTTTTACTTTTCATTATTATGCTTAAATAATGCTGGAGGTTGTAACTCTGGGTCTCCCTGAACGACGGCTATTGGATGTTCAGCCTTGAGCCTTAAATGACTTAACAATGTAGTGTGCAGATACAGTGGTACCTTCTGAAGTTGAGACATTTCTCGAATACTTTTGCCGGATTTATGAAGAGCAATGATAACTCAGAATATTCTTTAGTTTTATCCATTTTGTCCAGAAAAAAATAAACGAAAACGCACTTGTTGAACAATCTTGAACTATAAGGTATTGAAGCATGGTTAGTTTATCAAATGAAATAAGATAACTGAAGTAACACTGTGTTATGGGTTACGTACAACACAAATGAACAGAAATAATCGAAAAACAAACCCTGAGAAAGGATTCCTCTACAAAAATATAACAATATTCTAATGGCACAGAAATTCCTATTATGGCTAATGATGAGATCCCAATAATAGTGTGAGCAAATTTTGATTTGAATGACCTTTTAGTGATGCTTGATTTCCACGGTGATGGTTTTCAATAAATAAGAAAAATAAATGCACACTTAATTTTTTTGTTTATGATTTTAATTGGAAATATGCAGGTGTTCAAATACTTTTGAACGGTAGTGTATATGTGAGTTGTCTCTGTATGAAGTAAAGGCTTATGGTTTTTTGTATAATCAGAAATTGTTACCATACATATAAATTTTGTTTTTTTGTTGATTTTTTTTTATCAATTACCATTTTGTTGGAGTTGTATTGAATATTAGCTATGATCATTTGTATATATTTTCATTTGCAAAATGTACCTGATACCGAAAGAGTCTGTAATTTTGGGTGAATCACCACATACATAGGAACATAACTGCCAAATTGGCATCGTGTGTATAATTTAACATATATTATGTAACGATAGTCTTTTTTGTTAAGTTACAGAGACAAATTTATTTGTCCGATAAAGTAACGTATTAAATTCAAGGTTTTAAGTAAGTCGGCTATTGAGTCCACATTTTTGTAACTGTAAGTTAATTTCTTTTTATGTTTGCCCGGGAAATGATAGAAACTTAATTAAAATCTGTAGTTTAATACTGAATAAACGGCATACTGATTCTCATTGTTCGAAAATTGATTAAAAAAACTGATGCATATGTAATGTGTATGGTTGTATTGGAGAATAAAAGGGATTAAGTTATATATAGGGTGGTTATTTTTTACATTATTAACACGAAATCTATGATAGTCCCGGACAAGTATTAACTGCACGGATGCTTAGAAAACAAACTTTTACCAACAGAATAATGTTTTCAGGGGCCGCAAAAGGAAAATGCTATTTGTAGCTGATGCGAAAAAGATCAGTTATAATGGTTAAAATAATAGTTTATTTTTCTGAAAATTCATATATGCTGCCATGAACAAAAGACCACTTGACCACTGAAAAACCACAGGCTAATCACACCCTACATCCAAGAAATATACAGGGTGTTTCAAATTCGACCCTCATCATTGGGATCTCGAAAACGAAGTTGCTTAAATGGGGGCAAAGAAAATCAACGGAATGCCGCTTAGAAAGTTTCGAAACTCAAAGTACTTCCGGAGAGAGACGGAAAAACAGAATTTTCCCAAAATCGTTTTAATTTTTTCCTGTAATGGGATCTCAAAATGAATCGCACATTAACATTGCCACTTTTTCTCCTCTACAAGGTAGCATAATTAGAATTTCACTATGATACTTCGTCATTTGTCTTGCTTCCTTTATTTTTTCTTATGGACGCCATACTGGATTTTTGCGCAGATGAATTGAGTTCTTAATTCTGATTCCAAAAATGTTGACATTGTCAAACCTTAGTAATTCCAGAAAAACAGAAGTTCCTAGGTAGGCCTTGAAACAAAGGACAATCTGATAATTTCAAGGCCTACCTAGGAAATTCTGTTTTTTTTAATTAACCGAAATTTGGCAATGCCAAAGAATGGTATATATTGTTTGAATTAGAATTAAAAACTATTCATCTGTTCAAAAGTCCAATAAGAAAAAAGTTGAAGCTGGAGGGCAAGAGACAAAACGTCATATTGAAATTCTAATTATGAAATCTTGTAGAGGAGAAAAAGTGGCCGATGTTAATGTGCAAGCTATTTTATAATCCCACTACAAATGTGGGAAAAAAAATTAAACGATTTTGGGAAAATTCTTTTTTTTTTTTCGTCTCTCCGGAAGTACAGTAAAACCCCGCTTATCCGAAATAAAGTGGACAATCGATAAAACGAAAATAAATATTTAGACTCATAATGGTTTTATTGAAAAAAATAAATGCGTGTATTGAATACCTAATTATATAAAGTTACGTAAAATATAAACATGTGGATACAAACATACATATTTACGAGTATTTAGTAACAAAGGAAGTAATTTTTTATGGTACACGTTTTGCATTGTTCCTATTCTTGGCAGCAATATGCCTCCAACGTTTGATAAGTAGCACATCAGCTGTCGCATTTTCTTGTTGTTCGACGTAAGTCGGCGCCTTTTGTAGAGCTTCTAATCCTTCAGAATGTGATATTGCGTTTTAAATTTTCTAAAAATCCTTGATCCATTGGCTGAATCGGTGACGTTGCATAAGGAGGCAAAAACATCACTCGTATTTCTCCAGTTTTAAGTTGCTCTTCACTTGGGTGGATCGGAGCATTGTCTAATAGCAAAATACATTTTCGCGTTCATTCAAATATCGTTCGGTCTTGGAAACAAAATGATTGTAAAACCAGTCATTGAATAGAGCGGCATCCATCCAGGCATTTTTTTATTTTTATACCACAGTGCAAGAGCGTTGAGACGGACGTGTTTAAATGCTCTTGGTTTAGCTGATTTTTCGGTTAACAACAAAGGAAGTTTGTGTGCACCGGAAGCATTGCTACAAGCAGGAATAGTCACACGTTCGCTACTGTATGTCTATTTTAATTTTTTTCTGGATTTAAGCCATATTGCTTCATTAATTCTTAAAAATGTTCTGCAAATTTTAATGCAGGCAGATAACTTTTCTCTGCAAACTTTTAATTCTTTTATACCGTGTCGTTGTTTCCATCTATGGCGCCAACCATCATTGGCTGTAAAGTTATTAGGTGCTTCGATAACTGGCAATTCTTCACTTAAGATGACTGCCTTTTGCCTTAGAATTGGTCCGGAAATTGGTATTCCACGTTCTCGATTCCGTGTAAACGACATTATCCACTTTTTGATATTCCCCTTTTTTCATAGTTTTCCGAGAAGGCTGCGATGATGTCAGAACACGGGACCACTTTTCAATTTTCTCGCATTGTTTTTTCCATTCTGAATTGGTACTCACGCCCACATCCAAATCATTTGCCACGTTTTTAAGCAAATCACCTCTATCTAAACGTCTGATTGCCTCAAGTTTATGTTCTATGGTAATATCGCATTTACGTTTATTTTTATGCTGCTCCGTCTTAGCGATTATGAACCTGACTGAAACAAACATACACGCACACATACTCGTGAATTCCGCAAACGCGCTTGGAGAATCACCGGCAGCGAATCTAATGACGCAAAGGCCGAAATGGGAACTACCGGCGGCTATTTCGGATAATCGGGGTTCTACTGTACTTTGGATTTCAGAACTTTCTAAGTAGCATTTTGTTGATTAACTAAATACGCAACATTGTACCCATTTAAGTGACTTCGTATCTTTACGCTTTCCGAGTGTCGAATTTGAAACACCCGGTATACTGTAGATGATACTTATTCAGTCCGTCTGTTTTATGCTCTTCTAGATCTAGGGAAGAGTTGAGTCAGAAAATGACCACCCTGTATGTATTACAAACGTAAACATTGAGCAAATTTTAGGACTGGTGGAACAAAGAAAGACTGCAGAAATGATGACACTGAAAACTAGAGTGGATTCTATTCGTTGAAATATGAAGAAAATGGTATGATTTCCAAGTAAAAACCATTTTCTTGACAAGATGCAAAAATGTCAAAACATGTCACGTATGAGACTGCAAATTTTTTGAGTTAAACCCTCATTATTCGATTGGAAATTTTTCATCTTTCATGTCGAATGGTTTTATAGCAAAGTTTAATTTAGACAAAGTGACAACATGACGATCATCATTTCTAAATAAATTAATTTTATCGTTGACAAGAACATTCTATGACCTGAAAATAAGGAAATAATATCAAAAAGTCTCAGAACTTGCTTTGGAAAACCTGAAGATGAATTATCCCAGGACAAACATACATTAGGTGTCTTTGAAGTGTCAATATTGTCAGCTGTGACAAAGATGGTCTATGCTAAATAGTGTCCGACCGAAACTAGTATTTCAGCAAAAACTGAAACTTCTATCTGAGGAGTATGATATGGGAGGTAAGATAGTAGTCAATTTCTAAAAAAAACTCGGTCTCTATCAATTAATATTAGCAATAATGTAATTAAAAACAAAAAAACTATGTAATAATCAGTGTTTATCGGATATTATTGAGACTTGCGTAAAGAAATCTAAAACAGTACTACATTTGACTCTTAAAACTCTAAATAAATAATGATTTTTTTTCCGACAGAAATATGTTGTTTCAACATTATTTAACCTTAATTTAGACGGAAACCTAGTTTACTTTGAAAATTTTTATTTGTACACCGTTTAAAAACATAAACGTTCAACTTTCGGATGCTAAGTATCATCGTAATACATTTTTAGTCTTCAAAAATTTTATTGGTCATGATATTTTAAACGATGAACTAATAAATAGTGGTTTTCTATGAGGATTATTCAAAGATCAAAAACAATAGCTATTTCTGAGAGATTAGTAACTATGGCATTATTTAAGAAATTTAGTTTTGAATATTCTGCCCGAAATTGAGCCTGAACCGGAATAAACCAATAATTTGTGAGTTGTCTACCATCTTGATTACATAAAAAAGTCCCTAGATTTCTGTAGGCTTACAAAACTCAAAATAAATTTCGGCGCAACAGGCCATTAGAACGTAATCTAATAAGCATAATAGAGGGGTCCAATGCATAAACCAGTCAAGTCACACGAGGAAACATAAAAACATTTTTGATGTAAATTTTTTAAAAATGTATTTTTTTTAATTACTGAATGAGATAAACTAATACATGTTTTAATCCAAATTTAAAATATAACACATAGTTTTCAGCCAGAGTCATAATGTTAAAAATTTATTTTTCTATAGCTTTCTTCTTCCAGTAAACACTTTATTTGTGTTTTGTGGAATCAGGGGCTGCACATTCCTCTTGTCTTGGATTTCAAAAATATTAAATTGATACAAAGAAACTGTTTCATTTAAATAAAATTTCACTATCCAGTTTTTCATAGCGCATTATTCGATATTTTGAATTCGTAAATTTATTGTTAAGGATTCTTTACAAACAAGTGGGGATTGAAATTTAAAAATATATCCTGCGCCACATTGACAACTTTAAAGTTTTTGTTTGTATTTCCAACAATCTTTGAGTAATCTTGCGGCAAATATTTATATTTTGTCGACCTATCTTTTTTGTATTTCTATGATCCAAAGCTTCTATCGCACGGAAGGAAACAATGCCCTGGTTCGGAGTTCCTGTGCTGTATAAGTAGTTGCCAATAAAGTGTAAATGAAATGCACTAAAAGTAAAGTAAGTTTTGCGTCGAACAGTTGTCAAAAAACATATGAGTCACTTATTCTTCAATGTGGTTATCGAGAAAATGATGTAGCAGAATGGTAACATCATTTTGTCGTCTAGCGGCTAATGCTTCATCACATACATGAAAAAAACTTTTTCCAGTACTTCCTACATGGATACAAAGTTGAATTTTGTAGAATTCTTCTCCACTGGAAGATACAGAAAGGGGCAAATTTTGTTGGAAATCAAACGTTATCACTTCTACACTTGGATCGTTTTGAGCTAAAATTGTTTTGTCTCCAGTATTTGTATAGAAAATTTCGGCTTTTTTAACATATAATTCTTTGTCTATCCAGAACTGTCTCTTTTATTTCTCATTCTCAGCAGCATTAATTTGATTCATTGGTTCGTCACATTTTTTGCAAGTGTCTAACTTTGGTTTGCCAGAAGACATTTCAAACTTTTTTGTGAAAAACTTTGTATAATATTCATATTCTGCAATAGGCTCAATGTCAATAACAACAGGTTCATAAATCATATTTTGACTGACAGCATTGTGCAAAAACCACTCAAGTACAGGACTTGACCGGTCTTTGCAAAGTGTAAAAGCGTAGATAACCAATTATACATTTCAGTTTCCACAATTTGAACGGTTCAGAATTTAAAACTGTGCAAGAATATAAACCCAACTCATTTTGCCCAAAAAATGGACTTGGTCGGTTTATGCATTGAACCCCTCAACTGAACAGTCTGATATTATGAATATGAAATGAATATCAATTTTTCAACATTTTTTTCTAGCAAATTTGAACTTTGCTCTGAAAGAGTTGCTTGAAGGCGCCTGAAAACATACGAACGTAGTTTCGGGTGCAGTTTCGGCACTAAACGGAAACTGATTTTGGACCGAAATTTCGGTCGGACACTAATGCTAAGACACCAGCTAAAATTGCTTCCGGGCTAGACGTCACCAAAAGAATCAGTATTTTAAACAAATTAAATCTCTATGTAAAAACTGACTTATGGGGTCAGCATCAAAGAATCAGCTTACCAAAACACCAAAGACCGTAGTGACTTGATGTGTCTTAGGGGAAAGTAGATTTTCCATTGCATTTGCGATCTTCAGATTTGTGCTGAAAATGTTGTCTTGTGCCTATAAGTTATTCTTGTCTCGAATAATCTGCGACGGAGATGTAAAAGTTAGGACAAGAAACACATTTATTTCCTTCTTATTTCATTTACTTGTAAACTACATAGCTGTAGCTACTCTTCATATACATGAAGTTCAATTTTTTGAACAAAGCCAAGTTAAGCTGCGCTTCAAGAAAAAAACTAGAAAACGTAAAAAATACACAAGTTAAACACTGCTTAGTAAACCAAAAAAAGAAAAAAAATGATAATCCATTGACAAATATAAATACAATGAATTTATTATTAGGATAAATTGAGTTAAGGTATTAGATGGTGATCTAGAAGACTGCATCCTCAAGTAAAATTTATATAAGATCTTTTTGTATTTTTGTTTTCAACTCCGTTTAGGTGTTAACTTAGATAGCAGTACCTGCAGCAGCAAAAACAGTTGTCTCATTTTACGATGCTTGAAAAATTTGAAACCGAGTGTAACAAATGGAATAGAAAAGTCATAAATTGAAATTGTTGTATTTTCAAACTGCTTTGTAGAAAAGCCTAAGAGTCTCACTACTTTTAAAGTTTCACAGATCTATCTTATATTTACACTGCAGTAAATATTGTCCTATTATACAGGGTGTTAATTAAGTATGTACCAGAAATTTAACAAACGATTCTTTGAGTAATTTTAAGATAAACAGTTCATATATAGTTTCGCAAATTGGAAAATGGTTTTTACTTACTTTGTCTCTTATAATTACTCAAAGAACCGTCTGCTAAATTTACGGTACATACTTGAATTAACATTGTTTATAATCTGAGAAATTTGTGCTCTGGACATCCATAAAGCGCATACACGCGGTTGTTACACTCTGTGACGAAATAGCGACTCCGTAGTGAGTTAAGTATTTTATACCGTTATAGTGTAAGGAACATTCTGAGCAATTTGCAAATATTTCGTATACTATATACCGACAAGCTCAGAATGTTCTCTATAATACTAAAGTAGAAGCACGCTGTAATATTGCCGAGTAATGTGATAGAAAAATATCGCCAGCTGATTTCCAAACATCAAGCTATTTAGAGCTACTCTCCTCCATTTTTGGTGTTAGGTAGGTACCCACTTGTTATTACTAACTTGTATATCGGTTGGTGTAGGTACTGTGGTGCAGTTTTTGAGGAGTAAACTACAAAATAATTCAATGTGGATTATCTTTCTACTTGTAAATTGTTTTGATTTCAAAGAAATAAAATAAATATATAAGTGATACTATTAATAGAGTTTATTTTGTAAGATTACACTTAAAGGTAAGTTCGGTAGCAGACGTCATATTACTATACACTCGTAGGGAAATACTGTTCCTACCTTGCCGCCACCTGGAACCGGGCACGCTGTAAAGACACAAAAAATCGATTAAGTTTGATTCAGATTTCTCAAAGAAATTATTTACGAACAGAGCATCAAGGGAAATAAAATTTTAACCAAACTTCGAGCTGGATTCAGGAAGAAAGACTCAACTGAAACGGGAATACAAATGGGTTTAGAGGACCGGAGGAGATGTACGGACAATAGGAAACGTACAGCGACACTGTTTTTTGGACTTCAAAAGGGCGTTTGAAAATATTGACAGAGATTAATTACATACAGAATTGCATCACTATGAATTTAAAGGATCTGCATTCAAAATTCTACAAAACTATTTAATTGACAGAAGTCAAAAAATCAAAATTGCATCTACATTATCAAGATCAAAAAATATTTCTGATGGTATACCACAAGGTAGTAAACTAGGTCCACTACTATTTGTTTTATACATTAATGACATTTGTAATATTTTAGATTATTGTAAACTTCAGATATTTGCAGATGATACATTAATATACATGTCAGATGAAAATATAGACACTGCTTTAAAAATGCTAAAATCTGACTTGGCAAAAATCATAAATTGGTTAAATGTAAATAAACAAAAATTGAATGCTTCTAAAACAAAATGTATGCTAATAGGGAAATACCTAAATGAAAATACTATCACTTTTAGGATAAATGGTGAAATTATTGAAAATGTTGAATCAATTAAATATTTAGGTATATACAGGGTGGGAAAATAGATGCGGAGCCGGTGGAGGGAGATAGTACAAGCCAGTCTGAGTCGATTTTACTATAGGAACTACTGTCAGAAAATTAGCCGTTTCCGAATTATACTAATTTTTAAGATTTCATAAAATTTACGTCTTTATACGTTAACCAAGTCATGAAACTTGAAAATTGGGTGTTTCATTTGATTATTTTTGTTTTACAATAAAAAGATTCTAAAATACGAAAATTGATACTCAAATGTAAATTATTGACGTTATCTCATGCAGTAAGCTTCAGAATAGTTCAATTCTTGTTAAAAAAAATCTTCGTTCATCTCGAACTCAATTTACTAGAAACAATCATCTACAAATTTTTCGTGCAAAACAATTTTAAAATATCTAAGTTTCATTACCTTTCAAATGAGGTATCAAAGTCGCAAACCGGTTTAGAAATGACAAAGATATGAGTGAAAGAAACAGGTAGAGCCGCGAACATCGGACTTTGCCACCGGAATAGTGTGATAAGTAAGACTAGTCACCGCCTCCCTCCCTCGCTTCAATCTGCTCTTGCGATTTTTTGCGTTCGGATGTGTTTGCTCGCTGTTTTGATATTTCTAACGAATTGGCTCTTGTTGGACTTCCGTGTGTAATTCTTTTCCTGACGACCTAGACTGTACCCTGTTTTCTGTGATTCCTTACGACTTGGCTGCTGTGTGACTTGATTGTTCATTGATCTACCTATCGATGAACAATGGCTGATGAACAAAGGATGCGGCCGTTCAGCATCGAAGAATATGCCGACATCCTTTTCTACTATGGAGATGCCAGATGTGGAAGAAGAAGAATATTCCACTCTCGGAATGTCCGGGTGGAGGGTGGGCTCGAGGGAACAACATCGAAGATAAAATTTGTTTTTCGAACATCTGCGGGATCAACAGCAACATTGATGCTGTTCATCACTACCTGCAATCCAATCGTCCCGCCGTGCTTTTCTTGGCGGAGACAAAAATCTCAGAGACTGCACCGATTAACCATCTCAACTTCCCAAACTACGAGGTGCACTCCAATCTGAGAAAGAACGGGGGAGTTGTGGCTTTTGTCCGCAGCAGTCTTTCCTGCTCCAGGGATCTTTCTTTGGAATCAGACCGGAAGGACATTCTGTGGCTTCGCCTCAACTCCAAAACATCACCCAAATTTATTTGCTGCCTTTATCGCTCTCCCTCGAACCATAACTGGGATGACCTACTCGAATACCTCGCCATCCAGATCGACTTCCTGAACATCAATCACCCCGCTTCAGAGGTAGTTCTTCTCGGTGATTTCAATGCCCATAATGAGCTTTGGTTGGGCTCAAATAAGACCGATGCAGCAGGTCGTGCAGTCGAAGCGTTCGCTCTTACTCAAGGGCTGACCCAGCTGGTGACGAGCCCTACTTTTTTCCCCCGCGTCTCGTCACACGCCAGTAGCCTGCTGGATCTCTTTCTGACCACGCATCCTGCCCCTTACAGCACTGCTGTCCTGTCCCCCCTGGGTAACTCAGATCACGGTGTTGTGGAGGTTAGGTTTCGGTCAGAAGCCGCTGTGGCAGCAGAAACTCGCACAGGCCGCAAAACTTGGCATTACGGACATGCCGACTGGGAGGGGCTCAGAGACTTCTTCTCTAGCTTTCCTTGGAGAGATGTCTGTTTCACTGACGCGGATGCGTCGACTGTCTGTTCTTCAATAACCGAAATTATTCACGTCGGAATGGAGGAATACATCCCTCACACAGTGAAAGTTCCTAAACCAGGGCCCAACGGCTGGTTCAACAAATCGTGTGACACTGCTCGCCAGCAGAAGATCAAGGCCCACAGAACCTACTTACAAAACCCCACTGTAGAGAACAGACAAGCCGACGTCGAGTCCAGAAACAAATATAAGAAAGCGGTTCGCAATGCCAAAAACCAGCATGATATAAAAGTTAGGAACAGGGTAATGTCGCAGCGCAATGGCAGTCGGTCTTTCTGGACGCTGGCCAAGCAGATTGAAAAGAACTTCTCACACAGTAGCCTTCCACCACTTACGTGTCAGGATGGAACTATTGTATTCGACTCAAAGGCCAAGGCGGAAGTGCTAGCCAAGATCTTTGCTGCCAACTCCACCATGGACGTCCCCACCAACGCCCAAGTGCCGTCAATTCAAAGGGTTCCCCACACTATGCGAGAGGTAACATTCAGGCATAAGACCGTAAGACGAGTGCTCTTGTCGCTCGACATCATCAAAGCTTCTGGTCCGGACTTGATTCCTGCCATTGTACTGAAGAGATGTGCAGCGGAGCTTGCTCCAGTTCTTTCGCGTCTCTTCCAGATATCTTATGAATCTGGCACCTTCCCTGAAAACTGGAAATTTGCTCATGTACAGCCCATCCCAAAAAAAGGATCTAAAACCGACCCTTACAACTACAGGCCTATAGCTCTGCTTTCTGTTATAAGTAAAGTGATGGAGAGGTGCATAAATCGCGAGCTTCTAGACTACCTCGAACGTCACAGCTTGATTAGCGACAGGCAGTACGGTTTCCGGCACCAACGATCCACAGGGGACCTCCTAGCTTACGTCACGCAACTGTGGAGTAAACTCATCCAGTCTCATGGTGAGGCTCATGTCGTTGCTCTTGACATCACGAAAGCGTTCGATCAGCTGTGGCACGCTGCCCTCTTAAGCAAACTTCCATCCTACGGCCTCCCAGAAAAGCTTTGTAGATGGGTGGCTGACTTTATCTCTGGCCGCAAGATATCCGTCGTAATTGACGGATTCTCCTCTTCATCCCACAACGTCAACGCGGGTGTTCCCCAGGGATCGGTCTTGGCTCCAACACTGTTTCTCTTACATATCAACGACCTCCTTTCCTGCACGATCAATCCAATCCACAGCTTCGCTGATGACAGCACTCTACATGCAGGAATTCAGAGTGACAAGCTGATGTCTGCCGCTGAGCTGGAAAAAAGAAGACTAGCGACGACTTCTTCTCTGACAAGAGACCTGGAAGCTATCACTGGTTGGGGACGCAACAATCTTGTACAGTTCAATGCTTCCAAAACACAGTACTGTACTTTGACGAACAAAAAGCGTCCTAGCGCTCATACAGTTTCAATGGACGGTCGAGTTCTACCAAAGAGCCATTCATTTCGGCTGGTCGGAGTCCAGATCACCGAGGACCTGATCTGGCACGAACACATCTCTTCAATAGCTGCAGCTGCTGGGAAAAAGCTAGGCTATTTGTTTAGGGCTAAGAAGTACTTTTCTCCGCATGACCTTCTCACTCTATACAAGGCCCAGATAAGGCCTAGCCTCGAGTATTGCTCACACATTTGGGGTGCTGCCGCCCCAACTACATTATCCTCAGAGCTCTCTTCCATGATGCCGCCGCGCGATGTGCCTGCCAGACAGACCCGCCTGACTTCGGCGTCCCATCCCAACCGTGTCAAACTTCGTACATCCAGAACTGACCGATACGACCGCTCCTTTGTTCCGAGGGTGTCTAGATTGTGGAACAATCTACGGGAGGAAGCTTTTCCCAGTTCTACTAACCTTAGGCAGTTCAAAAATCGTATTAACAAAATTTCTTTGGGATCATCATAGCAGCCGCGGTGTTCCGGCATTTAGGCTTCTGCCTGCGCGGCTGTTTCGATATAAAAAAAAAAAAAAAAAAAATTAAATATTTTCCAAAGAGACCCTAGTCTCTCTACTCGCGCTGTGGCTCGACGGCTTGCATTATCCCAATGGCAAGTGTGGTGTATGTTTTGCATGAAAACATATTCCACAACACACCTGTGTACGTCTTAGAGGAAGGAGATCCCATGAGGCGCATGCAATTTTGTCGTTTTATTTTAAACGCTGATGTTGAAGATAGCAATTATTTAAGAAATATTCTATGGACCGACGAATCAAAATTTGATAAAGACGGCTTAACAAACTATAATAACGCTCACTGTTGGCGTGAACGTGCAGTGGGAAATCCTCATATGAAGAGACCAAAAGGATCTCAAAGGCGATTTTGTCTGAATGTCTGGATGGGCATTATAAATAACTGTTTGGTCCTAACCGACAACCTAAATGGCCTACGAAAATTTCTTAAGAAATGTTCTATTTGAATTAGTTGAAGACGTGCCGCTACACACAAGACACGGAATGATTTTTCAGCATGACGGGTGTCCAGCACATTTCAGACTAAGTGTTAGAAATTGGTTAAATGAGCAGTTTCCGAATCGATGGATCGGTAGAGGCGGGCCAATCCCATGGCCAGCACGCAGTCCCGATCTCACACCTATGGACTTTTTTGTGTGGGGTCGCATGAAAACTTTAGTATACTGTGATCAAAATCCTGTACCCACAATAGAAGACCTCAGAAACAGGATAATACATGCAGCACAAGAAATTCAAGCCTCTCTTCGGAATAGAGGGCGCTATGTTGAAAATGTATTAAAAAAATGTAGTTTCAAACAAATTATCCTGTATTAAGGTATGATTTTGTAAGTGTAGTATTTTTATCGCTTTTTCCTTCCTCCTTTTATAATAGTCATATTTTTGCCAATTCTTAATCGATTTGTGATTTTTATACCTCATTTGAAAGGTAATGAAACGTAGATGTTTTCTAATTATTTTGTACGAAAAATTTGTGTGCGACTTTTTCTAGTAAACTGAAGCTTTTGAGATGAACGAAGATTTTTTTAACAAAAATCGAACTATAGTATTTTGAAGCTTACTGCATGAGATAACGTCAATAATGTACATTTGAGTATCAATTTTCGTATTTTAGAATATTTTTATTGTAAAACCAAAATAAAAAATCAAATAAAACACCCAATTTTTAAGTTTTATGACTTGGTTAACGTATAAAGGACGTTAATTTTATAAAATCCTAAAAATTAGTATAATTCGAAAGTGGCTAATTTTCGGACAGTAGTTCCTATAGTAAAATCGACTCAGATTGGCTTGTACTATCTCCCCCCACCGGCTCCGCATCTATTTCCCGTCACCCTGTATATTGAGTAACAAAAAAGGTAAACACCTACTTATGTTTATCCCATTTTAATAATTTTTGGCATATACATCATACGTTCAGTGTCCCTTACTATTAAAATGATTAAATTTTCAGCTTGATTCATCAACTGACTGCTGGTTCAATATGTTGAGGATCCACGATTTCTTATACACTCATTGACACACCTAGGCATTGTACTGATAAGGTGGTCGATATCCTGTTGGGGTATCTCAAGCCAGGCTACCGCAACTTCGTGAGTAAGAGCTGCTTAAGTCTGTGGAGGGTGTTACAAATTCTAGAGCCTGCGACCTATCATGTCTCAGACATGTTCAATGGGAGATAGATCAGGCGATCGTGCTGGCCAAGGTAAACGGTTGATGCGGTGTTGATCCATGAAGTCTAACGATGGTCTAGCAACATACGGTCTGCCATTGTCTTGCTGAATAATCGGGTTTTGGATGGTGATTAGGTATGGAATAAGATGAGGATCCACTACTTCCTGAAAATAGCGTCATATTGCCTCTGATGAAAATTAGTGGTGAACTTTTTTTTTTATACTTCAACTACCACGAAGGCCTAAGGCCTAAGCACCCATTGGGTACCGTGGGGCTATAGGGGGACACATGGGAAAGGGGGGGACGCCACACGGGCTCTGGCGAGGGAACACGTGTGCATGCAACATGCGCACATTCTGGCTCCGCCTACGAGATCCGCCGGGTGGTACCTCCGCGTTCGACGGTCAGAGACCATCTACCACCTACGGACAATCACAACATCCATAGCCAAGAGAAAAATTTCTCCTGGGACGGGACTCGAACCCGCACAGCGCACGGCGACTGATCAGGAGACCGAAGAGTCTACTACTGCGGCCACCGCTGCTGCCTAACTGCTTGGGAAATATTGCAAAATCCACTTTTTCAGCAGGACAGTGTATGACCTCATGTCGCACGTGTTAGTTTAGACTTATAGAAGCGTCCTGCTCTAGTGCCTTCCTCGATCTCCAGACCTTTCCCCCATCGAACATGTATGGGCCATGATGGGAAGTAGGTGGCAAAATTCACCGCACCTTCCACAAACATTGAAGGCTCTACACAACCAAATTCAGATCGCCTGGGATACAATATACCAGGAAGACATCAATCACCTTATCCAATGAATGCCGCGAAGACTTAACGAATATGTAGTAGAGGAGCTTCAACACATTATTAACATTAAGGTGGGATATCTCAGCTATTTTGCGAAATTTCGAGTAAAAACTTTAATCACTTTCTATTTATCAGCAGACCTAAAACTTGTAAAAGTATGCTCAAAAATACAGCACTCCTTGTCGATGTTGCATTTTTTATGTCATTTAGTATATAGTGACTTTGAAGTTGAGTCATTAATTTTCAGATAATAATTGTAGAAGGAAGATGAACCAAGATATGTGTGTAAAAATTAAAAAAAATGTTACCTTGTTTTATAAAGTATCCTCCCGACAAGTATTTCAGCATGTCACAAAAACTGTTCGAAATGATTTCCGTTTTGCTCGACGCAGAGCTGGGCGAGTCTTAGCCATGTCTCTTTACAAGCACGCAATAAAATCACTGGTTGATTTCTGATCACTGTACTCATTTCCTCAATTCGAACACGTAATTCTTCGCGGCTATTAACCGGTGTTTTATACACTAGAGATTTTAATTAACCTCGCAAACAAAAGTCTACAGGATGTAAGTCCGGAGACCTTGGCGGCCAAGGTACAAAACCGCCACGGCCGATCCAACGATTACTAAATTGTCTATTTAAAAATTCACGCACATTTCTTGCATAATGGAGGGGTGCCCCATCTTGTAAAAACCACATGTTTTGTCTAATATTTAAAGGCACATCTTCCAGTAAACCAGGCAAATTGTGTTGCAAGAAATCAAGATAATTTTCACCAGTTAAGCGATTTGGTAATTCAAAAGGCCCCACTAAAATTCCATTAACAATTCCAGCCCACAGGTTGATTGGTTCAAATCGCTGTTGAAAATTATTCATGGGGATTTTCAATAGCCCAAACGTGAGAATTACGTGAATAATAATAAATCATTTACTAATTCTAAAATGTGTTCCTCTGGTTCTATTTGATCGTGCGGTCTTGGAGCACCGGCATGCTCTCCCCTGTGAGGTCTTAAGTCACCTGATTCACGAGCCCTTTGTACTACATTAACAAAAGCACGAGGGGTTAGTTGCACTCGATTGGGAAACCGATCCGCATAAATCCGTGATGCCGCGGCAGCATTTTGTAAATAAGAATCATGTCCACAAGTTCAGCATTTTCGTAAACATGTGCCATTTTTTATTTCGTTTGAGCCGCGAAACAAACACCACTATTCACTCACGCGTTGCCGACTGACACATTGACTGAATACAACTGAATAAAATTGTAGTAAAAACATCTTGATAAGCGTTTCAAATTCTTTCGCTTTTTTGTTTCCGATGCGATGAACCGATAAGGCGGATTATATCCGTTGTTGCCAAACACGAGCACATAATATTATTGAGACAGGGCGGTACTCAAACCTCTAAAGGGCCATAACTTTGTTACTTTAATTCTACCAGAAAAATGTTATAGGAAAAAAACATCTCTTTTGATCAGATCTACTCACTGCTAAAATAAATGACTCAACTTCAAAGTATATGAAATTCGATAAAATAGTTATAACATGGATACAGTTTTTGTGAAATCGTAACTTTAGATTTTCCTACAGTCGATATGGATTCATTTCATCAACTCATGACCTATATAAAACTTTGGAAACATGACCTTTTAGACAAATTTCAACTGATAATTACAATGTCGAAAGTGAAAAAGTGTTTTCTATTTCTATGTATACATGAACGTATGGACTATTTAAAATATCAACAATTTGAATATATGCGTTAATTCTATTGATAAGGGTATATTTCATAACAAACTTTTACAGAGCTACAAAGAAAGAATTGGTTCAACAGATACACATACAATTAAAAATGTTATCTTTACTGTCGTTAGAAATTAAGTTGAAAGGTTATCTGGTTATAAAATTATTTGTAAGGCCATATTGTATATTTTTAGAAGACATGTATGAGTATGATTATCAACAACGGAAAACAGAAGAAGGTGATAGTAAACATGAGATAAAATTGCGGAAATAATTTTCCGAAGAACTAGCAGATTGTACGGCATTGATCTCAAATACTTTTTGTTGGTTCGGCGACCTCTAATCTTTATAAACAAACATTATATCCGGTATATGTGCTTTTCTAATCAGTAGCGGCGTTAGGGTAGAGTACGATTTGGTAACCTCGTAAGCAAGTCTCCGAATTTTGAGGAAAGAAAAATCGACTTTTACTACCCACACAGCGCATTAGTTCTCATAGATATTTCTGGTATATTACATAACTCTCCCAATATTACATTTCAAAATTGTGATTTCGTACATCTTTCAAAAATATTGATTTTATATTTCGCAATTTATGTTTGAGATACATTATTGAAATGAGTTATAAGGAATATTTCATTCATACTGTTTCTGAAATATCACTGATGTTTTAAATATTTCATGGGATTTGATTCATATTTAGGTAAATAGACATTTTCAATATTATGTTGGTTTATTGCGTCCATGGCAATATCAATGTGTGTATTTACAAAGGAAAAGTCAGAAAAAAATTTTTCTCTACCATTATACATTTTTTGTACGTGGCATATTTTTCGCAAAATAGCTGAATCATATTACTGTTAAAAGTTAACACGCATCAGTTCAAATTGTAGAGGATGTTCTGAACAGGGAATTAGCTTACCTCGACTACATCGTAATCCAAAGAATCCTGTACCCTCACACCTGCATTTATATCCTGGCTGTTGAGAAATTTGTATACAGGTACTGTTGTGCATGCATGGGTTATTTGTTTTGCAAATGTCCCTCTTTTTACCTAAAAAAAAAATAACTTACAGCTGACTGCGTGATTATTAAGAACATAATCCAAATTTGAAATCATATTCTGATCCAAAGACGAAATTAATAAACTTATCGTGGAGTCTCTTGACAGAGGAGAGCAAATGTGGGGATATATTGTGTAATGCCAGCTTGTAGAACACGTCAAAAGAAGTTAATATACCAAAAATCACCTATATAAAAGTTGGATAATAAGAGAGTTAGTTTACATTATTAAAAATTATTCAAAAAAAATCATTATCAAGTTTTTACAAAAACTGTTCAAAATTGTCTCCATTTGTTCATGATCTCATCTAAAATGTAGTGGAGCCCCATCATGTAAGAACAAAATATTCTCGCATTTGAAGGAACATCTAATAATTATAGCAGCAGCCGTATTCATAAAAGAGCATATCCTCGGAAGCATAAGGTAAAAGTATAAGGTCTTGCTTCGAAAAAAAATGTAGCATATCCTTGTTTTCATATTCATAACAATTACCTTATACTCGCGAGGATATCCTCTAAGAAGAAGTAAAAGGTTGACTGGTATTTGTATCTTGAGCGACATGTCTTGACTTGTTCCAGCTTGTAGTTGACGTGGGAGTTCGTTCACTCAGCGTCACTGACAGTTGTACTCCAGAGCTTACACAGACCGTTCCGTATTTTTACTGGATACAGTTTTTTATCAAAAAGTCACAAGTTCAAAAAATAAAAATGATTGCCTTGAAGATGTTGAAAAAATACGAATCAACATTCGGTAAACTATTAGATACTAATAGCTTATTAAAAAAAATCAACATGAAATCAGGTTTGAAGAAAAAAACATTTAGAAAAAAACTGGTAATAAAGCAATTAAATAGTTAGATTGGGAAAGAAAGTTGCTGAAACCTATGGAAGATGACTGTAATCCTACAATTGGGAAAATTAGAGGTGCCATTCAGGTTGGTAGTGTTCAAGAAGAAGGAAGTGAACTATATACCGAGTGCAGTGAGCAAACATTTAGTATTACAGCGCCAGCAATTCAGAAGACATTGCCACCAAAAAGAAAATTAGCAACAGATAAATACGAAACTGGGGAGACCAAAGGGTTAACTACAAAAGAACTGCAACATCTAGTGCTATAACAGCAGTAAAACTTTAACTTTCACACCACTCCTATGTTGTAGCATAACTTCAATCTTGCTTTCTTCCATTTTTCACACAAAACTGTAGTTGTCAAAAAATTATAAAATGTAGAGGTTAGAATATCGTGGATCAACCGAGCCCGAAAGTCGGTGGACGCTGTTGGTACCGGTGGCATATCCACTATCAATATAAAGACAAGTTTGATGTTCAACCGGTCGTTCCAGCGGAAATTAAAGAACGCAAAATTGGCTAACCGATAGATCAACAGGTGAAATAAAGAATACACCTATATCTTCATTTTATGAATACATGAAAGTGCTCCTCCTCGCGTTTCCTCATCCTCAACTAAAAATCTGTCCGGAAGCCATTGTACATTTGCTTCGTCGAACCGATATAATTTTTTGAAGTGACGACCAAGTGAAGGTAAACGAGGTTTGTACGTTTTAACATCCACAATTTCCGCCATCATCGTTTGACCACCTTTCGTTACGAAGTTGAGTCTGCTACTGACCACACTCAGAATTTTTGAAGGATATGCTTCCTACGCCAAGTATAAGGTGAACATTATGAATATCCTTTTACTTATGTCACTGCTTTGAAGGATATGCTTATACTCAAAAAGCAAAAGCATTCACTTCAAATTATTATAAATACTATCAGGAGGATTTCCTTCAAAATTTGCAAGTACAAGGATATCCTTTGTTTTATGAATACGATAAGAGTAGTAAATAAAAAGCGCTAAGATTTTACACCAAAAATATCAAAAAATTGTGTAATAACATTTTTATTTTTTTTAAATTTTTAATCTTTTACTATTTCTTTGACTATGCAACTTTTATGTAGGTGATTTTTTGTAGATCAACTCCTTCTGACGAGTCCTACAAGCAGTTAAAATAAATGACTTAACTTTGAACATATACGTAGTCATGCCATAAGTTCTGTCGCTCGTTTTCAAACAAGTGTAGACCTGTTAATACTTGTCCGATTGTTTACATTGTGGTGTCAGTTGATTAAGCGCTTTTCGGGTAATTACATATACCTCAGTTTGTATTGATCTCTCGAAGCATAACGATGGAGTGGGGCAAGGCAGAGAACCGTATTGCAGTGATAGCTTTACATAAGTGTAATCACAGTGCTAGTCAGATTTTTGAACTCTTACGCGGCCTTCAAATATCGCGTAAATTTGTGTCTAGGACCATTCAGCGGTACAATGAGACGTCCTCTGTTGATGACAGGCCAAGAAGCGGAAGACCTCGTCAAGTAAGGACTCCAGCAGCCATCAAAGCCGTAAAAGCCAGGATTCAAAGGAATCCACTCCGGAAGCAGAAGATCCTATCCAGGGAAATGAAGATTCCTGTCCGGACGATGTCGCGCATCATTAAACAAGACCTAGGGCTAGGGGCTTACCGGAGACGTACGGGCCAGCGACTTACGGCCACCTTGCGACACATCAGGGCGACAAGATCCAAGAAGCTCTTGGAGAGGTACGAAGCTGTGCGTGCAGTGATAGATGAGTGGCCCGCGAGATTGAAGCAGTGTGTGAAGGCCAAGGGGGGACATTTTGAATAAAACTGTTTGATTATGAATTCTAAAAATGTTGTCGAATAAATAATATCTTTCATATAAATATATCTTATCTTGTTTCATTTTTATCATGAGATTATCATGGGACAGAACTTATGGCACGACTACGTATAATACAGGGAGGGCAATTCACTGGACAACAGCTGGCGTTCCTTAAGAATGAGTGAATCTGCTCGAATCAATCCAGGCGTCATTTGAAACTTCATGCGTATAAGATTTAAATCGTACAAGAATCGGAGGACACGGATCTCACACAGAGATTGCCAATTTCATCATTACTGCTGAAGCAGTTCTATCAATTGAAAAATTTCAGTTTCTCAGACGAGGCTCATTTTCATTTGAACGGTTTTGTGTACAAGCAAAACTGTTCATTGCCAAAAAAAAAGTTTGGGCAGCAATATCAGCTAGCGGTTTGACTGGATCCTACTTTTTTGAGGACGATTGCGGTCAAGCTGCGAGTGTTATGTTTGAATGGTGAGCGAGTTTTTAGCCTAAAGCCCCAAGAAATTGCTGGATACAGCTCCATGACGTGGTTTCAACAGGATATCGGAGAGGCGTGACATTGAGTGTCCACCACGAAGCCCGGACTTTTGTCCCCTCGCGATTTCTTTTTGTGGGGATATCCAAGAGCAGAGTCCTCAATAATAACCCAGAAAGCCCTCCTCGAATTGAAGCAAAACATTTTTTAAGAGATAGAGGTAATTTCAAAAGCAACTTGTAGGTGAGCATCCGGCAAAGTGAATTTTGCTATGACCCATCCTGCATGAAGTCCGAGTATGTGAACTCGAATTTGAAAATACGGTGAGAAATAAGGCAAGGAAACCGATATGATCTTTAACTCCTAATACCACAGTTTAGCCTAATAGTTAAATACAGGGAAAACCAAATTTGTCTGACGGCTCGAGTTCAATGTGTACGAGACAGAAGTGTGTATAGATACATATGTTAGAAAGAGATAGAAGCCGGCTGAATAGCGAAGCTCATCACCGCGTTGCATAGCAACGCTGACGCGGCAATCCGCCGTGTTGCCAGTATGTTATACCAGTTCCTTGAATTAAGATGCATGTTGAAAATATGCGTTGGTTTATTCTCCGCGCCCAATTTTTGAATTGTGAGTTGTGCCGAATCTGTTTACGATCGATTCCGGATCGGTCCCAACAGCGCTCCGTTTTCGGTCGAAACGAAAGGTCAGGTTTGTCACAAATTCTGCAACATTGCTCATTGGTTCGCTCGGCAACACCGCATCTCGTACATTCCAAGGCAAGGTTTCCACCTGCATGATCATGGATGAGCGATTTTCGTCAGTACCCATCTAGCGCTCATTCGTCCTGCTTCGAAATGGTTTTCGCTTGCGTACACGCAGGCAGTGATAATTTGTATTGCGTAATGGTATTTGTTACATTTTCCGGCCGCTTGCTGTCGCAAAATGTAACAATAACTCAGGATGTGTTAATTTTGTCACCTCCTTCTTGGTTTTCACAGCAACCTAACCTATTGTAGGAGCCTGTGCGAACATTTTCTGGTGTAACATATTGGCAACGCGGCATAATGCACACTTCTCGCGTTTCTCTGTCGTACCCATTGAACTCAAGTCGTCAGACAACTTTGACTTTCCCTGTATATTATATACTGTCAAAAATAAATTGATGAAAAATACCTCTTAATGCGCTTTGGCATTCCTGATATGTGTCGTACCTATAATCTGACGCACATCCATATCCACAGGAGCAGACCAGGTTCCTTATTAAACACCCTTGTTTAGTTTGTCCTGTATCGCAAGCTCTACATATTTCTATACCTAAAATTGAATATACTTTTTACAGTATTAAATAATGTTACTCCATAATTAAATCTACGGCAATTAATCTAAAAGTGTACCAAAAGAAAAGTTTATGGTGAGATGAAATATTATGGTTGTTTAAACTGTTTGTAGTATATAGTATATATATATATATATATATAGCAAAAGTACTCTCTTATAACTTAAACTCTCAAGCTTTCGAAGATCTATGTCTTCATCGTCTGGAGCTGGAAACAATTATTGACAATAGCTACAATTAACAATTAGGAGAAAAATATTTACTTACTAAGTCGGCGAGATTGTTGCTGAAATTGTTTGTAAACAACAGTGAAGGGAACACATAGTCGACGAATAAAAAACTGGACTGGTGAGGTTCGATTGGGACGGAATTATTTTATTATTAAATGGCAAAACATTTTGAAAGGTTGTTTTAATTAAACGTTGATTGGTTTTGGAAGAAATTTGGAGATTTTAAAACTATCAACTATTATATCTCCAAATTTCTTCCAAAATCAATCAACGTTTAATTAAAAAACCTTTCAAAATGATTTGCCATTTAATAATAAAATAATTCCGTCCTAATCGAACCTCATCAGTCCAGTTTTTATTCGTCGACTATGTGTTCCCTTCACTGTTGTTTAAAAAGAATTTCAGCAACAATCTCGCCGACTTACTCTAGACGATGAAGACATAGATCCTCGAAAGCTTGAGAGTTTAAGTTATAAGAGTTTACTTTTGCAATACTTCGCCTTCTACCCAAAGAAATTAAAGGATATCTTCACCTAACAGTTAAGGCAATTAACTATGAATACTATACATATATTTACAGTATGACTGCGAAAGGTTGGGAAATCTCGAAACTGGAGATACTACAGACTAAAATATGTGAATTGACCTAAGCGTACCTTACTCCAAAAGTTGCAAAAATGCAATCTTAAAATTCATACTTCAGGGGCTGTGACATTGGGTTTACGAAAATTTTATAGAATCAAAATGGTGGATTATAACTAGAAATTTCAGTCTTCCTCATGGGCTACAGCTTGAACGGCTTTGTTTTTTTTGTTCTATAATATCCGGGAGGTGAAATTAAGTGTCAACGAGCGTGCCAACTATTCCTGAATGCATTATTTACTGGGAACCGGCACGTATACCGAAACTAGTTACCTTATACCAGGTTTGGAGAGATTTGCAAAAAAATGCAAGCAAAATACAAGAAGTGAAGAAGATTCGTTTAAAAATAGCGTTACTGAGTTCCCAGCTCAAATTTTCTAATAAGGATAAGGCAGCTCTGTTAGATATCTGCCTGTTCAACGTGTCAACGTGCGTGAAACTGTGGTTGCAATGCACTTTAGCGGTAAAAGCATCTAACCAGGATTTATACTTTTTAAAGGCAATGAAGGCTTACAGCTTTACAAAAGCTCTGTCAACATTTATGGTATTTGATAGATAAGGTTTCTGTCTTATCTCTGTTTGCTGACGACGTAAATGGAGAAACCAAGGTAAAAATTGTTGCTAATTTAGCCAAAGAAAGTCCATCAGCTCACGGTAAACGCTACATCCCATCGAAAGAAGAACTTTCTGGGGCACTTTATGGTGAGAGCGACGAATAATTTTTTTTTGTCAGCCAGCATAAACTGCGATTTTGGCAATAGATGGCACCTTATATTGTCTTGTTTCGATGGATCTTATGGGTGAGATAGATGTTAGTTGCTAAGCTTTCGTTCGTTGTTCTGGCCTGAGGCCAAGCCTAGACGATACTGATGAGTTGACAAAAAGTACAAAACATCTGTCTATGGTTGACTGTCTGTGGTCGAACGGACAATACCAATATGTTTAGGTGGTAGCTATTCTCCGTTTTCCCATTTCAGAGATAAATATCGATGACTTCGTTTCAAGCAAAAGCAAGTCCTTGTTCAGTCAACTCAAAATTGATGACAATTTTCTCGACGAGTATCCAACTTCCACATAATGATTCTTTCCAACATGCTAAGAATAAGGTGCGACCACAGAGAAGTTAACTATATGACAGAAAGAGCAGTCAAGTTAATGGCAAGACTTCCATGGCTTAATCACTGCTGATGAGGAACAAAAACAATTTTTATTACGATAATTACAAGAGCACAGACAGGTATATCCCGTCTCTAAAAAGGAAAATTCAATAAAGCAGTGTTTTATTTGTCGAAAAAGAATTAGGTTTTTAAATCCATACAATGTTTCCCTATTAACTTTCATATTCAAAGTTTGACCGAAAGTTGTCGTACCCCGATCGCAATAATATTTATTTTTTAATTAGAGGCAAATGGAAAAAAAATTAGAGGATATGCGTATCTTTTAATGCTAAATATCTAAGAAATATAAGTTACAAATAAAGCAGTGTTTTATTTGTCGAATAAGAATTGGGTTTTGAAATCCATACATGGTTTCCCTATAAACTTATTGAGTTGTTAGAATCAAATGGAAGAAAAATTAGAGCATGCGCGTATCTCAATTCGCACAAACATTTGTTTGCTCTCATAGGCTGGGACCTCTAGTACCTATTTATGACTATTGAATTATTTTTAACTCTATACAAAAAAAAGGAAATGTTTTGCCATTTTAATCTCGGTATATTCATGCACATTCCTTAAACAATTCTAATTTTTTTCTGTTAACTCGTACTTCTCCGATCTCCAAAGTACTTTAGAGCAGACGATTTTTATAACACCTAGTTATTCAATTTAAGTTTCAATGGTCTTAGGCATACCTTTTCGCTTCGGAAATATACTATCAAAAATAAGTAACTACACTAATGCAAAGTAAGTTGGAAACGTATTTTGAATAGTCTCCGACATGTCTATGTTATATCTGATATTTGGCTTAAAATAAAAATGACACAAGAGCATGCAAAAATATTACATACTAAAGATACTCACTCAAAATCAACACTATGGATAATTTAACTAACATTTTAATCCCGCGTGCAGTGTCAAACTTGAACTGATAAAAATAATGCACTGATAGCGACGATACTATGAAAAAGACAGCATCCGAGGATAAGTCGGCGTCGGCGGAGGAACTACATCCAAACGATACGCTCTCTGTCCGGTCTCGGTCTGACCAAGGAATAGATAAAAGATGAAGCGCGTCCTTTATTTTTGATAAGCGAAGTCGTTGGCCTTTCTATGGATCCCACTCGAAATCGGAACGCATGTAATTTGTCAATTGCATTTGCTTGGTTATTCTAATAGAACGAGGAGCAGATGAAAATTCCTTGATTTTAGATACTCTTAATCACCCTGCCTACTATCGCATTTTGATTAACATTTAACGGCAAAGCTCGTTAGCGTTGTAGTACTGGCTGCTATGGCTCAGCTGTGATAAATTTATAATGGACACGTTTACCATTTTTTTGTTATTAGCTCAAGTTTAGGAAAAATGTAGCAATATGGTGAAAACATTATTATTTTATCTCTAAAAACAAAAAAGTTACAGCCTATCAAAGTTGCGCCCCGCGAGAATTTTTTTATTCCGTCTGTACGCTACGCGTGACGTCACACTTCAGTATCCGGTTGCAACGTCCGCGGCCGATTTCTGAAAGGATAGGAAAGGCAAACAACTTGTACTATTTGATGAGTAAAGGGTTTTATCAATAAAAAAGAGGTATCCAAGAAAATAAAAATGACAGTGTATTACAATATATAGACCTAAATTGACATATGGATGCGAATCTTGGGTTCTATCGCAACAACAAAAAAGTAAACTTAAGGCAGTTGAAACGAAATACTTGAGACGAGTTAAAGGGGTAACCAAAATGGACAAAATAAGAAACGAGACTATAAGAACTGAATTAGAGATAGAATCTATACTAGAACACATAGAAATGAAGCAGCTGAGATGGTGGGGACATTTGCAAAGAATGGGTGACAACATACCGGTGAAACAAGTTTGGGAAAGTAAGGTGCTAGGAAAAAGAAGAAGGGGCAGGCCACAAAGAACATGGCAGAATACCATAGAACAGATATTGATGAGAATAGGAACGGATTGGAGAGAAGCTAAGAAACTTGCTGTAAACAAAAAAGAATGGATAAAATTCATGTACAAATAATAGTAGGTTTCGTAATATGTTGTTTAACCTTACACCCTTTAGGGTAAATGGGATTTCGATATTATATATATATATAAAAGTTGGGGTTTTCCTTTACACGACGTGTAGATCTTGAAAACATAAGCAATTTTTCTTAGTACCATATACACCAATGTCTTAAGGGAACCGAGATAAAGGACTCTGCAACATCAAAAATATCTGAATACCGTCCTGTAGCCGCGACCCGCGACATCACCGATTGGTACAAGGTCACTAGCTCAACCCGACGACAGAACTGGGTCGGGGTCAGTGTGTCAGGTCAGTATGCAACCTTCAACCGACGGTTACGGTCACGCGTATAGAGGTAATCGACGAGAATCCCTCAACAAGCACTAGAGACGTGGCTAGAGAAGTGCAAGTATCAAAAACTAAAGTGTGGCAAACGCTGCGTGAAGAAGGGCTGTATCCGTTTCACGTCCAACGTGTACAAGCCCTTCAACCTGACGATTTTCCAGCAAGAGTGCGGTTTTGTGAGTGGTTGTTGCATCAACATGACAATAATCCGGACTTTTTGAAGTGCATATTGGTGACAGACGAATCTACGTTCACGCGTAATGGGGTGAATAACTTTCGCAACACTCATGTTTGATCAGTAGAAAATCCGCACGCTGTCCGTCAGGCACATTTTCGGTGAATGTTTGGGCTGGCATGGTGAACGGTATGCTCATTGGGCCATTTATTCTCCCAAATCGATTGGACGGGATGCAATACCTAGACTTTTTACGCAACATTTTGCCTTCCTTGTTTGACTGCGTCTGCTCGGTAGCGCATCAGCTGATTTCATTTTCTGTTGGAGCGGTATGATTTCGGGCAGAGACGTACTTAGCCCTTCTCGTCAACTGGAGAGTGAGTACTTTTTCCTTTATTTTTTTTACTTGGTCGCCCTCGTTTTACTACACATTACCTTTATTATTTCAAGGGTAGTTGTTTCTGAAAAGGAAAATCCCAACTTTGCGGACACCTGTATATATAACCCTTTTACAAATCCGGCTTCGATAATGGTATGAACTTACGCAGTACTCAATAGTTATCAACTGGATACCACGAGCCCGAGCGCGTGTCTTATGAATTGTCTATAGACTACAGACGCTGTCGAACACCTACGCGACGAGGCGCTGGGCACTACAGAAGTGTGACGTCAGACGCGAACGAACAGCAGCAATGATTTCGCGCTATAATGCGCCAAATTTAAGTAACAATTTCTTGGCCGATTTCAATAATTTTTTCGCTGGATGATTATATGTAGTCTATATTTTGCTGGTATGTCAATACTTATGCGATTCTGAATATCACGAAATTTCTCCATTCTTGCATGCTTTTACTCCTATAGAAAAGCACCTTCATTCGTTATGATCAACTTTATTCTATCTATCATCCTTGTTGCTAGCTATTGCGAGGTGTTCGCTCTGCTGACCGCGGCATTTCCGGCGATCTATATTATTTGCAATACCTAACAGTTTACAATAACAATAATTATACAGTGTGTTCGTACCATACTACACAGCCATCATAACGATAATGCTGCATATGAGATTCATGCACTTTTCACTTTACCATCAGGAGGATTACAAAGTCGGCCAAGACTGGCTGGCGGTGTGGTGCGCATCACGACAAGTTACATTGCATTAAGCAAGATTCCGATCGTTCAAACATGAGTAGTAGTAGTCTTAGATGTCATTTCGTCCAAATGTTTGCCATCCCTTCGGACACACTCTTCTAATCGCGCGCGCAAGTTGCGGAGTGTTGTTGTTTATTTCTCGTCGAATGTTGTCTTTAAGCTCCTTCAGTGTTCGTGGATTATTGGAAGGCACTTTTGACTTTAAATAATCGCACAAAAAATAATCGCATGGTGTGAGGTCGGGTGACCTAGGAGGCCAGTGAATGTCTCCAAACTTCGATATAACTTTTTTAGGAAAAGGTGCTTGCACCGTTTCCATCGGTTCTCTGGAAGTATGGGCAGTGGCCCCATTCTGTTGAATCCATGTGTTTCTGTTAAGTCGACGTTCTGTTCTTACAATAGGAGGAAAAGAGGGTCAATCATGCCCTTGTATCGCTCGGAATTGACTGTCAATGCATGACCGTTTTCATCTTCAAAGAAATACGGCCCAATAATTCCGCTAGAGGATATGGCGCACCAATCAGTCACCTTTGCAGCTGTTGTTAATGTTTCTCTTTCGGGTTCGTTAGTGTCCAATATCTGCAATTTTGCTTGTTCACATAACAGTCTAAGTAAAAATGGGCCTCGTCATTGAAAACGACGTTCTCGAGTTTGCGCTGCGTAGGAGCGTAGGAGAGGATTTGCAATGACCGAATCACTTATTCAACGCACATTTTCTTCGGTTGTGTGGGACGAGGACTATGTTGATTAAGAGTAGAGCCTGTTTTACAGAACCTCTTAATCCACTTTTTCAAAAGTTCGTACTTGGGACAGCGAATGTTGTATCGTAAACAACATTTTCAAAGGGCAGCTGCGTATGAATCACCACTCTTAAAGCAAGCCTCGATAGCAAAAGCACGTTGCGCTCCGGTCCAACGTTCCGTTGTGACTATTTAACCCGCACGCCTAACGCGTTCCACTTTCTCGCGAATACGGTTGCCGCGTGATTCAAATTTGAAATGTGAACTTTTCTACTGGTATAAGGTAACTGGTTTTTTAACACTGTTAGGTAAAGATTTAGTCGGTATACGTGCCTTTACCCAGTAAATAATGCACTCACGAATAGTAAGGTTGGCGCTCTCATTGACACTTGATTTCACTTTCCGGATTTTATACAGCGTGTAAACGTTATTCTAGTCATTATTGAAATGGGTAATAGGAAGGGTCAAAACAAGTCAAAAAGTTCATATGACCCATAGTCCAAAAGTCAATAGATTTTTATCTAAACGACTTTATATCGACCACAATCACCACAATCTTACTAATTTTTATAATCTAATCTAATACGTTTTTAAATTGGGAAATTTCAAAATAAATGGCATTCAGTTTTTCTAAGTTAAGCCAAAATTTGTAGTCAGTAAGTTTCATTAAATTAAATATTTAAAACACACATGACAACAACGCGTCGGTCTTTCATCACTCTTATCGAACCGGCAATCGATCGCAAACGGTAACAGCGGTTAGTTATAGTTTTGCATAGATAAATTTCTTTATCGTTTTGTCGAGCAGAGTATCGGGTGTGTTGTTTTGTTTTTGTTCGCGTACGTCGTCGTGTTTATTTACAATGTTCTCGAATCAAGAGTTCGCCGATATGTTGTTAGTTTACGGTGAAGCTTGCTTTATTCCTACCATGTACAACGAGTGCAGGCCTCGCGGACTAACATTCTGTCAGTGGTTTTTGCACAAAAACATTGAAAATCCGGATACTTGCGCGAGACGGGATATTAAATGTCCATAATACACACACGTGGGTCGTCATACCATTCGTGAAGGTCATTTCCAACAACGTTTTAAAATAAATATTTGGGCGGGTATTCTTGACGATCAGGTAATTCGCCCTTTCGAGTTACTCCCAAAGTTATCAGGAGAAGGATACCTTAGCTTCCTAGCCAATAACCTACCAGAACTTTTGGAACAGACCTTAGACAACATGCCATTACAACGGAGACAGAATTTGTTGTTTCTTCATGACGGGGCACCACCACACATTTTTGGAGGCGTCTTTCAGTATTTGAATGAACATTATCCAAATCACTGGATCGGTCGAAATGCTCCTGATCCTCGAAAATGGCCAGCAAGATCTCCTGACCTCAATCCGATGGATTTCTGGTATTGGGGAGAACTTAAACGGATGGTTTATGGGTCTGGTTCAATAACAACTGAAGCACAACTTCGCGAACAAAATTTTAATTCGGCTGAAATAATAAATGGACAACTTCGAGGACCTAGAGTAACAAGAAACTGGGTTCGTCGCACTGAAGCTTGTGTGGAAAGTGGAGGACGACATTTTGAACACCTTCTTTAAATACAAAAAAGTGCAGTGTCGGTTTTAAAAAGAAAAACAATGTATGTATCAAAATTGTGTTCCCTATTTATTAGTGGATTTTCTTTATACGTTCAATAAACTTTCACACACCAGGTGAGGCGCTGAGACAGTTGGTGGTAAGTCCGTTTTTTTAATTGTTTGCATTTTACGAGTACATTATCAAATAATGAAATAACCTAAGAGCCAAAAATAACAAACTCCATCTTTATTTACACTGCGTTCCGTCTTAATTTGCGTCTGGCATTGCGGCGTTGACAGATTTTATTTTACTTTAAAGTCGCTTTTCTCTAAAAAAATGCCGTTTTGACCCCCATGTAATGTGAAACTTTTTGCTTCTTTTAACTCCCGCTATCACCCATTTAAATAATGACTATCATAACGTTAACACCCTGTAGAACAAAACTGCTAGTACTTGTCCAATAGAGGGAAGTTTTGAATCGGTAATTTGATGATTTACGTCCCCTATTAAAAATATTCCCTTTTAAGAACTGCGCAATTCCTTCGACATGTTGATTGAACGAAAACAGTGTTTTTACTAATAGAACAAACGAGCACTGCAATACGTTAGCTAGCGCCACCATTGTTTAGTCTGATGGCAGGAGAGATGGGATGCAACTGGCTATGTTGCATGGATCGGAAGGCTGATTCCAGACATTAAAACTTCGATTGACAAGGAAGCAGTACAGATAGATTACTATAGTGCACAGTTCCTCACAGGGCATTGTTGTTTTGACAGCTACCTGAAAAGGGTAGGAAAGAGAGAGTACGCGAATTCCGTTTATTGCAATATACTCCAATGTGGGTTTCACCTGTCAAAAAAACCCTATGTTGATACAGTGGCGTCTGCAGAAGTTGGTAATACCTTTCCGCTTGGAAACTTTGGATAGCTTGATGATTTTAACAAAAACATAAATATGTTGCCTTTCTCATACAAAAATTTAATCTAAGAATGATAAGATATATGTACAGATAAAAACAGATGACTTCAGAGCCTAACATGAGGTCTATGGTCTCTTCCACTAGGAATAGCACCCACCCGTCGCAGTCTTCTAATAGCTTCCCTCAAATGTTTTGGTTGAATAGGGCCACTGTCACCTAACTCTTCCATAACATCTAAACCTAAAACAGAACATAAAACAGTGAATTAGAAAATACAAAACAATAAATGTACTGGCTTAATACTGTAAATCAACGTCGCACCAATATTTTTATCATTGCTTGGGACAATATGCAAATATGACAAACAACCAATATTGAAAAATAATATTGAGCCAATAAAAAAAGATGCATAGCTTTAATAATGTAAATAGACAGTGAAACAATATTGTCATAATTAATTGGGACAATATACAAATTGTCATGCAACCAATGTTGAATTGTAATATCATGCCAATAAATTAAGGCCATATTGATATTTCAGATCAGTATTGTACCAATGTCCACATTTTTTTCTTGCACCAATATTGGAAAATTAGTTTGGACCAATGTATCTGTAATACTGTTCCTATATTGGGACAATATACATTTGCTACTTAGGACGGGCTCATTAAAAACAATGCAAAACGGATACAAGTGTTGCCCCCATCGGCTACTATCTATCATCTGTCACCTTGGAGTATAACGCTGCGCCCTTGATTTTCATAGGTTTTCCTCTCCTTCAGAAGGGCTGAGGTGTTTCTAGATTTCTACTGTTCCGCGTCAGCGCTATCATATATTATGAGGTTATGTTTTCTTGAACTGTATGGAAATTTTAGGTTGATTAGATAAATGATATAAATCTAAAACATGAACAATTTGATGTAAATCGATATTTATAACATAACCTCAAAATAGAGCGTTGAGACGGAACAGTACAAATCTGGAAATACCCCTTCCTTCTTGAAGGACAGGACGAACTATGGAAATCAAAGAGATCATAAAGGCGTCCTACATTTGATACGGCCCTTAGTAACTTAAAAAGTGACATTAAACCGATTTTTTTTTGAGTATATTGGTTTTTCTATGAAATGTCACCTTTGAACTAGCTGACACTCACCCTGTAGTAGTCTCAGAATGAACTAGGAACACACTAGCGACTACATAGTGCACAAGTTGACGTTTTACCGTTTATATCAGATTTTCGCGTAATATGCCTGCTGCCTTTAAACACAAAACGTATACTAAAAAATGTTCAACCTACCTTCTTCTACAATTTCTCCTACAAATACCTTTGCAATGCCAGCCATTGCTATTACTACATTCTGAGATACAGAGCAGCCAGTTATCGTCTGCATAAGTCTTTTAATAGCAGCTTTAGGAAATGCGGATCTTCTGTACATTTCATACCTGTCCAGCTGATCCTCTGTAAAGTTGGATACCAGTACTCTAAAAGAAACATCAGAAATTTATGAAAACGCCCAACAAATCGTTAAAAAACAATCATTTATTATATACAAAGATAGTGAAAAATGCTATGTATGTATACAGAAGTCGTTGTCAAGCCGAAACCGGGTGATAGGCAAAGTCATAACAGCTATCAAAAAAATATTTCAAAAAATTTTATGTATGTGTTTTGAAAATTAAAGGTCTTTGAAAAAGATATAGAAATTTCACACCCTACGGCAGTCTGTCAACTCCTGTTACTACAAATATTAACTTTTTTTGGATTTTATTTTTACAATGTAATGATGAATAATGCATCTTCAAGCTGGTGTCTCAACCTTACTGCCAACTTTTCTCGTTCAGGAAAAATTGCCACTTATTTCCCAACCAAGTATTCCAAAGTAAAACTTTGCTCAACTTTAACTGGCTGTACTGGAAAAAATGTATTACGAGAGTTTGGCAAGTAACCTTAAAAGTTGGCGCATTTAATAACGATTCCAAAATGGTATAACACTTAGAAGATTACTCGTTAACTTATGCACAATTTTTATTTGAAAAAAAACTGATGAAAATTCTTCAAAATTTCCTAATTAAACAGCGATTATGAAAACGCACAAGGACCCTTAAGGATAACTGTTTGCACAACAGTGGGCGTCAAAATGCTGCTGATGATGATTTATCTTTGCAAGCAAATGCTCAAACTGTTTTCCTTCAGCCGCAATACACGCTCGACATCTTCTTAAAAAAGATCGGGTTATTAAACGAGCGAATCCACGGTTATTAACAAACTCAGCTGCTTCCAATAGTCTTTGCCGTAGCTCAGCTACATTTTGAATAGGCTTGAAATACACTTTTTCTTTTACAGTTCCCCAGTAAAAAAAAATCTAACGGATTCAGATCTGGTGACCGGGCTGGCCACGCTATTGTACCAGACCGCCCTATCCATCTGCCTGGAAAGTTTTGATCTCACTGAGAGTACATAGTGCGCTGGGCAGCCATCATGCTGAAACCACATGTCCCTGTAAATACTCAGTGGCACGTCCTCCAATAAATTTTCTAAATGATTTTGCAAAAAACCTAAATAAACCTCAGCAGTCAGTCTCTGGGAACTCAAACGGACCGATTATTTTACCATTTAAAATTCCTGTCCAATGGTTTATCTTGAAGTGATATTGAGATTTATCTTCTCTCATCAAATGTGGGTTTGCTACGTTCCACTCGTGTAAGTAATGCAGGTTCATGTACCCATCTTTCTTAAATGTGGTCTCATCTGACCATAAAATTTTTTCAAAGAACCGGGGATCTTCCCTGTGTCTTTCTAACAATGTGCGACAAAAAGCAACTCGGGGCTCAGAATCCCGGGGCAGAAGAGCTTGAACACGCTGTACGTGATATGGATGTCTCAATCTTATCATTCGTATATTCGTGCAACTACGGGGATTGTCTCAAAAATAAGGTTCCCACATTTTTTTAGGCATAAGGAATTTTGTATTTGAAAAAACGAATTTACCATTCGAAACGTTGATCTTTAAGCTATTTCGCTAAGTGGCCATTTTTTCCTACGCATTTTTTTAGACGTGGAATCCACTTTTTCATTCCCGCCTAAAGATTTGATCAATCTTCGCCATAACTTCCTCGGAGATTGACGGCCTCCCGCTTCGTTGTGCATCGTGGACGTCCATGCGGCCATCAAAGAACTCTCTTCACGATTTGATACGTTTCCCATTAACTTCTCTCAACTGACGATGAATTTCTATGGGTGGTAACGTTTTTGCGTGTAAAAATCGGAAGACAGCACGAATTTCGCGCCTGGTGGTGACGGCGACGTCTGTCGAGCCGGTACTGAGCCACAGCCTTCTTAAACTAACTAAAGTTTAAGAAGGCTGTGACTGAGCATCCCAAATAAGCGCTTCTGGTTGGTGGGTTGATCGGCGGTGGGGGAACCGACAAACAAAACGGTGATGCCAGATTTCGCCTAGCATCACGCGCTCTCCCTGCAGACATACGTCAGAAAATTTCTGACAAAAGGGCTGCAATTAAGCAAGCGAAAAGGTCTTGTCATCCTGATGACATTCGCAGAACGACGAATCTTGTTCATGAAGTAAGAAATGCTCTCCATGAATTCCGCAACGAGCAATGGAACGATTTTCTGGCGGGGATGCTTGACTCCAGTACTCCTCTCTGGAAAGTGGCGAAGTCGCTCAGAAACGAAAAGCGAGAACAACTCCCGCACATCCACGGTCCTGGGGCATAGTCTTCAGGACAGAGGACAAGGTCGACGTTTTCGTTGATGCTATGGAACGACAGCTCTCTCCCAACTATGATCTTGATAATGATCTCGACGAGGAGCAACCAATTGTAAGATCCGTCAGGAGATATTTTAGGGCCAACGGCGTCAGTGATCCCGGCGCCGCCATTAGTGATTCATCCTCAGATGATTCTTCAGCTGAAGAGTTGCACAGCACATCAGCGGCTTCTCCCGAGATCCCGCATTGCACACCAGCAGAGCTTCAAGGTCATATTAAAGACCTCAAGGTGTGTAAAGCGCTTGGGGAGGATCAAATCACTAATAAGGCGCTGAAGCTGCTTTCACGGAAGTCCTTGACTTATCTCGTGGTTATTATCAATGCCATGCTAAAGACCCAGTACTTTCCATCGGCGTGGAAGACTGCGGAGGTTATAATGATTCCAAAGAAGGTGGGTTCCCCAGGACTATCGTCCCATCAGCATACTGTCTGCTCCATCTAAGCTCGCTGAAAAGGTGATTCTACGTCACCTTGCGAATTTCTCGTCAGATCACCATGTGATTCCTGACGTGCAATTTGGATTTCGGTCTGAGCATAGTACGGAGTTACAGGCGGTTAGGCTTGTGGAGCGAGTAACCAGGGCCTTCACCCTTAACGAAAGTACTGGCATCTTGCTTCTGGATGTCGCGAAGGCATTTGACAAGGTGTGGCACAAGGACCTTCTCTATAAACTAACTCAAAAGGGCTTTCCATTTTGGCTTTTTTTTATACTCCAACTACCACGAAAGCCTAAGGCCTAAGCACCCATGGGGTACCGTGGGGCTATAGGGGGATACATGGGAAAAGGGGAACGCCACACGGACTCTGGCGAGGGAACACGTGCAGGGCGTCCATGTGAAGTTTGCGAAAAGTGTTTTTTATATTTCAACCATTTGGATAACCAAAATGCGTTGCTGTGTTGTAAACGATTCCATGACTATAAATGGCATACCTTTGACAATTCATTTATGCATAACCCATGACTTTTGGCTCACATGGTAACACATAAACTTATAGGTAAAAAAAGTAATAGATGGCGCACCCTGTATTATTTTTCCTCATTTGTTTCATTATTTGACTAAGTATTTTGTTCACTAGAAACGACACTGTATTTTCAAAATTACGAATATTACAAAATAAAGCTATGAGAAGCATCTTAAATAAAAATATATATAGAGGAATAAATTTTATGGTGACTGAGCTACAATGCTTAAATATCAAAAATTTTATAACCTGAAATTGCAGTAGCAATATAACAAATATAAAACTACAGTGCTCTCAATAATCTGCCATTATAAAACCCAGGCTAGCGGCGGATTTCCAAAAACGGCGGATTACTGAGAATAATGAATTACACGATGTACATATGTACAGGGTGGTCCATAAGTCCTTTGAAATTACAAATTTGAATAAAATTTAACGGGTGAGCGTGAGCGGTACGGGCGAGGTGGGGGCAGTATCTTCAGTGGCTGGGAATTCATTCGCCATGGAGTGTTTCACTGGAGCGGATCGTGATTTTTGTGTGCGCGCGTTTTATCAAAATAATGATTCGGCAACCATTGCGCGGCGTAAATATCGAGAATACCACAATTTACACAATTTTACAAAGTGTCCAACAGCTCAAACGATTAAGAACTGGGTTGCTAAGTTCGAAGAGACTGGTTCGACGTTAGATAAACAGCGGTGGGGTCGACCAAGGACAACTCGTATTGAAGAAAACATCAACATTGTGGCACAGTCTGTTCATCAAAATCCTGCCCAGCCTACTGGTAAGCGTTCCAGTGCACTAAACGTACCCAGAACATCTTTACAGAGGATTTTAAGGAAAGATTTACGTCTGCACGCTTACAAAATTCAGTTAGTGCAGGAATTAAAAGATAATGACGCTATTCAGAGACTAAACTTTGCGAATGAAATGTTGAATCAATTTTCTTCGCTCAATAATGTGTTGTTCTCGGACGAGGCTCACTTCCATTTAAACGGGCATGTAAATAAACAAAACTGCCGTTATTGGAGCCCCGAAAATCCAAGGCGTAAGCATCAGAAGCCCTTACACAGCCCTAAAGTTACAGTTTGGGCTGCTATGTCAGCGCATGGCATCGTAGGCCCTTATTTTTTTGAGGACGACAGAGGTCGCGCATTAACTGTTACTTCGGAGCGGTATGTAGCAATGATAGAAGAGTTTTTGACACCAGCGTTGCAGAATTTTCCAGGCTATAATTCGCAGACCTGGTTTCAACAGGATGGAGCAACTGCCCACACCTCCAACACTTCTATGCCCGTCGTCTGTCAACTTTTTCCCAGCAAAGTAATTTCTCGAAGAGGAGACATTTCCTGGCCACCACGTAGTCCAGATTTGACCCCAATGGACTTCTTTTTATGGGGCTACCTCAAGAGTAAAGTGTACGACACCACTCCGCGATCAGTTGATGTCCTGAAAGAAAATATCCGAAGAGAAATGGCAAGCATTACAGTGTTGACTTGCCGCGCAGTCATCGACAATTTTAGACGTCGTTTATATGAGTGCCGTGATCGTAACGGATTGCATTTAGATGATGTGATTTTTAAAACATAATTCCCATTCAATAAAGATGATAACAAAATATAATAATTCTTCATAATGTAACTAGTTTGGTTTTATTCCTTTTTTTCCAGCTCAAAGGACTTATGGGCCACCCTGTATATATTTACATATTGTCTTCCATAAATAACAGACTTAATATTTCATACTCTGTACCGATTTATTGGGTTTTTGTTGGACATAGATACGTATCATGTGTACACAATTTATGTATTTTGAAGGTACTTTTCCAAAGTAGTTTGTCTTTTCCCATGGTAGATTTTAGCAATTACATCTTCTCGGAGTCGTCTCAATGAAGTTAATGTAGCCAGTGTAGAATTATTTTTTTGGGCCCATTTAATAGTCATATTAATACTTTCCAAGGCTTCCTCAGACCTGACAGTACAAACAAACATGTATGCATGCTGTTGTTTCATATGGCGGACTGCGTCTCAAAGCAGAGACGGCGGATTACCAAGTTAAATGTTTAAGAATGGGCGGATTGTTGAGTTGGTGTCAATGCTAGAAAAACGGCGGATTATCGAGAGAGCACTGTATTTCAAAAAGGATTGTATGAATTGAATATATCAAGGAATGTTATCAAGATGTCGGCCAGTTTGAGAATGTTCAAGGGGAAATTAAAAAAATTCTCATGGTGAAAACCAGAATTCATAGTAATGAAATTTTGTATGAGACATAAAATATTATGTGATGTAAGGTGTTGATATTGTACCATTAATGCTAAATAAATCTACAATACTAAAATTTTGGCACATATGCAGGCAATGGCATGTTAAACAATTGGAGGTTTGCTGGACGTCAGACCAGATAAGCCTAATCTAGGCCACATAAGCCACAGATCATCGCATGCAACAATGTTACAAGATTGATGGTTTGCCTGATCTAACAAACCAGCATTGATTATGAGTACAGCACTTAAATAGTAAAAGGACATACTGCATTTTTTCTCTTTCTTCTTCCTCTAATTCCTTTTTAGATTTTGATTCCTTCTTTTGCTTTGGAGGCTGTGAGCTTGCATTCTGTGCAGTTTGTGGTAAAATAATATCTGTACCTAGGTCAAGCATATCTTCATGTTTTTGTGGCAGAGGTTCCTGCTTTATCATATCTTCAGAATACTCATGTTTCACGATATTTCCTTCTATTTCAGTACTCAATTCCTTCGAGGAAGGGCTTTGATATTCTGTTATAGACCCTTCATGTAGTTCTTCACAATCCATATCCACATCATCTTCGGTTTTTATCTCTGAGATCAAGTGTGGATTATCTGTATCTTTATTTAAAATATTTTCCATGTTGTAAGTTTTCTTAAAAAAATATGTTGTACTATCAAAGAGCTTATTTCCCTTTATTGTACACAAAAACAAACGCAGGTGCATAAGGAATATCAAAACATCGGAACGCAGGGTTGCCAGATCCAACGACGATCACGTCGCCAGGCGGAATGCCGCCAAAATCAACTATTACTTATTTTTTGTCGCCAATGAGATGTTGCACAAAAGAAATTTGAGAGTCGAAATTATTTGCGGAGATCCAGGTGCAAACATTTCACAAATGTAATACACGAGTCCTTTGAACCTCCTACAAATGTCTTAAATGTAAACATAGCAGTATTTTCGACTATGGTATTTTTCACGAGTATCCATTACGGTTTGACGTCTGCTGAGGTGTACAGCTGATCACAAAAGCTACATCTTCGTATTAGTCTGTAACGCGTTGGCAATAATGAATTTCAGAACCATACTCAGAGCTGTTGTTCACAAATCTGGATCACCTATACTTTTGAGTAACTGGGAATTTTGTGACAATAAAATGTACGAAGTACAGATATAAAAATGTTCATTGGAAAATTATTTTAGTACATCTGAGATTTATTGAGTACGAGGTAAGTTAATAGAACAGGCCGCGTCGTCCTTTCCAGAAGCTGTAATTTTACCTGTAAAAATAATGTGAACAAGTAATTCTGGTTTATTGTCTGTCATCAATGTAGCCAGGTTAAGTATGTGCAGAACTTATAAAAATTATTAGTGAATACCGCTCACTCAAACAGCAAAATAAAAATTTCATATTCCTTTGATATGTGATGTTGGCATAGCATCAATTTGCTGACATGTACCTGTAACATCCAAATAAATGTCTTACTCTCTTTGTAAAAACCATAAACTATATTTCTTATTTCCCTCCCACAAGTGCTATCAGCTTCGTGACGTTTGCGCTTGGATTTTTTTAGTGTTCTCAACAGTTGGGCTATGCTTGCATTGTCCTAGTTGAGTACATTTCATAACTGCCTACAATAGTTGTATATTTAACTTTCATTTTTCTAATTTCTAACTTGTTAGAATTACCTGAGTAATGTTCAGACCTAATTCAAGGACTCAAACCTCTATCAATTAATCATATACTGCCGCACATTCTGAATTAATTGTAAGGCTGTTCCATTGTCCTTTAAAATCAAATTTCCAAAAAGTGAAGATGATAATCATAGTCAAAACTTGTTTTATGTTATTTTATTCCTACCTGACTTGAACAAGCACAAATTTGTAGCGTACAAACACCTGGCGATGACCGATCCCTCAGAATTATTGATGTGTCACTTGTCAATGTTTGTAGTTTCGGAATATCACTACATAATCCGCTGTTATTCTACCATGTTGGATACTCGTGAAAAATACCGTACCAGAAACGTCTTAATTGTCATTGTATGCTGGCTTGGGAGATGACGCAGCATAATCACTAGTTGCACGTCATATTAGAACCTCCATGGAATCTCCTGTGTAGAGAAAAATAATCCTGGAAATCGCTAGTCACCAAATCGAAAAAACAATCACTAAAGCATATCAAAAATCGCCAATTTGGCGGCAAACCGTCAAGCCTGGCAACCCTGCATGACACTCCATTTTGGCAGTCACTGACGTCGCACATGTCATGAACATAAACATAACCTTATAAAGTTCATGATGTCTCGATTGATTGTAAAAAATTTACCAAAAACTGTAAGTTTTATTCTCATTTCCTACTCTGTCATAATCTAGTTTGTTTAGGTTACTGAAGACAGTCTTCGGAAACTGTTCGGCGAAAAGGGGACAGTTACTGATGTACAGCTCAAGTTTACACCAGATGGAAAATTCAGAAAGTTCGCATTTGTGGGCTATCAAACTGATGCTGAAGCAGATGAGGCGATCAAAACTTTGAATAAGTCATTTATCAACACAAGTAGAATAACGGTTGAAGCATGTAGTACATTAGGTAAGAGTTATTGTTATTTGTATAGTTATGCTGGTCTCATGGCATCAAATGGGACCTGTTCCATGTTTTTGTCTTGAAGGACATGATTTACTATTTATATATATTTTCCAATAAACAAAACACAAATTTAAACAAAAAACTAATAATAAAGAAATAAAATCGTGAACATTGAAAAACCACAACTGTTCAAAATTAGATTATTTAACACATTCAATGCACGTTTTTTTGCTGCATTCTAGGCAATTTTTTTCTTCAAAGGGAAAGTATAGCAAGTCTTTTTTTGGCCATATGTTCAATTTTGTTTTCTGGCAAGATTCATTCAAACCTAATACTTGATCTGATCTGACACTGATTGGGAACAACTTGGTTCAGGATCCATTGGATATAAATAATCTCACAAATACTAATGTGACATCTGCTAGACATTTTGCAACCAGTAAAGAACAAATACAACAGACTCCAACTATTTTCATTTGTGTATTGATCAAGCTTTGGTGTACTAAAAAGTAGGTGCATAGTTGACCTTGAAACACAAGGCAGATCATAGTTATGGGGAGATAGACAAGTGTGTATGTCTCCCCATTAGTACTTAAGGGTTGTATTGATAGTGTTTCCAACAAATGTCAAATCCTTTAACAGATCAAGACTTACCTGGTGGCTTGCCATTATGTTGTATATTGAGTGTGTGATGCCTAACATTTTAGTAGGAATTTACATTTTTACTAAGATCAGGAAAATCAAAAAATTATTAATTGATCCATTCATGAAATAACAGTAATAATAATAATAATAATAGTGTGGGTTGGACAAAATAATGTTTCTTAGTTTTTTAAAAAACGGCTTGGCGATGAAAAGTTGCCAAATGGTGAAGTTAGTTTATATTTGAATCTTTATTATATTATTTAGAGTCTTATTTCCTCCAGATTGTGCTAGAACTTTTTATTTTGTATGGAAATTATTATTATTTTTTATTGTTACCTTGGTGAGGTTCAAGGAGAAAGTTCTTAGGAGGGGACAGGTCGGGTGGGTGTCAGGTAAAACACATGATGCAGGATCTGTCAGCAATGCAATCAGTGCCTTGTGCTGTGTAATAGAGAGTGGAAAATGTGCCTTTCACCAACAGAAGAGTGCAAAATACTGAAAATAGTTGGAAGTTTTACTTATTTGGTGACTTAAGTGACTAGTAGTAGTAGAAAGATTTATTTAGCATGTTTGGCTACATAAACAGAATAATTGTAATCAAATTAGAATTAGTAAATTTAAGCCATATGATGTAAATGCTGGGCAAGCTATAATTGTAGATTTAACAAGCGATTCCTCAATTTTACTTTGAGTTTTGTCAAACTTTTTTTGGTCATTAAATAGAAGTCATCTTGATTTCTGGTATTATGTAAATGATGGTCGGCATTTGATGATGTTAAATTAGTTTAGACATGGTGGGAATATATTATTTTTTACTTTATAAATGGATATCATTACAAGATATTTGATATTTTTTTTACATTGAGCCGTTTTAATTTGCTAAGCAGTATTATTCTCATGCACTTGTTTTGTTAAAATTTACAGTTTTCCAAAAATGGAATTATTTGCTAAATATAGAATAGCTTAACAGTCCAAGAAATTTGGAAGAATGATAGTATAGATAGTTTTTATGCTATATGAACTCAGATATCAAGAACTTCTTGATAAATATCCCACTTTACTACTAATCTTATTTATTATTTTTTCATAATGAATATCGGAAATTAATCGAGAGTCAACAAAAACCCCAAGGTATTTAAAATTTTCTATGAATTCAATATCTTCACCATTAGTATTTGGTTGAACATTTATACATTGTTTTTTCCAATTAACATAGCTTTCATTTTACTTTTTTACATATTTAATTTAAGTCTGTTTCAAACAAGTTTCAAGTCTCTATTTATATGAGAAATACCAGTCTGAATATTTTTAGTACTTATATAAATTATAGTGTCATCGGCGAAAATCTGAATTTTGCATTTTTTGACTATGGCAGGTAAATCATTTATGTATAAAATAAAAAGAAGTGGTCCCAGGATACTGCCCTGTGGAACACCCAACGTATTTTCAATTTTTGATGAAATAGTGTCATTAACTTTTGTAACTTGCATCCTTTTAGACAAATAAATTCTAAACCAATCTAAACACTTCCTGATATACCATATGCCTTCAATTTACCTAACAAAATATCTCTATCAATCGTTTCGAATGCCCTCTTCAAATGCAAAAATGCTGTTATGACAACTTCTTCTGAGTCTATGGCTCTTCTCCAGTTCTCAGTAACCAACTGGAAAGCCGTTTCTGTGTAATATTTTTGCTTGCGCCTCCATTAAAATATTGTTTTCTTCTATAAGCTGCATTAACAGGTCATGCACTGTGGACTCCAATAATTTTTTAATGTCTGGTAACACGTTTACTGATCTCGTATCACTGCATTTTTTTAGAACCTGGCAGACAATATTGATTCTGATTGCAATCGAATTTGACAACCTGTTCACACTCATGATTTAGCACCTTTTTGTTACTGAGCTCGTAAAAAACTGAACCGGTTTTTCTCGATGGGTCACTTATGACCCACCCTGTGTGTATGGTCAATTTTAACCAACTGAATATTTATTTGTTGCACTATTTTGAACCTGAGTGTATTGAGCTGGCCATATACTTGAATGGTATCTCAGCAGCACCTTAGGAACAAGTGAGCATTCCACCAAATCCATGTTTCCAGGTGTGAAAAAAGATTACATTATTTATACTTACACACCAGTTTACATAATATTATATACAACGTATCTTTGTTAGGAGATGAAAATAAACCTAAAGCTTGGAGTAAATATGCTCCAGATAATGTTAGTACTAAAACAGTTGATGAAACTGATGGGAGAACAACAGACAAAGCAGCCAAAAAGAAAAAGAACAAAGAAAAAAAGGAAAAAGATGAAACAGTAGAATTATTGGAAAAGGTAATATGCTATTATTAGACATTTGAATGTTGATCGAACAATCTAATTTTGTTTGTTTGATGAAGATTTAAACATTAATGCTACAATGTCAATTTTGTATTTCACATTCTTGCCTATTGAAATTACTTCAGTGTGCATTTTGTGATTGTGATTTTGTAAATGTTTCCTTATGGGCATATACTTTGTTTTATTCGTGTTTGATTTATGTTTGTTAACATTCAACCAAAAAAAAAATTTTAATATCACGATTTAACAGTTCTAAAGCAGTGTCCAAATGTTTATGTGATATGTATAGCAATGTATCGTCTGCAAATATTTGAATTTTGCAGTGTTTTAAAACGTCAGAGATATTATGTATATAGATACTAAATAGTAATGATCCTAGTTCCTAGATCCTGTGGCACCCCTACTGCTATATTTTGAATGCTTGACCTAATATTTCCAACTTTAGTTTTATGACTTTTATTTACTAAATAATTTTGAAAAATGTTTAATACTGATTCTTTAAAACCATACTGATGCAATTTCATAAACAATATTTGCCTATCTATAGTCTTCTCAACATCTGGCAAGACATTATTTGATCGCATATTTGTATATAGCTCATAATGTTGAACTTTTGGCACAGAAGAAATGGTGGAATACTTTAATTTTGATGGGAATTCATCATGAACTAAACAATTTCACTCCATTTATATTGAAACAATCATTTCAATCTTTTCAGTATTAGAATCTTCTACTGTTAAACCAAATGTGAGGTTTGCACTCTTAAAATCCAGATCTCATAGTTCATCTAGCTTGAGCCTTGGTGTACGTCATCATTACATCCTATACCATCTATTCCACACCATGACCTATCAAATGTTCTGACTTGTGTGTTTTGGATTTTCCATGAATCCCAAACCTTCAAAAACACAGAAAAGTATTTAATCTTCATCTTTGTATCATAATTTTACAGTATAAGGATGATCCCTTATTTGAAGAATTTTTACAAGTACATGCACCGGATGAAACTGAGAAACTTCACAAGATCAGACAACAGAAATCTGAAAAAGAAGATTCAGGACAAGGCTCAGCAAGTGATTTGGAAGAGGATAATGATGAAGCTGTCAAGTTGGCAAATGAAGAAATATCTGATTTGGAATACATGAATCAGCTGATGAAAGGCAAAGGGGAAAGAAAACCACGCCAAAAAATGGAAAAGAAAGTTAAAGAAAAAGTCAAATTATTCACCGTGAAGGTATGTGCTTTGTTGCTTAGAGACCTTTTCAATTATTCAACTATTTTTTGTAGCTCCGTGATCTGCCTTATAACGTGAAAAAGAAAGATATAAAACAATTCTTCAAGCCTCTTACTTGCTTCAGCATTAGGATACCAAGAAATGTGCATGGATTTGCTTATGTAGGATTCAAAACAGAAAAATTGTTTAAGAAAGCTTTGATTAAGGACAGAAGCTTTATAAGTAAGTGTCTGTTGTAGATTTATTAAGCATTAATGCTACAATATCAATGTTATACAGTAAATCACATAATTTATTATGTCTTCAAGATTACATATTTTCATACAAAATTGCACTACGAGGAATTCTGATTTTCTAATAAATATTTTTTTAATTTTCCCTGTAATCATTTTCAAACTGGCACACAACTTGATACCTTTACTTAATTTATTAAATCCATACAATGCTTTTTGAAATAGCACAATTTTGTAAATGAAAGTTTATACGCCCTCTAGCAGAATAACACTGTGGTATTAATTGTTTAATTAAATAAAGTTTTCTAAGTGATTTATTTCTATTTATGATTCTCATAGCTTTTTTGTAATATTTGTAATTTTGGAAATACAGTTTCGTTTGCAGTGAACAAAATAGTCGAACAATATAATAAATGAGGAAGAATGTTAGTGCTGTGCATGCTTAGGCTATGCGAAATTTTATAAAAGTAATTTATCTCTTTGGATATTTTTGAAATAATATATTCATCGTGTCCTTCAAATTTTAATTTAATATCTACGTATATTCCCAAATATTTAAATGATACGTTTGACTCCATTTTTTCATGACTAATCGTAAGATTTATATTCTTTTCGTCTAAAGATTTTGCTAAAAACACGTTGTGTTTGTGTTTCACTTGGGCTTATTCACATTCATTCAATGAACTATGTTTTTCATATCATTATTTAACAGCTCTATTGCAGTTTCAATGCCTTTATTTGATATATATTTATGTATCATCAGTAAATATTTTAATTTTGCAGTGTTGTCAAACATCAGGAATATCGTTAATACAAATATATAAAATAAATAGTAACGGACCTAATTTGCTACCTTGTGGCACACCTACTGAAATGTTCTTAATGCTTGATAGTGTAAAGTGTAATATGCGTAAAGTTAAAATTCTATCCGATTGTTTTAAACTCATCTTTAACCTTTTTTTAAAATTGCTTAGGCTATATTCTTTACACTCACTTCTCAAGCTCAAAAAATATTTCTGTTGGTGTACCACAAGTTAGTAAACTAGGTCCACTACTACTTATTTTATACATTATTGAAATTTCTAATATTTTAGATTATTGTAAAATTCAGATATTTGCAAATGATATACATATCAGATGAAAATATAGACACTGCTGTAAAAATGTTGAATTTTGACTTGGCAAAAATCATAAATTGGTTAAATGGAAATAAACTAAAATTGAATGCTTCTAAAATAAAATGTATGCTAATATGGAAATACCTAAATGAAAAGTTAGGAGAAAAAGTGAAATAATTGAAAATCAATTAAATATTTAGGTGTATATATTGATAGTAAACTACAGTTTGAGGATCACTATGAATACATTATTTCAAAAATTGCAAAAAAAAAAACAAATTACTTTTATGATAATTCTCATAGTCTTAATACATATTGTTTATAATACAATTATTCTACCGCATTTACTATATTGTTCAACTATCTTGTTCACTGCTAATGAACCTGTATTCTCAAAATAAAGATATGACAATAATATTGACTAAAAATAAGTACCTAAAAATAAACTCTGTTACAAAAATTGCAGTGGTTGAATATAAAAAAATTCATATTATTTTTAAATTTAAAATAAAAAACCATCTTTTGCCACAACATTTCGAACACTACATATAATTATTGTACAAGAGGAAATATAGATTTTAGTAATGTAACTAGCAAATCAATATTTCAGAAAGGATTACTCGAATTTAATAAAGTAAATAATGAATATAGTCTACTTGTAATTTAAAGATTTTTAAAATATAATTAAAGGAATATTTCATGGACAGTGAACATTCTTAGAGATGCAATTTATATTTTTCTAAATAATCTGTGTGTTAGGTAATTGTTGTCGTTTAAAATAAATTGTAGCCTTTACGCTAAAAAAATCTTGAACAAACATATTGTCCATAATAATATATATTTTTTTTTGTAGATGGAAAAAGAGTATCAGTAGTAAAATATGAACATAATGATAATGTTGATGATTCAGCAAAAGACAACAAAGTGAAAAATAAATGGAAAAATCAAGAGGAGAGTCTTCAGAATGAAGAAGATATTGCAGAATCAGGAAAGATATTTTTTAGGAATCTAGCATACACGACCACTGAAGATGATTTGGAAAAGTTGTTTTCGAAATATGGTAGGCACCCAAAATCTGGATAAATTCAAATATAAGCAACTAATGATAGAAGATAAACAATATGAATGTTTCAGGTCCTTTGGCGGAAATCAGTGTACCAGTCGATAAAACTACAAAGAAACTGAAAGGGTTTGGAACTGTAACTTTTCTTATGCCAGAACATGCTGTAAAAGCCTATTCTGAATTAGATGGCTCGGTTTTGCATGGTAGGATGCTGCATCTGTTGCCAGCAAAAAGTAAAGATACAGCTGAAGACAACATCGAAGGTAGATATTCAGTCTAGTAACTATACTTTTTATAATGGAGTTTTTTTGTGGTACGTTTGTGACTGCTTCTTGTGTGACTTCTTGATAATATGAGAAACAAAGTTATAAATAGATGCTTCGATTAAAGTAGTGGCAATTGAAAAAATGAAATTTGGGTATATGGCAATTTTGGAATTGGATAGATCGACATTTCAAGCGGTAATGAAAGCAAGAGTATTGTTCGTATCCATAAATGTTTGTACAATTTTTGAGCATTACGATCTTCTGAGGTGTTTTAACTGTGTCGGATTTCACCACACATCGGAAAACTGCACCAATTTGTTTAAAAAGTGGTAATCAGGCCCAGAATTGTGCGATATCAAAAGACGAAATAACGTCCAAATTGCAAAAAATCAAATTTGAAGTACAATACAAATTTCGACATAAATCACTTATCGTTCCACTATACCTGCAACATGGTTCAAATATGAATATGAAAAATCAAAAAATAAATTTTCTTATGGTGACAATATATTACAGGCCAAAAAATATACTATGTATACCATATAAATATACAAGGATTTTTTTTAGATAGGGATGAAGTTATACATTTTTTAATATCAGTGAAACCATTAGTTCTTCGCTTGACTGAAACACATTTTACCGAAGATATTGAGGATATGGAGATTGATATTCATAAGTATGATGTTGAAAGAGTAAACAAAATTTCGAAACATACAGGTGGCATACTAACAAGTATGATCGAAGTAAACATACATAATATTGTAGTTGTTGAAAATCAATGGTGGACTTTTTTGAGAGTATGTGTTTGTTTGTTTGTTTAAGATTTATTTAACATGATTGCAACAATTACATTCTTTTAAAAAACTAAACAATTACATAACATACAGACATTCAGAAAAAAAAAACAAAATTTGCATATCTAAGAATTTTCATTGTCCATGAAATATTCCTTTAATTTTCTTTTAAACATACTTAAATTGCAAGTAGACTAGTAGATTAAAAAGATGATTTTTTATTTTAAATATAAAAATAAGAACCAAATATGATATGAAATTTTTTTTATTCAACCACTGCAATTCTTGTAACATATATTTTATTTTGGAGTACTTATTTTTATTTAATATTATTCTCATAGCTTTATTTTGCGAGACTTGTAATTTTGAGAATACAGCTTCATTGGCAGTGAACAAGATAGTTGAACAATATAGTAAATGTGGTAGAATAATTCTATTAACAAACTATTGGAATAGGTACCAAGACTATGAGAAGCCCTATGAAAGTAATTTGTTTTTTTGGCAATTGTTGAAATAGTGATCCTCAAACTTTAGTTTACTATCAATATATATACCTAAATATTTAATTGATTCAACATTTTCAATTATTCCTCCATTTATCCTAACTGTGATAGTATTTTCATTTAGATATTTCCCTATTAGCATACATTTTGTTTTAGAAATATTAAATTTTAGTTTATTTACATTTAACCAATTTACGATTTTTGTCAAGTCAGAATTTAGCATTTTTATAGCAGTGTCTATATTTTCATCTGATATGTATATTAATGAATCATTTGCAAATATCTGAAGTTTACAATAATCTGAAATATTACAAACGTCATTAATGTAAAAAATAAATAGTAGTGGACCTAGTTTACTACCGTGTGGTATACCAACAGAAATATTTTTTGATCTTGATGTTGTAGATCCAATTTTGGTTTTTTGACTTCTGTCAATTAAATACTTTTGTAGAATTTTGATTACAGATCCTTTAAATGCGTAGTGATGCAATTTTGTAAGTAATTTATCCCTGTCAATAGTTGCAAACGCCCTTTTGAAGTCCAAAAACACTGTTACTGTATGTTTCGTATTGTCCATACATCCCCTCCAGTCTTATAAAACCGTTTGTGTTGCCGTTTTAGTTGAGTATTTCTTCCTGAATCCAGCTTGAAATTTGGTTAAAATGTTATTTGACTCAATAAATTTGATGATCTGTTCGTAAATAATTTCTTCAAAACTTTTTCAACATCTGGTAGAACATTTATTGGCCCGCATATTGGTGTACAACTCAGAATTCTTAACTTTGAAAATAGGAGTTATGGTAGAACACTTCGGTTTTGTTGGAAATTTGCCATATTTTAAACAGTAATTTATCAGGATTAATATTCTTGCTAAAATAATATCAAAACATTCATTAAGCACACTTTTAGACAAAATCTCACTCTTGTTTTGATTTGATTTAATTTTTGATATAATCGTCTTGAGACGATTAATGTTTATTGTTCCAAACTCACTGAATGATGCATTATAATCTGAGCTAATGGGACATTGGTTGGGATCCCCGTCTCAATAATTGATTTTATAATGTTGACACTTTCTATGAAATAGGTACTAATTCGATGTGCTATTATTTCTTCATTTGTTATTACCCCATCGTCGAATTTCATTTTAGATATTATACTTTTTCTAATAGGAGACACAATGTTTTTCAACGTTTCCCAGATATGTTGCTATTATTTTTACTCTGATCAATTTTGGCATTGTAATATTTTCTCTTTTCATCTCGTAGAACTGCTACAGATTGGTTTCTTGATCTTGTGTATTCTAGTCAATCATTTTCACTTCCAGTAATCATAAACTTTTTATAATTGTAGTCTCTTTTTAATTTAGAATCCTTGAATGACTGCGAGAACCAAGGTGTTGGATTTTTCCTTTTATAAATTGTTATCTTGACTGTAGCTTCTTTTATGCAAACATTAACAATAGGCTTGTATAGTAGCTATCAACATCAACAAATGCTTCAGTCATATCTTGCAGTAAAATAACTTCTCGTAATTTTACATAGTATATTAGTAATTCACTGATCTTAGGAGTATGCATAACTTTTGCAATTAAATTTTGTTCGTTCGTTATTATCAAATCTATAATTATTATTCTTGATTGATTTGTAATTCTGGTGTGATCATAGACCATAAAAACTGAGTACCTGTTTAAATTTCTTTGCGTAGAAGTCTTGATTATAAAAATTTATATTCAAATCATCCAAATGTACTGTGATGCAGTTTCGATAAAAAATGTTTTTCACAGATATTTTCGAAAAAATCTATAAGTCTGTTTATATTTCCAGTTGGAGATCTGTAGTAAATGTGTAAATTATAATTGTGCAAACTTGCCGGTATTGGGCCGCAACAAATCCCAAATTAAAATATCGATCTTTGCATTCGCGTTATTTATTTATTTATTTATTTACACCTACAACAGATAAACCAATTATTGGTGGGAGAACAGAAGTTAACATAGTACAAAGTTGAAGGAAACATCGGACCCTATTTCTTCGAAAACGAGCAAGGCCAGACTGTAACGGTAAATTCTAATCACTGCACACCAATGCTACGTAACTTTTTCTTTCCACAACTGCATAACTTTGAAGCCTACCTTAGCAGGACCTGGTTTCAACAAGATGGCGCGATATTGCATACCGCCAATGAGTCTTTAGCAGTTGTAAACGAAATGTTCAGTGCCGCGTTGACCCCAATAAACCAATTACGATTGCCCATCTCAAGCACAACATTTCCGAGGAGATGTCCACTATCCCACGAGCAACGTGCCAGCGAGTTTTCACGAATTTGAAGTCGAGATTCGAGGAGGGCGTACGACTCGATGGCTCACATCTCAATGATGTTATTTTTCAAAAATAAAATTCCCATATGTCTATTTCATTAAAAATATAAATTATCTTCCCTACGCTCTCTAGTTTTAGTTTCTATGATTTTTTAAACTTGATGGCCCACCATGTAGCACCAATAAACTATACTAAGTGACATATAAATCCGAACACCCAGTTTAAATGGTTTTATTTTAATAAAATTTTGTATAAGTACTTAATGAAGCATAATAAGTAAATGATAAAAATTTCAAAATGACATTTAATAATGTGTGGATGCACCCTGATGTGCTACGCATTCTCCAACGCGCCTAGGCATGCTTCTGATCAGGTGGTCAATGTCCTCCTGTGGTATCTCATTCCAGGCAACCACCAACTCCTCTCGAAGTGCTTCTAGAGTCTGAGGAGGACTTTTCCAATTGAGCAATCTCCTACCCATCATATCCCACACGTGCTCAATTGGGGATAAGTCGGGAGATCTTGGTGGCCATGGTAACAATGTGACATCATTATGTTGAAAGAAGTCTATTGTGACTCTTGCAACATGTGGTCGGGCATTATCTTGTTGGAAAGTTGGATCTGCCACGGTGTCAAGATAGGGTAAAAGATGGGGTTCTAGAACTTCGTGGATATAACGCTGCGCGTTCATGTTACCTCTGATGAAGATTAAAGGTGACCTGGAACCATAAGCTATAGCACCCCAAACCATAACTCCAACAGTGTGATGAACATGTCTTTCAACAAAAAACTGTGGATTCCTCCTTTCACCACGTCGCCTTCTAACCCTGGCACGACCATCGTGCATGCCTAAACAAAATCGAGACTCGTCACTAAAGACAATACTGTTCCATTCCTGATCCCAGAGTGACCGTTGTCTGCACCACTCAAGGCGATTACGTCGGTGTTCTCGAGTTGAAGGGAGGACCCAGTGTGGCCGGTATGAAAACAAGCCAAAACTTCTCATTCGTCGGTAAACACTTCGCATGCCAATAGGTCTTCCGTGTTCTGCAAACCATTCATTTGCAATGGACCTGGTAGTGGAGAAACGGTCCCTTAAGGCCAATAATCTTAGGCGGCGATCTTCACGGTCTGTTGTTCTACGGCGGCGTCCAGTGCCCCTTGCTCTTTGCGTACGGCCTTCTCAAAGCCATGCCTGACAACACCTAACCACAGTGTCTACACTTCTTTGCACTCTAACTGCAATTGCCCGAAAAGAAAGTCCAGCTTCCCGAAGTCCCACTATACGGCCCCTATCAAACTCACTAAGTTGACGAAATCGTACAGGTCTCCGTACTCTAGGCATCGTAACCGATCGTAAAGGATGTCAAGAACCAAAATCCGCAAACGTTGATTCTTTACAGCGGCTGAAATATTCATTTTTAGAGCGTTAGTGAATTAAAAAAAACAGTATAAAAACCGGAATGTCCAACTGATAAGGCTGAAAATTTTTTCACTTGTTATTTACAGTAAGATAAATACATTCACCAACTTTTATTAAAATAAAACCATTTAAACTGGGTGTGCGGATTTATATATCACTTAGTATATTATTATATCGCAATTACAACTGTTACGAATTATAACAATTTTGTTGCAGATTCTTCAAACTTCAAAACGAAAAAAGCGGCGAAGCAGAAAGCGCAAGCCGGTTCGACGCACAACTGGAACTCGTTGTTCCTGGGACACGACGCGGTGGCCGAGGTTGTAGCAGATGCGTACGGTACCACAAAGGAGGCAGTGGTGGGGCCCGACGTACACGGCAGTGCCGCTGTCCGATTGGCGCTTGGGGAGACGCAGATCGTAACGGAGACTAGAAAGTATCTGGAGGCGCATGGGGTCGTTCTTGATGCTTTCGCTAATGTAAGTAAATATACAGGGTTGCTCGTCGAAAAGGTCGCACCCCCATCTGTGACTCTCCTGGTATATTTCGGGGAATATTGATCGGACACGTCAATTTTGATTTCTAAGGGAACGTCTTTTCATCTATTCAATACAGGGTGATCCAAAAATAAGATGTTGCATTGCACTTTAGATTTTTAAACGGAAACCCAATTTTTTTTAATTTTTAGATTCTTCATGAAGTTTTTAGTAGTTTATACCTATCTTCAATCGTTGTGAAGCTATTTGAGTTTTTAATAAAATTCGACTAACTTAATACTGATAATAATAATGGAATGCCGGCAAAAAATAAGCATGGATACCAACAAGTATGTTATAAAAACTGTGTCTTTCATTTGAAATTGGTGAGTTGCCTACCTAGTTGTGATAAATATTGAATAATGACTTACTCAATTCAAAAGGGTCGAAATAACAAAACCGTATTAACTGTATTCAAAATGGAAGCATTGCAAAGACCTACTGTCCGGTTTTTAATGCGTTACATCGAGTCAAAAATATTATCAATAAGTATGTGGCTACGATGATAAAAAAATTTGAAGAAACTGGATCTGTGTCTCATCTTCGCCGTAATTTGTTTGTTTGTTTAAGATTTATTTAGCATGATTGCTACAATTACAATACATGATTGCAAGTGGCTTCACGATGTAATGCTTTAATGTTTTTAAATAATTTTTAATCTGTTTTTAACTTGTTCTTGTCATATTTTATATAATTTTGACCATTGTACAATCTATCCAGCTCTCACCATGTTACTGGACGTTTCCCTCATCCTATACGTAAACAACAATTAGCAACATCCTCACATACTACTGTAAGTTGAGTCAATTTAAATTCATTTTACACTTTTGTTGCTACTGTTATCATTGTAATTGCAGCTCCTGATGATGATGGCAAAGTCCATTGAAAGTTAGAGAGAATTAAAAAAAGTGTAAAGAGTCCTCTTTGCTTAAATTTTGTCGAAGTACCCAACAAAAGGCGGAAGCTTTAATTTTTTATATATATATATATATATATATGTATATATGTGTATGTATCATTTTTAAATGCCCTTTTCTGTAACATATCTCATTTAAATATATTTTGCTACTATTTTCACCTAACTGTATGTTGCAAATAAACATTATTATTATTTTGAAATTTGCTGAGAAATACCCATTTAATGATAGCTCGATACTCGATTTTGTCCATTTTCACGAAAACATCCACATCAGCCCGTTTAAATGACTGTTTTATAACAACAGCGCGTCAAAAATGGCTGAAGTTTTGGTGAGTAACCGTCAAGAGATGAACAACGAATTTCACTAGCTTTTATTTACTAGTGCTGCCATCTTCACGTTGAGGTCGGAAACTATTCAGACCGCCCTCGTATATGGTTGTTTCTTTTTTACTCCATTTTTGAGCATCATCGCGCGCATAAATGGATGCTCATCTACCTACTTTTTTTTTGTTACAGGCTGGCCCAAGATCCAAAACTCTGATACTCGTGAAAAATTTGCCATCCAAGACCGGTCAAAAGGAAATCAGGGAAGTTTTTGAAAAACATGGTTATGTCGGTAGGGTAATTTTACCACCAAGTGGTATAACAGGTAAGATAAAAATGTTGCGAAATGTTGTAATTATTGAACATATTTTGTCATTTTTTAAACATGTGTATTGGCCTGTAACTATTATTACCCGAAACATATAGGGCTAATCAAAAGTATTTATTTCAGCTTTGGTAGAATTTCTAGAACCTTCCGAGGCGAAAAAGGCGTTTACAAGATTAGCTTACTCGAAATTTAAAAATGCTCCTCTATACCTGGAATGGGCACCTGAAAATAGTTTAATAGAAAAAGTACAACAGTCAGAAAAAGAAAATGATCATGATAAACGTATTGTCCAGGAAGAGGTCGAAGCACAAAGTGGCGATGCCGAGGAAGATGAAGAAGAACCGGAACCTGACACAACGTTATTTGTCAAGAATTTGAATTTCAAAACTACAGACGAAGATCTACGCAAAGTAAGTTTTTTTCTGTTTAATATTTATTTAGCTTGATTGCTACAATTACATTCTTTTAAAAAAACTACAACAATTACATAACATATAGATATTTAGAAAAACTAATTTTGCATATCTAAGAATCTTTAAATAACAAGTAAACTTTATATCATTATTTACTTTATTTAATTCGAGTAATCCTTTGAAATATTGATTTGCTAGTTTCATTACTAGCGCAATTTCGTAAATGAAAATGTATATTTCCTCTTGTATAATATTTGTGGTAATTATTATTCTGTGTAGTGTACTAAATGTTGTGGCAAAAGATGTTTTTTATTTTAAATGCAAAAATAAGAACCAAATATGATACGAATTTTTTTATATTCAAGCACTGCAATTCTTGAAACACAGATTTTATTTTTGTGTACTCATTCTTATTCAATATTATTGTCATATCTTTATTTTGCAGGACCTGTAATTTTGAGAATACAGCGTCATTGGCAGAGAACAATAGTTGAACAATATAGTACATGCGTTATAGACATTTTTTTTTGAATATGTACTAAGACTATGAGAAGCCCTATAAAAGTAATTTGTTTTTTAACTAATGCATTCATAGTGATCTTCAAACTTTAGGTTACTATCAATATACAGGGTGTTTGGAGGGTGAATAGCCAAACGAAAATGGCGAATGGATGAGGGTGTTGCCTATTTACATACAGTAATTTACATTTTGTCTCAGTTTTAAGGAGAAATAATGATTTTTCTTTTTTTGATAAAATCCCCAGTTGTTAAATTTAAGTTTCAATATTTTTCTTAAGTCTACAGTTACTTCATTCAGATTCAACCAACATTTGATACAAACACTTCAAAAAGTAACAGTGGCGCAACAAACTTAAATCAATGGAAAAAATGTTGTCAACTTTACAATAAGCAAAAAAAAAATAACAGAAAAGAGTACGGGGTTTTCAAATGTAATTAAGAACTCCTCTAGTTAACAATCTTTCTAACGGTATGCCACATGGAACATAAATAATTGGATCACTCAACAAAAAATAAATTTATATGTATATATATACATATTGAAACGTAAATTTAAAAACTGGGCATTTTCTCTAAAAAAAGAAAAAATCATTATTTCTCCTTAAAACTGAGGCAAAATGTAATTAGGCGTTGTAAATAGCCAACAGAACTCAGTCATCGACGTTGACACTTTCTGTGAAGTTGGTATTCATTAGATCTGCTATTATTTTTTTTTATTTGTCATTACCAGATCGCCGAACTTCATTTTAGATAATGTTTTTCTTCTAATAGGAGAAACGATTTTTTCCAATGTTTTCCACATCTGTTTGATACTATTTTTACAATCATCAATTTTAGTATTGTAATATTTTTATTTTCATCTCGTAGAACTGCTACAGATTGGTTTTTTGATCTTGTGTATTCTCGCCAATCATTTTCACTCCCAGGGATCATAAACATTTTATAATTGTAGTATCTCTTTAATCCTTGAACGTCTCCGAGAACTAAGGTGTTGGATTTTTCCTTTTATAAATTGTTGTCTTGACTGTAGCTTCTTTCATGTAAGTTTCAACATTATCCAATAGGGTTGCATAGTAGCAGACTCACCCAGAGTAGAATCCAGTTCAGCTTTTATATTGGTTGGGCTGAGACCTTTGAAATAAAAGTATTGTACCACATAACGATGACCAATTTTCTCCATTTTCACAAATTCACAGAAAACCTTCAGTATTGATGGCTGTCAAACAAATACTAAACAACGTGGCGTCTTCAAACTTGACATATATGCTTTATAGCTTGCATACTTGATAATACAATGGTATTTTTCAAACAACTATCGCATCTGTAGGTCAGGGCAGGGACCACCCTCTACTTATCGTTAATATTTTTGTATGGATGTAACGCATTAAACAACCGGGCAGTACCTCTTGCAATGCTCCCATTTTGGTAATACAGTTTTGTCATTTCTACCCTTTTTGGAATCGAATAAGTCATTGTTGAATATTTAACACAGCTAGGTAGGTAACTTAACAATTTGGAATTAAGGACAAAGTTTTTCTATGACATACTGACTGACGCTAAATGTTGTTGCTGATATCCATGATTATTTTTTGCCGTGTATTCCATTATTATCGGTATTAAGTTAGTCGAATTTTGTTATAAGTTCAAATAGCTTCACATCTATTGAATATAAGTATAAACTTTACTAAACAAAAGTTACTAAACACTTCGTGGAAAATCTAAGAATTAAAAAATGTTACGCAGCATCTTATTTTTGGATTGCCGTGTTCGAGCGTTTTTCCCAAAATATACCAGGAGAGTCACAAATGTGCGTGCGACCTTTTCGTTGGGCGAGCCTGTATAAAAATGTCACCATGATCACAGATTTCAGTTTGTTTTTGATCTAATCATACTCATTTTTTTAGCATTTTGAAGGTTGTGGAAAAATACATTATGCAAATCTGGCTACGAAGAAGGACAAAAGTGATCCAAAGAACAAATTATCGATGGGTTACGGTTTCGTCAGATATGTACATAAACAAAGCGCAGACAAGGCTTTGAAGAAACTACAGCAGAGCGTTTTGGATGGGAAGTCGTTAGAGCTGAAGCGGTCTGAAAGGACATTGAAGTAAGTTTTTATTGTAAAACACCTTAATTCATTTACTGTTAACTTTATTCTATCTATAATTGTTGTATTTCAATATGGTCCATCAAGAGTTTTTTTTCGCGCACAATTTTTTCATTTGTTTTTCTGTCAGAATTTTGTGGGCGATTGTTTTTTGGATTGACAGTTCCTCAGCCATCATTCTGTCAATCGACAGTCTTTAAGAATACAGCCCCGAATTCGTTCAACATTTCTCAGAGCTGGATGTGGAGGGGCGTCCTGAGCGTCGGTCGTCTTTCACATCTTCTCGGCCTCCCCGAAACCTTTTCAACCGCTTGTTGACGGTTGGTTCCTTCAGAGAATTGTCTCCGGAAACTCGTTCCAAACATTCAAATATCTCACGACCATTCTTGCCTAGCTTTGCAAGAAACTTGATGTTGATGCGCTGTTACTCGATCAGAAAGAGCACACTAGGAACTATAATCTAGGCAGCAAGTTGACATTTTGTCGTTTTTTTCTGATGTTTCTTAGGTTTTCTACGCAATGGCCCTGCAAGGTTGTACACCAAACTTGTCTTTATATTGATGGTGAATTAAAGGATACGCCTTAACCGATTATCGGTTTGCATGTCCTAAACCTTGCAGGGGATATTAATGTTAATTTGCTTTTAGTTTGTAATAACTAATTGCCTTCATTCTTATAATCCGAAACAGGTGATATCTGAACCGACTAGGATAACTGAATCGACACTCACTCTCTTAGATCCTATTTATTTGAGCAAGCCTGAAAGTTGTCTTAGGAGTGGCATTATTAATGCTGATATGATTACTGATCACTATTTAACATTCTGTGATATACATATTGCACTTCCTAAAAATCAACATAAATTTGTGACATTCAGGGATTTCCATAGTTTAAATGAAATAGCATTAGAACAAGATCTCAAGAGTTTTCCATGGTGGCATATTATATCAATAGATGACATTGAAGATAAAATTACCTTTTTAACAGATGGTATTTTATGTTTATTTAATGTTCACTGTCTAAAAAAGGTAGTGTGTGTAAACAAAGCTCCAGCTCCTTGGTTGGATGATAACATTAAACTTCTATTCAAGCAGACAGCTGAAGCTTTATCAAGTCAGGGCAAGCGGAGTAAGGTAAGAGGATGTGCGTTCGTAATCACATGCAACCCAAATCTACGCCTCTCATGTGCCCCACTGCCTGAGAGTGTATGCATGTGTATGATTGATATGGGGCATAAAACTATGAAGACTACATAAAATTACCTTTTAGCTTTATTTTTGGTTTTAGCTCTTTTTCGGCAAGTATAGAAATATTTAAATTATTTTGAACAATCGTGGAGAATGATGTTATCGGTAAATATTCTCTTTTTGGTAAGAATACCGAAAAATCCGGTTCAAGTCCATGCATAGACAATTCTGAAATTTGCAATATGAATTTATATTCTCAATTCTATGCGTATCCGTTCATATTCGTCAATATTGTTGATTGGAACTTGAAGCTCATTCGCTGTATTTGACGGACTGTTACCCTATAGGTGGAGAATAACGGACTGTTGATTTGACATCCTTGGTGAAATCCACCCTTAGTCCACCGAAACACCTTTCATATGGAGGTACGGACACGCAAACTGTCATGAACAATTTTAGTGCAATCATAAGACTTGAAAGAGATTCTGTAAAATCCCATTCTACAATAAACTTTAAAGAATATAGAAATACCCAATCAGAAACTGTAACATTAGCGGCTTCTAAGTGTCTTCGCAGTTTTGGTATCTCCAAAAGTAGTTCTATTTCCGAGACCTCATCATAAAAATCAGTAAATCTGGATGTAGCTAATTTCTGTTCGTCAGTATTCGCCAAAAGCAAAGTATTTCTTTGTACGATCCCGAACAATGAAGCTAGGACTTGAAGAACTTCGATCTTGACCGGGGTTCAACTCTGAATCGGTTAAGACATTCCAACATATCTTTTTGAAGTTCTTCTTCCAGTGTGAGTCCTGCATCACTGTCCATCTCACCAGTCACCCATTTTTTTAGGAGGAAGTCGTCTCTCTGTTGGAATATCGTAGTCTTCTGATTTTCTTGTAGCAATATCTATTGCCTCTACCACAATGTGACCCTGTTTTTCTTCGATATAAAGACGAAGTGCCTCTATTTTTGTAGCAGTTTCGTCAGCAGTTAAGCCTTTACTTTGCCATGCAATCTGCGCAATTTTTTTATGTTTGTGCATTGTTCTTAAAGTTGAGCCCCCAAAAAAGGTGACACCCGGTGTGGCCCGCACCCGCCGCAGCCCCCTTGCTACGCCACTGCGTACAAGACCACGGGTAGGTATACCCTGACTGTAAAAAAATCCATACATGGTTTTAATATTAACCTTTGAATTCGAAGTTTTACCGAAAAACGGCACCGTAATATAAATATACTAAGTGACATATAAATCCGAACACCCAGTTTAAATGGTTTTATTTTAATAAAATTTTGTATAAGTACTTAATGAAGCATAATAAGTAAATGATAAAAATTTCAAAATGATTGCACTGCTTTAAAGCCCTTTGACCTTTAATAATGTGTGGATGCACCCTGATGTGCTACGCATTCTCCAACGCGCCTAGGCATGCTTCTGATCAGGTCGTCAATGTCCTCCTGTGGTATCTCATTCCAGGCAACCACCAACTCCTCTCGAAGTGCTTCTAGAGTCTGAGGAGGACGGTGCAAATTGAGAAATCTCCTACCCATCATATCCCACACGTGCTCAATTGGGGATAAGTCGGGAAATCTTGGTGGCCATGGTAACAATGTGACATCATTATATTGAAAAAAGTCTATTGTGACTCTTGCAACATGTGGTCGGGCATTATCTTGTTGGAAAGTTGGATCTGCCAGGGTGTCAAGATAGGGTAAAAGATGGGGTTATAGAACTTGGATATAACCCTGCGCGTTCATGTTACCTCTGATGAAAATTAAAGGTGACCTGGAACCATAAGCTGTAGCACGCCAAACCATAACTCCAACAGTGTGATGAACATGTCTTTCAACAAAAAACTGTTCAAACGTGATTGTGTAGCCGCCTCTTGGCAACAGTATACATATTCCAGAAATCGTGCATTAACACTCGTGCGGAAAGGAAGAGATTATTTACAAGTTTTATAAAACCCTAAAGACTTTCAAAGTGCAATCTCAGAAAGATTCTACAATTCCCGTGAGCTTATCAGATCCGTATAAAATAAATGAGGCATTCATTTCAATTTTCGAGAATAGTGATTTGGGTTGTGCTGATAAAATTGCATATTACCGAGCTAATAAAAATAACTTAAAATCCAAATTTAAATTTAGTAAAGTGACTATGGACACCGTTGTTAAAATTATACATAAAATAAAATCAAATTAGAGTGGTTCACATGGAATAACTTTGCATACGATACTACTATGTATATCTGAAATTCATGTGTACTTAACACATATTATCAACTGCTGTTTAGAGAGGGGATATTTCCCCAATCAGTGGAAACACGCTATAGTTATTCCGCTACCTAAGTGTTCTGATCCTACTAACTATGGTCAACTGAGACCGATCAGTCTACTGCTTATTTTTTCTAAAGTATTGGAACGCGTTGTTTACGAGCAGCTCTGCGCCTACTTATATTCTAACTAAATTATTCCATCTAAACAATCTGGATTTCGACAAGGTCGTAATACAGCTTCGACACTCTGCGTTTTAACAGACAATATAACAATGGCACCTGATAACCAAAAAGCAGTAGCTCTCGTACTTCTTGACGTTACTAAAGCATCTGACACCATTAATCACTCACTTCTTGTGTCTAAATGCAGTTATTATGGATTTTCTGAAAAACTTCTTTCGTTTATTCAAACCTACCTTGAAAATCGGTATCAAAAAGTTCGTCTAAATCAACAGTACTCTACCGAACAAAAAATTTATTCTGGTGTACCAGAGGGATCAGCCTTAGGACCCCTGTTATTTTCATTATATATCTCAGATTTAGAAACAGGTAAAATCATGCAGCATACAATTTTTTGCAGACGATACTCAAATTTTCTATTCATTTAGGAGTAATGAATTGGAAACAGCAAATAATAAAAATAATCAAAATCTTGCCCAAATTGAAAAATTTAGTAGCAGTCATAATCTTCGTTTGAACCCTTTAAAGACAAATATGTTGGTATATGCAAATAGAACAAAAAGGAATGCTTTTAAAAAGGACATGGACATACATTTAAAAGGTAATAAATTAGTTCCCGTGGATCATTCGAAGAAGGTATTATAATGGATGATGACTTAAAATTTGTTGTACACATAAACTATCTAATTTCTCAGAGTTTTGTTTGCAAATAAGGCTAAATTACATAAATCTGCGAGAAAGCAATTGTGTGAATCTTTCTTGTTTTCAAAGATATCGTATTCCTTAGTGATTTACTATCCCTATTTAGAGAAAGAAATCGTATTCAAAGTATTATGAATACATGTTGCAGACTTGTAAATGGTCTCTGAAAGTATGATAATATATCGAATGCCATTAATCAACTCTACTGGATGAAAATTGATAAAATGTATAAGTACCAGCTCCTAAGTATGACTCATAGGGTTCTTTATTCAAAAACACCGTCATATTTAGTAAACAAATTCATAAATAGAAGGAATATACATGGCATTAATATTAAATATAGAGACTTTTTCACTTCCACGCCACAGCAAATCTCTATTCCAGAATACATATATTTGCAATGCGATCAAATCACATAATTCTTTAGACCGCAGCTTAAAAGAAACGAATTCATTACCCAAATTCAAGAAAAAAGTTCTACTTGATCAGCAGCGAAATCTGTTGTAACTCATGTTTTCCTTATGCCTTTACTTAGATCATACTTCATTCTGGCGTTACTGTGTACAGGTGTTAATTTCTGAAAAAAATTTTATACATCTCGTATTGTTAAGGGGGTTAGATGGTACAATAGATAAATTATCTAAATCTCGCCTCCTGTAATAATATTACAAATAAAAAAGACGTTAATTATTATTATTCTGTAAACAACTCGAATAAATAAATGAAAGTACTAATTTTTTTTCAAATCGTCAGCGGTATTTACGATTCAACATACTCATCTACTTTTCCAATTTCAGAGATGAAGCGCACGTTGCGAAAAAAACAGTGAAGAAAATGAAACAAACCGGTACCAAGATTTTGGTGAGGAACGTTCCATTCCAGGCTAGCCGCAAAGAAATTCAAGAACTTTTCAGGTAATAACTCCATCCATCTTATTTAGTTATAAATAATGTATTTTAAAAGCCTGGTTTTATTAAGTAAAATATTTTTAGCACTTTTGGAGAGATCAAAGCCCTGCGATTACCCAAGAAGATGGGCGCTGGAACTGATTCTCATCGTGGATTTGCCTTTGTCGACTTTTCAACAAATTCGGACGCAAAGGTGGGTGAATGTTTTGGTCTTTATTATGTATATAAGGTTCTTGACAGACAGTCAGTTTTGTCAGATTCTCCAGTCATCTGTCATAGTACTGTAAAATTCGTATAGCTTCAAAAATGAATTGCAGCGTCTCTTCCATTTGTGTAAAACAAGTTAAATATAGGGTGTAAACGTTATGATAGTCATTATTTAAAAGTTTCATATAACATGGGGGTCAAAAGGCATCGTCCTTTCTCATTTTTATTTTTGGAACTTGTGACTTGCAAAATAATGGGAACAATGACAATTCCATCTGCGATGAACTGCAGGTCGTTGCCATTATTTTCTATAGTTTCCTCATCAGTTGAGGATGACATGCTTATTAATTTGATAAAAAACTGTATCCAGTAAAAATACGGAACGGTCTGTGTAAGCTCTGTAGTACAACTGTCAGTGACGCTGAGTGAACGAACTCCCACGTCAACTATAAGTCAGGACATGTCGCTCAAAGTTCAAATACCAGTCAACCTTTTACTTCTTGGAGGATATCCTCGCGAGTAGGTAATCATTATTAATATGAAAACGAGGATATGCTTATACTTCTACCTTTTTCTCCGAAGCAAGACCTTATACTTTTACCTTATGCGTCCGAGGATATGCTTCTCTTTTACGACTACGCAGTAAAATGGTAAAATTTATAAACATGGAAAAATAAAGACAGCCGCTTTTTAAATTTTATCCATCCTGGAAATGGGCTGACTACTCCTTAAAACATATTAGAACCCAAAAATCATCGGAAAATGAAGTTTATAAAAAAGAGCTTTCGTTTTTCCATTTTTTTGGGACACCCCACTGCTCATTCGTTGATGAGAACGTTTTTATGGCTGCGAGACCAAACTAAGAAACGTGTGTCACTACTATCATTAACACATTGCTATTTTCAATATGATAGCATCAAGTGGAGAGCACCCAGTCGACACATTCTATTTTTTCCATTCTTCTTCAGGCTGCATTTGAAAGTCTTTCACAAAGTACGCATTTATACGGACGGCGTTTAGTACTGGAATGGGCTGCGAATGAAGAAGGTGTGGAAGACATTAGGAAAAGGACAGCTGACCATTTCAATCCAACAGAAGAAGTGAAATCGAAAAAGAGTGTTTTTACTATCGACTAACTTTATTTGTACATAAACGAAATGTTACAAGTTTGACCTGTTTCATTTCATCAGTATTATCACCCCCATAAGCACAAACAACACAATCAACAATAATTATAACTACGTGTTACTACTTTTTCAACAATGCCTCATCTTGCATGGACAACTGACCCAATTTTTTGCCAATCCTTTCGTGAATGTCAAGGAACTTGGCCACACATCTGTCTATGCATACAGCTTCACCTAGAAAAATAAGCAAAAGCTAAGTATCAAAGACGTAGTAGTTAGTTATTTGAGACAATGCCCAGTAAAAAAAGCTGCTGCGTGGTTAACTTTTGCACTTGAGATCATTCTTAGTGTGAGAGACGAGGCTCTAGTTAAATTTCGTCACAATCCATCGGATGAAAACTGGACTGGACAACTTTAAAAAACATCAAATGGCGTGTCATACTCTACCCATGTTTCTGTCCTAGTTCAGAAGATTTATTTAACACATGTTACCAGGACTTTCCCTGAAGCTTGTAAGGAATAAATTGTCTATCTACTAATAAACAGTTATTATTTGCAGTGATGCTAAAAAATGTGGAGAACCAGTGGTTTATGGGCTAATGTCCACGAAAGATTAATTTTGAATCAAATATTTCGGCTTTAATTGTTCTAGACATAGTTCTAGTTTATAATGGAAAATCTGAGGTGACAATTTTGGAACAAAATGTAATGCCATACCTTTTGCTATTTCCGAATCCGAATAAACTGGTGCGATGCATTTTTTGTGGCATGCTGCTGTCAGTCTATTGTACATGTCAGCCATCATTTCAATTTCCAACTCTTGGATCAATTGCATGTTCTGTGCTTCTTTTTGGGACATCATTCTGCAGCAGGCTCGTTAATTCTTAAAATCACTGTCTATAAAACCAAACAGAAAGGTGTACAGATTCATAAGCAATTGGATGTCTAAAAACACATGATATTAATAATATAGGCAACATCGTTAATTCATCAGAAACAAGCAACTCTTGATACATTGTCCATTTTCGAGCATTTTCGCATTTTGGTGAATTAATGTTATATATGAAGGATGCTTTATGCTATATGTGGAGAAACGATTATAGAGTCAATAGGGGTGACTAGAATTTAATTTCAATTAGGATAATGGTGAAAAGTCAGGACCAGGTTGCTTTTGCTTTTTGGTAAGAATATACTTAGAATTACATTTGAAGGAGCAGGGAAGAGATTTATAGAGTGCAATTAAATGTTTTATTTTGAAACATTTTGTGCATATAAGTAGGTCTGAACATTATCAAAAATTCTTGCCACTATTAACCCTTTCGCGTCGAGAGCCGGTTATATTCGAAAAAAGAGTAGTGTCTGGTATGCGGGAAACGTATATTTACGCAGCGACAGAGGCGGTTAACTACGGGAAACGTGTAGATCAGCATATGTCGGTATTTGTTTGTACCAAATACTATACATAAGCAAATTAGTAAATACAGTAAAGTTGTTAAAAAAATACTGAAGAAGTAGTAGTTATAAAACCAAAAGATAGAAAACAAGATAGTTCAGTAACACAAAAGGCTATTGAAGAACAGATAGATCCACGGTCAATTGGCATAGGCGTATCAAGAGTAACGTTTATTCGGGATGGGGAATAGTAATAACAGGTTCATGGAAAGAAGATATTAAGAACATATCAGGTAATGTAATCCTTAAAATGCAGAAGTATGAAATAAACATTCCAGAGAAGAAAAACCCTAGAATAAAGGTAACAAACATAGAAAAACAGACCATGAAGCACTTATTGAAAGTATTGTTTATCAAAAACAGAGAAGGATCGAACATTGGAAGTCATGAGTACCTATGAAGAGAGAAGAAAAAAAGCAAACGTGGCTATAATAGAAATTGATAGACAAACATATGATCAAGTGAGGGAGAAGGACTTTTTGTATGTTGGGTGGAGAAAATGTAAATATTTTGATCACTATAACATAATTCAATGTTTTAAATGTTGGAGATTCGGACACTTAGCCAAAGATTGTAAAAGTGCAACAGATGTCTGTCCAAAATGGAGTAAAGAACATAAACATGCAAAGGATATATTAAAGATCCCAGCTATCAATTATCATCATTGTGCATACAACAGACATTGTAAAACATACAAGAGAATATTTAGGGAGCTTCAAATGAGGTTTAACTACCATGAAACATTTGGCAAAGTGAAGAACAAATAGCAATTAAAGCAGCAAAATATTATATACTTAGATATAGAAAGCCTATTAGCACATAAAGCACAATTAGTTTGGCTGGTACATCAATGGAAACCTGCGATTATTTGTTTTGTCTGAAACACATATTACTACAGATTTGCAAGAAAGGGAATTGAAAATAGATGGATATCGAGCAGTCCATGCATACTCAGAAAGTAGGCATACTATATATATTAAAGAGGAATTACATTTTAAAACAATACATAACTGTGTAATGGATGATTGGAGTAAATTTATCTATAGATAATAAAAATACAACATTTTATGTGTATACCATTCTCCAAATTCAAAGGATAATAAATTTCTGTAGAAGTTGGAGGAAACATTAGATGATTTTTCAGAAAAAACTGATACCCTCATAATGGTTGGCGATTTTAACATCAACTTGGCAAAAAAGTCTTTTTACTGCTCTAAACTTGACAAAGTTATTGAGTGGATTCTATCAAAAAATTCAAAAATTTACAAGGGTTACACAAAATAGTGCAACCATGATTGATCTCATAATTACAAATGAAAAGTGCCTGGAAAGTGAGATATGCTATACTCCTAAAATAACGGACCATGCAATACTAAAGGTTAATCTTTCTACAGCTGAGCTTACCAGTCAAGCAGAATATTACAGAGATATGAAACACTTTAACGATCTTGAATTTCAATTAATGCTAATAGAATCTACATGGTCATCCAACCTTATCAGTACTGATGAAATAGCAAACAATTTAGTAAAAATAATAACAGAAAAGTTTATTGTGCACCAATAGTTAAAAGAAAGAGACCTGTCAAATGGGGCAAAAAAGATGGTGGTTACCAGATTTACATGACAATATTTTATAAGCTATACAAGCGGGCTATGATAACACAGCAGGAAAAACATTGGGTGAGCTTTCGACAACAAAGAAATAAAGTTGTGCAATTAATAAGACAACAAAAGCAAGTATATTACCAACAAAGAATAGATGATGCCAAAGGAGAGTCAAAGGCTATGTGGAAAAGTTTGAAGGATATCAAAGCCAATGGATTGGGAAATATGGAAGATGTTGATTTCGATGGAAATATTTACAACGAAAGTGAGACAACAGTAGAGAGTTTTAATGATTTTTTTTTTGAATTATATACCAACTGCTACAAATAGCTTTACTACATTTAAAACTGTTCAAATGAAGGAACTAAGAAATACACTTAACAATTTAAAAAATAAAAATAGCAGTGTTGACGGAATTAATACCAAAATCTTGAAATTGGCTTTTAAAGTCATAGGCAACTGCTTTCTCCAGCTTATAAATTCCAGTATGGAAACAGGATGTTTTCCCCAGGATTGGAAAATGTCAACAGTCAAACCTATAGAAAAAGTGAGTGCAACAATAAAATGTGAAGAGCATAGACCAATTAATATGGTACCTGTATATGAAAAACTTCTAGAAACTGTTGTGAATCAACAATTACATCAATATGAAGAAGAAAATAAATTACTTACAAAATACCAGGCTGGTTTTAAGAAAGACCATTCATGTGAGAGTGCGCTTCAGTTTGTTATTTCAGGATCGAAAAATGTTTTGAGTGTGGGTCATTATGTGGGTGTTGTGTTTATCGACTTTAGGAGACCATTCGAAAAAATAAATAGAAATTTGTTGATTAAAAAACTAGAAAAATATGGCTTTGAAAGCAACATTTTAAGATGGTTCTCAGGATACTTGGAACAAAGAACTCAGTGAACAAAGTAGAAAAACTCCTTATCTACTGTAAGAGAAAATAGACATGGTGTGCCACAAGGAACAGTGTTGGGTCCTGATCTATTCGTGCTGTATATAAATGATATTGTAGAGGCTGTAAAAAATTGCAAGATTCAGTTGTTTGCAGGCGCTACAATTTTGTTCATGGAATGTGACAACAAATGAAAAATAAAAATGATTTTAGACCCTGGCTTTTGGGTGTAGATGAAAGAAATGGGCCTGGAAATGAGCGCAAACATAAAAGTTCTGAAATATCTAACTATATAATAGGTTTTTATTGAATGATTGTTTTCAAAGACTCTGTGATGTTGCCAGATTTCATTACTTAATAGGTTTTTGTGTGGATGGATATTCTTAATAATTAAATTTGTATGTATAACTTCACTATGTGTATTTTCATATATTTCTTCAATTTGGCAACATCGCGGTATCTATATGATCCCTTCCATTCTGCAAATGTCCTGATTGAAGGTGTTTATACCTTTTGAAACCCAAATAATAACGACAATATTCTGGAACTAACCCATTTGCGGGTATTTTTAATCTCATATTCATCATTTACAACTGAAACCTAGTGTCTATTTGAATGAAGAAGCAAAAAAGGCTGGTGTAGTTAAGCTAGAGAATTGCCCTTAAAACACTTGATTTTCACGTTTATTTTCAAACCCTGCCAACTGCATTTTATTTTTGGTATTTGATGGTGCTAATGCTCTCTTTGTTGTAATACGATTAATTATATAGGAGCCCCTCACTTAACATTTGTGGGTGTGGTTTGAGAAAATAAATTGTTTTAGAAGTAAATAGTTTCGTCATGTTTAGTTTATAAAGGCATATTTTGGTACAAATCTTGAAGTGGGCCAACTGAAGTGGGAAGGGGCTACGTATATATTAAGAAACAGTATGTTCATCAACAAGATATTAAAGTAAATTCATTTTGTGGATAGTATTAGGCAAAAGTTTTCCGCGATTTTCTTGAAACTATATGGTTTGTTGTTGGCGGGGTTTGCATTTAGACAGCTCACATAATGACAAGCTTAGACAGATATTTTGTTATATCTAGCCTGAAACGAGTGTCTATCATTTCTAGTGGTGTAAAATTAATCGAACATTCATACCTTCAATTGTGTATGTTGAAAATTTCCGGTAGCTTGGCTCGTATTCCTCGCTGTTAGATTCTCGCATACGTTCCCTAATTTTCATATTCTCATAGCGCCTCTTGTCTATGAGTGATTTTGATATATAAAATGAATAAATTCCGGCTGCAATAACAACAGTCCTGTAAAGATGCAAAATGTGCTAAATGTTAGGTTATGTAATGAAGCATGGCAGTTATGTAAACTATTTTTTGATGATATCGGAATGATGTAATTTTTCAATCTATTTACCATCCAATTCCTATTTTTGCATAATTTGCTAAAGGCATGCTTCAGTGTTCATTCATTTTTCTTAGGAAACACAAAAAGGTTTGACAACCTTTATGTCAAAAAGTGACAACCACGTGACAATCACGTGACAACTTTCTCATATGCAGTGTGAGGTGCGTTCGTAAATCACTTGCAGGTAATGTAACCATACCCAGTGGGTGCGTTTGCTTTTGAATCCGGCAGGGCTACGAGGGTGGTCCCAGAAGTGCTCGACCCAACGAAGAAAACACAAATTTTGTAAAAATTTGTATTTATTTTTCAACATAATCTCCTTTGAGCTCTATACACTTTTCCCAGCGATGTTTAATAAGTTCGATACCCTTTTTATAATAAGAACAGTCTTGCTCCTCAAAATAGCCATTAACTGCCGACATCACTTCTTTATTGTTGGAAAATCTTTGACCAGTGAGCCATTTTTCCAAGTTTAGAAACAGAAAATAATCCGATTGGGCTAAATCTGGTGAATACGGTGCATGAGGTAGCAATTCAAACTTTAATTCGATTATTTTGGCCATTGTAATAACCGATTTGTGAGCTGGTGCATTGTCTTGATGAAACAACACTTTCTTCTTAACCAAATACGGCCGTTTTTGCTTGATTTCATCGTTCAAACGTTGCAATAAGTTCGCATAATACTCGCCGTCGATAGTTTGACCTTTTTCAAGATAGCCAATGAAAATTATCCCACGTGCATCCCAAAAAACCGACGCCATAACGTTGCTTGCAGATGTAACGGTCTTCGCCTTCTTTGGAGCCGGTTGTCCCTTTTGAGTCCTTTGTTTTGATTATTCTTTTGCCTCGGGTGTGAAGTGATGGAGCCATGTTTCATCCATGGTTATGATACGACGCAAAAATTCTGCTTTGTTGCTGTAAAACTTCGCTAAAGTTTCAATTGAAACATCTTCACGGCACTGTTTTTGCTCGATTGTGAGCAATCGCGGCACCCATCTTGCACACAGCTTTCTCATGTCCAAATTTTCAGATAATATGCGATGAACCGCACTATTTGAAATGTCTACTATGTCTGCTAGCTGGCGCACTTTCAGTCGACGATCATTCAGTACCGCTTTGTGAATTTTCTTCACAATTTCTGGAGTCGTCACCTCATTTGGTCGACCACTGCGATGCTCGTCTTGGCAGCTCATAGGGCCTCGTTTAAACTCTGCTACCCAATATTTTACTGTTGTAAATGAAGGAGCAGACTCACCCAGAGTAGAATCCAATTCAGCTTCTATATTGATTGGGCTGAGACCTTTGAAATAAAAGTATTGTACCACATAACGATGACCAATTTTCTCCATTTTCACAAATTCACTGAAAACGTTTAGTATTGATGGCTGCCAAACAAATACTAAACAACGTGGCATCTTCAAACTTGACAGATATGCTTTATAGGTTGCATACTTTCTAATACAATGATATCTTTCGAACAACTATCGTCATCTCTAGGTCGGGCCGGGTACTTCTGGGACCACCCTCGTATCACGTGAATAATAGGGAACTTGTCAAAGTCAAATTTTTTTGCGCTAGAGAGGTTTTCATATAAAGTCGAGAAAAAGCGAGATATAAAAATGGTATGCGACTCCGACGGGTACACTGGAAATCCAGCTCCTGCCCCAAACAGAACCGATTCCAAAAGCAATGCCAATGATGGAAAAAGGGAAATATTGTTAGAACCTGTGAAAGAACTGATGAATGTCAAAATCGTACAGGAAGAGACCCAAATTCAGCAGCTTATGGAGATCAAGAAAAAAACGACTCAAATAACCGCACTGTATGACAGAATACAATAGTTAACCACCCAGGTAACTCTCCTAATTTCCCAAAATTCTGCTTTACTTGCTAAAAACGACAACACGACTTCCAATAAACGGACGTACGACAGTCTGACAGCTACAAATCTTCCTCAACTGACGACGAAAGTACCAACGAAGAAGGATTGACTCGTTAGGCAGAAAAAGAAACGAAACGTAACTGACCAATGCCCTCCATTGCCATCTAAGACAACCATCAAGCCGACTACCAACAACTCTTCTGTGTCTTCTTCCACTGTTCAACCAACCCCTCGAGCTAACGTTGCTACTGCTTTGCTTTCATCACTCCGTACTGCTGCCAATATGACATCGGCACGGGTATTATGTAAAAAACATGTAAATTGTCAAAAAAAAGAAAACTATAAAATGTCATCTGGCAGACTGGCAGCTTTTAGGGTGGAAACAGTCATTCCACGTTTGCTCACTAGGATAGTTGTGAGCGTCCGTCTATGGAGCAATGACTCAACTACACGCATTGTTGGTTGCATATATTTTGTGAACCCGAGTAATTGTAGTTTTCATCTCTGAGAAGAAAGTTGGCTGAATAGCAAGATCGCATCTGGATGATTATGTGTATTGGTCTGCATATGTATAAAATCAGTGATATCTGCTGTGTGAGAAAATCATTTCTGAATATGCTGCCAATGGGCAATAGACAAGAATCCAAGGGAATTAGCGGCAGGCAGGCAACAGCGGTGGCCGCAGTAGTAGACTCTTCGGTCTCCTGATCAGTCGCCGTGCGGGTTTTAATCCAGTCCCAAGAGAAATTTTTCTCTTGGCTATGGATGTTGTGACTGTTCGTAGGTGGTAGACGGTCTCTGACTGTCGAACAGGGAGGTACCACCCGGCGGATCTCGTAGGCGAGGCCAGAATGTGTGCATGTTGCATGCACGCGTGTTCCCTCGCCATAGTCTGTGTGGCGTTCCCCCTTTCCCTTGCAACCCTCATATAGCCCCACGGTACCCCATGGATGCTTAGGCCTTCGTGGTGGTTGGAGTGGCGTCAAGCACGAGTCACACAGATTCTCCTGCGGGACGCTGCGGATGCTAAGCTACAAATTTACAAGTCTGAACATTAAAGTAGAGCGAGCGGTCGCCGTTGACGCGGAGATTCGCATTATACTAAAACAGAAGAATTCGTCTTTTCAAAGAGGAAGAGGTACCACACCACACATTTCCGATTCCATCTGAAAGGAATACACACGCCATAATAAGAGGTATCCCCGAGTCGTTATAGTTATAGCATTGCAACATTTTGTCGCGCGAGTCAGTAGACTACACAGAGGAGCAAGTTCGCGAACATTCCAGGCCGCGGCTCGCATTGTGAGCAAAATTGAATCGCGCAGTTTCGTATGACATAATATAATATTTTAACAAAAATCCAACCAAATTCTTATTCGGCATCCAAAATTATTACAGTAATTTTCAACAATGCTCAGACGCCTTTCTAACAGTTGTATTTCTTACTCTTTCTTCATTGTTTTTTCTTTCTGTTTACTATTAATCATCGTCGGGTTTCTGGGTGACTAGAGAGACATAATAACAAACTGTCTGACGTACTTTGACACAAAGGCAAAGGTCCTACGCACCGCCTTGACAGACAATGACGAACAGATGGCTATTACGTATCTTCAAAAGTGACATTGTTGGCTTTTTTGTGACCTTATCAAGTTTTTCTAAGATGTCTTAGCACTAGCTGTTGTACACTTGACGTGTACTCATTCCGTAGCTGTACGTGTTGCCTAAAGGTCATAACGCTTCAGCTATCAATGTTTGGCTCTCATGTAACATTTGCTTCAGAGATTCTTTTAGTTATCGCAGATAGCGCTCAGTTCTATTCAAATACCTACTCGCGGTTTTGTGATCCTAATAGCAAGTCACCGTCCACCAATTTTACGAGAAAAGTCTGGTTGACAGTGCAAACTCCACAATCATATAGGATCGCAGAAACGGCAAGACATATCGATGCCATGGATTTGAATTTTGTTCTTATATCATAGCAGGAGCAGAGTCTCATTTGCATTCATCCTCGCGTTTCTGTGAACCTGATAACAAGTCTCCAATCTATCAATTTTACGATGAAGCTGCGGCCATATTCCGAAAACTTATAGATCTGTATCAGGATTGCAGAAACGACGAAGAGAATAGATGCCAAGTATCCAAAATCGCGCAAGTATCATAGATAGAACACAGTACTGTTCACATAGCTCCTCGAGTTTCAGTGATCCTGTTAGCACCTCGCCACCCATCAATTTTACGAGAAAACTCTTGTTGGCAATTCAATTTTCAGAAATAGGGCAGAGTACTCTTTACATACCTCCTCGCGTTTCTGTGAACCTGATAATAAGTCTCCAATCTACCAGTTCTACGAAGGATCTGTGGTCGACAGTGAGATACTCAGAAACTTACAGATCTGTATCAGGATTGCAGAGACGACTATGAGCATAGATGTCAAAGACCAGAATATCCCGCCAGCATCTTACCATAAGCAGAGTACCACTCACATACCTCCTCGCGGTTCTGTGATATTGATAGCAAGTCACCATCCATCAATTTTACGAGAAAAGTTTGGTCGACAGTGAAATTTTCAGAAACCTATAGATCTGTATCAGGATCGCAGAAACCGCAAAAGGTATCGTCCAAGGCTATACTTACAGTTTACAGTATTTACTAAAGTAATTTCCCCAGACCTGGCAACACTGCAACCAAATGACTAAGGCGAGTTTACAGTGTCACCCTTCCAAGCGCGGCGCCACCAGTGTTGCCAGATGGAACGCTACGTTGCCAGTCTCGTCACTTAATTTACAGACCTCGTATCTAAAAATTTTCTTATACTTGGGCAAAATAAAGCATAGGGATTACTTGACTCTATTTTTCATGAGCTTCTGGATAACTTCATCAGAAATTATGGGCGATTATCTAAAACTAGACAGCTTATTTCAGTACTGGAAAGGTCAAAAATCTTTTTTCCATCCGACAATCTCTCTAGTTTCGGTCGAGCGCGTCGTCGCGACGGCCCGCGGTGCGTCGGGCCCACTGTTGCCAAACAAACCTTTGTAGCCAATTTAGTTAGTTAGGCTACTTCTAATAATAATTTAATACGACTTGCACCTTGCACCTAGGTTGTCTACATGTAACATTTTCGTGTACCTCCCCCCTCACCATTGTATCGATCAGATGACCAGTCGCGCCTCTGTTGATTGATCAACTTCCCCACATCTATTTATCAACAATCTGCCCTTTTTTCACTTCTTGGCAATATGCGTTGCAAGAGATTCGAACCGACACCACAAATGAACAAACATTTGAAAAGTATCATGTACAAAAGCGTGCAGCTTGAGTCTGAGGAGGCTCTCAGTGATTTCAACATTATTGCAGAACTTGAAGTCGAAAATGATAATATATCTACCTTTTATCAGCTTACCTGAATGAAACTATATATATGAAGATTATATAAAGCTATATGTAACGTCAACGTGTTCAGAAAAATTTAAGCTTGCTGTACTTATGTGTGATGTAAACGTGGCGCTTACTTACTGTGATGATATTATAGCCAGCATCACGAAAGATGACCTTTACGTCATACCATAAATTGTACTGAAGTAATCAATGATCGATGATAAAATCACGATGTCAGGAATGATTACAACAAATTTATATTATGATTTTGCGAAATTAGATTATTTCACTGATTATTTTTATTTTCATTGTTTTGAGTAGATAATAATAATCTTAGTGCAGAGTTTTGAAAAAGACAGTTATGATTAGAATACCTTAAGACAGAAACAACAAAGACCATAGTATTATTCGAAAACAACCTAACCTGCTTTAACATAACCTAACTACTCATCTTTCAAATATGATCGATCATGCAACATGAAAACATCGTCTATCTTTGTCGGATACACGCATATTAGTAATACAGTTTGTTTAGACAAAAAATTCTGTTTGTCTCTGCCTCGCATTTCTGAAACTTCATTAAAAATAATTCACAAATCGCTGTCGTTTGTCTTTACTACAGACTAAAATGATGACGTAATCGTCATCTATCGTGATTTCGACTATATGTATAGTTTTTTGTTTTAACCATATATTGTAATGGACCGCGAATGTGTTAAAATGTCAAGTTTACATTTGTAAATAAAGGTGATGTTAATTTGGCTATATTTTGTTGTGTACCATGAGATGGATATTAATCACCAATAGATCTCTGTACCCTGGACTAGATATCAGCGGTCAACTGTTTCGCTACAATTTGGCAACTTTTTTCATTTAGGTCGGCTACTCTCTTAAGTTGGCAACACTGGTCAGGGCGCATATCCGGCGCGCCACCGACGCTCCAATCAGCGGAGGTTTTCGGCAGTTACGCGCCGGCGACCGACTGAGAAGGGGCCGTTTACTCCTGTCTGAAAGTTTCGCGCGCCCCAACTCGCGAGCCTACACAAAACTTCCAAGACTTTTCTCGACGTGCTACCTAGCACCCTGAACTAAACTGTCAAGTGCGCGGCTAATACGTGAAACTTCCCAACGACTTTCGTGGTTCGTTCTCCAATACGCGAAACTAGCTAAAACTTCAAACCGACACTTGCAGTTTTGTGACGTGCAAAGCGATTGTTTGTGACATGTCTTTCGGGTACTCTGGTGCGGGTGGTGATATGTGACACGGTTTGTTGGTGCCGGTGAACTGCAGGTTGCAGTAGACATGATGGAGTCGGCTGTTCTTCTTTTGGGTCTTCTGTTTGGCATGGCATCATTTAAAGGTAACATCAATCAAAATCTTTATTTACATACAGACGATTTACAACTGAATGGGAATTGTCAATTCTTCGTACGCTATATGCAACCTACACTACAACAACTATTCTTAAATTGCAATGTTCAAAGATTCATTAACATTTGAAGAGCACAGGGGAAAAAAGATGAACGTCACAAAAAGTATGTTTCGAGAAAAGTTTTTAATAATAATAATAATGCCTTTATTAGCTGCAGTGAGGCGAAGTTTAGCTAGACGGCTACTCTTACACTCAACCCCACAACAGAAAAAAAATACTTAAACACATAAAGAAAATAACAACATAAAAAAATACAGTTCATAAGCATGACAACATTGACTGCACGAGACAAATGCAGATAGGATTGTGAGAGTTTTAAATTTGAAACAAAAATATTAGAAAATAGTAAAAAAAGCACATGAACACAAGAAAAACTGAACTAAATGGACTCCAGCAGCTGACTTTTCATTAATTTCTTAAAAGAAGCAACCTGTTTGGATCGATAGCCACTGTTGACTGCATTGGAATGCTTGACAGCATTATAGGTGTAACCTCTTTTAAAAGTCCGAGGTATTGTGAGGAGGCATGTTAAAATGAACATTAAATCTAAGAGTTCTGGTAACAAAACTACCACGGGGAACTAATTTGGCTAGCAAGGTTAGCTGGTCTGTTAGATAATAGAACTTTATGCGTAAAGACGGTCAAAACATAAATATAAACAACATCAATTCGCAACCAGTTGTGTGAATTTGAAAGTTTGAAGACTCGTTGTACAGGGTGAGTCAGAGATTTAGACACCTGAGGAAGATGAATGTGGTAGCCCAGAAACATGTTGCGATACCTCCCAGTCTCCTTGAGCCTAACATTTTAAATAATTATTTTCTTTCAATTTTCCAGACAGCTGCAGCTGATCCAAATTTGATTGATAGTGTCTCTAACTCTTATAGCGATAGACGCCATACACTGGATGCACCTGTGTTTGGTTTTAAACTCCTTACTCAGCAAGACATCGTCAATATAATCTCTCACATTAAGTCTACGGCATGTGGCTCTGATGGTCTAACTTTAAATATGGTTTGCTTATGTTTACCTGATACCATAGACCATATAACTCACATTATTGTCTGTCTCGAAACAGGTTACTTTCCTGCCAGTTGGAAAAATGGTATTATTATTCCAATAGCTAAAACTAATCATCCAGAACAATATTCGGATCTAGGCCAATTATAGTACCTTATTATGCTTTCTATCAAAAATACTCGAAAGAGCTGTCTACTCACAACTAGTGGAGTTTTTCGAACAAAACCACTTATTTCCTCTACATCAGTCAGGTTTCAGAGCTGGTTACAGCACTACTTCGTCTTTATTACATCTTACTGATTCCATCATTGACAATTTTGATAATCACATCAACACCGTCTTGGTACTGTTAGATTTCTCGAAAGCCTTTGATATGGTCAATCACCAGATACCTACTACTGAGTAAGTTATATCAATATGGAATGTCAGATATAGTTCTAAGATTCTTTGAGTCATACTTGCTAAATCGTCAACAAACAGTGAAAACTGATCAGGGAATTTCCTCCTCTGAGCCAGTTCCTTCAGGAGTTCCTCAGGGCTCAGTATTAGGTCCCTTACTATATCTGATTTATACGATCAATCTGCAAGACTGTTTAGTCCACTGTAGTATGCAAACTTAGGCAGATGATACTCAGTTAGTGTTGGGTTTCGATCCATCAAAGGTTGGTGAAGTTTCTTTTAAAGTTAATTTAGATTTGGCTAACATCGGTGATTACTGTAACAAACACTGCTTGAAGATCAATCCTAATAAAACTACTGCAATGTTGTACTGTTCGAAGAACTCCTACCGGGAAATGAAGCAGAGGATTTGTGTTTTTTTGGATGAAACACTCATCCCTTTTGTGGATTACGCCAAGAATCTCGGTGTTACCCTAGAGTAACGTATATGCGTTTGAAACTCCTCTATTCTAATCGATACATCTTGAATTTTAAAACCCGAAAAAAGTTCGCTGAAAGTCTTGTGTTGTCTGTCATTTCTTACTCTCTTGTTCTTTATTACCCATGTTTAGAGTACGTCCACAAAAGGAAACTCCAGAAAATTCAGAACAGCTGTTGTAGGTTTATTTTTGGATTGCGCAAGATTAGTCGCGTCTCAGATAAAATCAAAGAACTCGACTGGTTGCGAATTGATAAGTTATTTTTATATCTTTTGACCGTCTTTACGCATAAAGTTCTATTATCTAACAGACCAGCTTACCTCGCTAGCAAATTAGTTCACCGAGGTAGTTTTGTTACCAGAGCTCTTAGATTTAATGCTAATTTTAACATGCCTCCTCACAATACCTCGGTCTTTGAAAGAAGTTACACCTATAATGCTGTCAAGCATTACAATGCAGTCAACAGTGGATATCGATCCAAACAGGTTGCTTCTTTTAAGAAAATTATGAAATGGCAGCTGCTGGAGTCCATTAAGTTCAGTTTGTCTTGTGTTCATGTCATTTTTTTTTGTTTGACTATTTTCTACTATTTTTGTTTCAAATTTAAAACTCTCGCAATACTATCTGCATTTGTCTCGTGCAATCAATGTTGTATATTATATGCCCATAATTTTATCTTAATAACGTAATGTATTCAACAGTATATTGGCCATCGGGAGATTTATATATTTTTTTAGGCAGGTTGACGTTATAATAGTAATTTTAAATACATTTGGAATCAACATGAGGTACTTAAAGTTCGTCGTTTCAAAATTATTTCGCCACGTTGGTTTGATTGTGATGTGGTAAAAAAGTTTCAATGGCCGATCTATGAACGCGTCTCCACTCAATCAACAATATAGTAAATAAAATAAAAATGGTAACTGAAGTTTGTAAATACACAAACTTACCTTTTAACAGTGAGATACAATAATTTGACACACTTAAACAGATTTCTCAACAAAACATGTACATCCAAACGTCAAATTTTTTGCAAGTTTGTATTGTGACTTGTTGAAACTTGTATAAACTGCAATTGACGACGCCGGGTTTTGAAACGGCGGTTGACAATAAGTGAATATGATATATAATTTCTAATTTTATGCGTGTAAATTAAACATTACATTGTAATGTTATTTGTTAATGTTGTTTG